CATGCAATAAAATAGTCTTTCTGTACTTTTTTCAGTTGCATCGTTTCTGATTCCGAGTTTGAAGCATAATAGTTGCAACAGCGCTGTTGTCCGATTTGCTTGTTTTGTGAATAGTAATCATGATACCACTTGTTTGACGCTCCCTGTTGTTGAACTGGATATGGATGTCAAATATGGATGTCAAATTTGGATGCATTGCAAGTAATTGTTGTAGTTTTTGATCGAGTCAATGAATGGCATTTATAGTTGCTCTAGAAAACAAGTTGTTTGAAATGTCCTGTCATATGTCATATGTTTTGTTGTTTTCATGTTCACTAATTGTTGATAATGCATTCAATTGATTTCTGTTCTGACGCTGCTTATTTGTCATTGTTGGATCTGGGTTTCTAGATTCAGTAACAAACGTTTCAGCAATTTGGATGTGTTCAAATTCATAATACTTGCAAGTCTGAATTATTTGATCATCATCTGAAATTGGATACGAGTAATGATTTCCACTGACCACAGTATACATAGTATACACAGCATTACTGTATATTGACTTGTATTTTACTCAAAGTTTTGTCCATTCAGTATTCCAACACAATTCCCAACATTGATTGAATGGTTTGCAGTGTTTGTTTTAATTGAACCACTTGATGGATCACTTTCATATCTTGATTCAGCAATATCACCAACTGCACAATGCTGGATGTGATTGTAGTCAAACACAATATCTTGCAAGACATTAACGTATTGGTTAGTTTTAGTATATTCTTGATAAAAGGCAATGATGTTTTGTAATGGGGTGTTAAATCCTTCAATCAAACATTGTCTGTTGTGATTTCCAACATTGACAGTGACATGACAAACACATTTTGCTTGTGACAGACTTTGAACAAGTGTATTGCTCCGTTTGTTGTACAATACACGACATGATCAGTTGGTGTATATGAAACAAACCATACCAATGTATCAATCAACAATCCAGTAACTGTTGATGTAATACCAAACACAGTATACAATCAATGATATGGTTGTTGACCCATTCACAATACTTGACAAATACCAACACACCAGAAAGTTTAAATTTATTTAAAACCAAAATCATCGACAAATCATCAATCTGAATCCGAGTCTGGCTCTTGAAATTCTAAACCACGCCTTTTCATAAACTTTTTCAAGCTTCGTCTGATACTGTATACTTTTATCCTTGTCGCTACATACTCTTGTTTCAATTTCTCTTCAGTGTTTTGATTGTACTCTGACCCTGATATTTCTTCTCCTCTTTCTAGCGCTGACCATTGTTCGAATTTAAGGGCTGCATAATCACAATATTCTTTGTATTTTTTCTTTCGTATTATTTTAGACAACTCAAGCTTTTGCTTTATACGATTAAAGGTTCTCTGACTCTGTTCGTTTAATCCAGTCACTTGATCTGAAACAGCATTATCTGACTCGTTTTCATCTGTTGGTTGGTGTTGGTTTTGATTGGAAGTACTTGGATTGGGCTGATCCATTGACTGTTGCTGGTTTTGATTGGAAGTAGTTGAACTGGCTGCATCAATTATTTCTTGCCAGTCTTCGTTGGAAATGCTTAAACCAATTGCATCCACTGGATGTTGCTGGGTTTGATAGGAAATACCTGGATTAGGCTCATTAGTTGGGTCAGAAACTTGATTGGAAATGCTTGAATCAGTTATATCAAATAGATCTCTCCAGTTTTCGTCAAGAATGCTTGAATCAATTGTATCCGTTGAATATTGCTGTTGGTCTTGACCGTAAGTACTTGGATTGGATTGATCCATTGGTTGTTGTTTGTTTTGGTTGGGAGTACTTGGACTAGCTATATCAAACAGTTCTTGCCAGCTTTCAAAAGTGCCTGAATTGATTTCATCTATTAAGCGTTGCCAGTATTTGTCGGGAAATACGAGACCGGGTTCATTAGTTGATTGTTTCCGACTTTGTTTGGAAGCACTCGGACCGGGTTGATCCATCGATTGTTGTTGGTCTTGTTTGGAAGTGCTTGAACCGTGTTCATCAATCGGCCGTTTTCGACCTCGTTTGGGAGTGCTTTGATTGGGTTGATCAATTGATTGTTGTTGGTCTTTGAGAATATTTGAATCATGTTTATCAGTTGAATCAGATACTTGGCTGGAAGTACTTGAACTGATTTCATCCACTATGTTTTGCCAATCTTGATCAGAAGTGCTTGGATCAATCGGATCAAATAGGTATTCCCAGTCTTGATCGAAAATGCTTAAATTAACTGAATCCATTACTTCTTGCCAGTCTTGGCTGGGAATTTCTGGATTAGGTTCATTGGTTGGACCAGATACTTGACTCGAAGTGCCTGATGCTTGTGGTGAGCCATTGTTATCAGTCGGTATCAGTATTGCATTAGCGGTTGCTACCACACTCAGCACAAATAAAATATCAACCAATTTCATCAAACCAATCAATGGGTTTAAACAATTAATACAAAAGTAGTGTTGAAACTGGTGTCGATTATAAAACTGGACATATTTGATTGTATTTGTATGTTTTGTATAGCAAACCAACCCTAACCCTTATAGGTTAACCAGTTATACAGGGTTACTTGGTTGCTTGTAGTGGGTTACTATCAAACCACAGTATGATGCTCCCTATCCACAATGCCATATTGATCAATTTGATGATCATGTCGATTTAATTATGCTTTTACGACCCTTTGATCAGGCATTTTGAAAAGCACACCCTTCATGAGTGTTGTGTAGCCGCAAACGCTTTGTTTTACTACCATATTCAAGTAAAATGAATCACTTTGATATTCATCATGCAATGACTGTATTCTGCATTGCAATATACAATGGTTGCATGTTCGGTTGGTTGATGCTACACATTGACTGCATGTTTGATATACAACAATCATCACACGACACACAATCACCAAGTTTGAACCCATATTCATGTATTGTGTTTGACTGTCGATATTGTCAATACAACTCTGTACACACATTTGTTGTATTCTGAATCACGGATACGATCGCAATCTAGTTCAACAACAATCATGACACATGTCAGTAATGCAACTGTTTATTACACACCAACACTGTTATTTAGTGGTCCATTTACATCAATATGACTGCAAGTTGTTGTTATATCACGTATTCTGAGCATGGTTTTGATATTACCCATCCAGTTCCATCACATTGTTGTTGACCCATCATTGTAATGCTGTATGTCCCCATAACCATAATCATGGACATCAATATGTAATTTCACGTATAATATTACAACCATGCATGTCGTTGGTTGCATCATCACTACTAGTGTACAATACAATACACTGCATGTATGTTGGCATGTGTTGTACCAAGTTGATTGCATTGCTACAATGTGGCATGCTCCAACCTGTTTGAATGACTGTTGTGCAACATATTGATATTGACCACATGTGATACTGGTCACCAACAAAGTGATCAGCGGTATTCGATCGTATCATTCAATTGATCATCCAATCTCATAATCAATGCATTTCAACATACTCCACTGCATGTACTGGATCATGACAACAACATATACAATACATGTCAACTGATACAATCACCAACCATTGCATGATTTTAGTTGTCAATCAAGTCGATATTATGATATTGTTCAATGTCAAGTATACAACCAAATCAACATGACACTGTCCAAACTGATCCAATATTGTATCATTGTAAACATACATTTTGATTGTCAATACCATGGCAAATGGTCGATAACAGATCAATCGCCAATGTGGACACTTGTTGATCGGACTCGTAATCATATCAATCATGGGATCAACGTTTCAGTTATACTCATTATTGAACAACTCTGTACATGCGTATATCGTGTATATGCATATCGACACCAGGTGAGTTGAATGTCAATCATTTGATCAATATCGATCATGACTTGACGGACTGATGATTACATGCATTGTGCAAGCTGGTTGTTTAGTCAATGTGATATTTTGAACCGATCATCACTGTATACCATACTCGCAAACATTGTAAACTCTAAACTACACAGTCAATATTGGACATGACATGAACAACAAGCAATGATGCCTGTAAATATGTTGACCATCCAATACATGAATGACCGACATTCCATCGTCATACTTGGTCTGTACTTGATCGTATTGTGGCTTATTGTGGCTTATTAGTTAGGGCTAGACTGAAAACCAGTGCAAAGCTACACAATCGATTAATCATGGTATTTGAATGCACAGTCAAGCAGTAGCTAATCAAGATTGCACACGATATAAAGGGATCCTCCTTTTCATTACTTTGGTATTGATAGCAATAAACCAACATCAACTCTGACAACAACACAAATTCCTTAGGACGGCACTCAAGGAACATGCTTTTAATACTATCCGTTCAGTAGCAGGTATAAATACGATCCAAACCCTACTTGCTGAATAACAACCATATACAACTTGTTTGACCAAACCAGTATAATGAAGCCCGCAGTTGTCGTATTTGCATCAGTCCTGGCTGTCTGCTCGGTCACTATTGCTAGTCCAGTCATCCCCAGCTCGACTACAAGTACTGAATCTAGTATTTGAACAGTTATTCCCACTGCAAATGCAGTCAGTGAACCTGACTATTCGGAATATCCTATCCCATATGACGGGTATGGAAAGTATTGCCATCCACTTGATTTTGATGGAATAATGCTGGTCAAACTACTTGCAAAAAATACACATAAACTAGAAAAAGTAACAAAATATATCAACAAGAAAGAGTCTAACATTGCATGTCAAGAAACATTGGTGGGTGAGCTCAAGGAAAGACTGGACTCTGTAATGGATGATGGTAATGGGTCAGGAATCGCCGAGCTTGAATCCGAGTTTATTAAACAGAATGGCATTCTTGAACAACTCAAAGAACAGTTGGAGCGACTTTTTGAAAGACATTCGAATAGGTACAAAAAAGATGTTGGATTACGATCGGCACTTGCAGAGTACTTTGCAGAGCATGGTATGTCTGGAGAAATGACTACTGATGATGAGCCAAACCTATATTCATATCCCGGATTCAAGAAATGTTTTGATTATTTCTACAATCGCTCATGACAATGATTACCAAGATCCAAGCATGGTGTAGTTTTTCAAGATTATGATGTTTGGCAACAAACTCATGGACCAGATTCGTTACATTGCTGGAGTTGAGTGAACCATCACAGTCTCATCCAGTATATGTTGTAATGCAGCGTGTATTGCATGGTGGTTTAATTGTCATGTGTCATGTATCCAATGTCGTTCATTCAATAAGCATCGTGTATTGTCAAACAACAGTGTATTATACTAATGGTTTGATCATATTGCACCAATCAACTACTATGTGCTGGCATGACTGATCATTCGGTGTGTTACACATATTGAATGCATGCAAATCCCTGATTGTCAACTCTTTGTTGTTGAGATGGGTTTAGATCACCATCAGTTTGTTCACTCGTTGCACCGATGTGATTACATGATCAACCTGACACCAACCAAACCACACTCGAATATATATGTTCCAGTCATGTGCATGGTGTATCGATTGTCAACTCACAATGTCAACTCCAACACATTCCACTATGATTATGGTCACATCACACCATGCTGATGTATGTCGATCGGTATCACATTGCAAATGACTGTCATCCAATGACTGCAATGCAATACCGTGCATGTATTGTGATTGATACGCTGTGCACCATCAGCCAGTGTGCAACTGTCACTCGATATATCGACTCTGATATGCAACAACATGCTGTGTTTACCATGATCAGGTTTTTGATCAATCTTGGACTCATGATACATGATTTGTCATGTTGGATCGTGTGGATGTGTCATGGACTGCAATTTAGTTGAAAACACACATATGTTTGACATTGACTGATGCATACTGTGCAACGACTGATCGGTGCAGGTATAATTGCACACTTGGTGGTATTGTGCATTATGGTTGTTTGACAATGGATGAATGCTGAATTAGTCGGTTATATGCAACCCATTTGAATCGACCTATTTGAACAAACACTCGATGTAACTGACAAGCAATGTGTATACATGGCTGTTGGATCAGTCGAGTTTGTGCTGGTAGCGTACCATTGGTAACAGGCACTGTTTTGACACCATCACTGGGACTGCCATACAACAGTTGACCAATAAACTTGTAACACCAACAGTATATGCTTGTACGATTACAGCCTGTTCACACGAGATCATTTCATGTCTCAATACCCGAGTTTATTTTAAATAAATCCATTCAAAAAACAACTGTAAATCAACAAATAAACCAACAATTCAATCCAGCCAACACTGTTTTATACACTAGTCTAATCTGTCAATCTTGGTTGGTATTATTATTGATTATATTGTGGTTTGTCTCGTTCAAGCACAAAGGCTCGGTTATACTGTCAAATATTACATTTGTCAATACTCACCATCTTGTATTGGATTCCATTTGTCGTCAGTATACTGGATTGAACTAATCACTTGGTAGATCAGCATGTGCAATATATCAATAAGCAACGTGTACAACAACAGAGTATAAAAGTTGTTTCAGTCGATAGTAATCCAGTGTTATACAGCATCTATGATTATTCATGAATGTTGACATGGTTCAAGAGTATGGTGTCCACGACATTGGTAATGCAATCAAAAATACAATAGTTATTCAGGTTTAAGGGTAGCTGATCAAGCCATGCATAGTGTAGATCTTGATGCTGCATAATCATTTAAAATGGGGTCTTTTAAACTGTATTCGACACTTGGATTCATGCTGGTGCCTAGTTATGATCTGAGCATTGGCTGCCTTATACTTGCCAATTTGAAACAACCGGGAATCAGAATCAAACTATTCAACATATTGCGCAAAGGAAACCTAATACATGCCAGACAGTTTGTGGATCCATTTTGCTTTCGAGTCAATACATGTTATACAATGGCTGTTTTAAACACCATTATTGCCATCCAAACACATTGCTCACAAACAGCAAATCAATTGCATGATAACCCTGACCAAACAGAACTCATAGGGTTGGCACTCGCAACCCAAAATAACATATCTGGCCGAGTAACCAGTTCAAAAAATACAAACCAAACAGCAGAATTGAGCAAGATACTTGACAACCATTTACTAAAAAACAAATTATGATGATTGGATAGTGTATGGATGAATACAGCACATTTTGTTACGTTCAATTATTCGACATAGCTGACATATAACATACACAGCCATAGTGGTATACAAGCAATTGATTAGCATGCAAGCCGGACAATTGTAATAATTGGCATGTTCATTAAATGGGTTTATGCAATCACCACGTGTTAGACCCTAAATTAAATGAGCATAAATATTGGCAATGCTGCAGCCGACAAGTGATTATCTATTGACAAGCCAATATGTTCTGTATATTTGATATATGGACTGGCATAATTGACAAATGTCAATACACCATTAATCATCATATTGATTGAACTGGATTTACAGTAGTTTGAGTTGGATGTTGTGTTGGATAGTAAAATACAATTAACATGGCATGTGTGGCAATGGATAAATTGGCTAATCTACAAATTCGTTGCTTTATCTACCCTGAATATATACCTCGATTCAGTTAATCTTGCTTGACATCAAGCATTTTAGTAAGAGCAAAGCATATAAATGCAAAAATACCAAGCATTAGTATTGCCAGTCAAGACCATCAAGGTATAAAAATGAGTCGTCAGTCACTATCAAACATCATCAAACTGCTACAAATCAACAACTCAATCCGTATAGTATTGATACGCTTGCCAAATACAGTTCGATAGTATACTGCAGCCACGATGAAATTTTCACTACTAGCCATTGCTTCTGCTGCGTTCGTTGTCAATGCTCAAGGAAATAAATCTGGTATGCAAATCTGTTGATCAGTCTATTTTATGTTGGGTTTATCAATGTTTGAATTGTGCAATCGTTCAAAACTGTACTAATTGGCATACATTATAGAATCCATGCCTAGATGGGCCTTTATCAAAGAACACCGTGATGCTGGCAGATTTGTTTTTATGCCATACACTGATGAGCAACGAAACGTCGTGCTGACCAATGTTGAAAATGGTTTGAAATTGTGGACCAACTATGAATCTAAAATCAAACACTATGGTGAGCGTGCCGATCCCTTCCCGATCATCAAGAAACTGCGTGCAAAACTGGATGCATCCAATCTTACCGATACTGAGATGCAGATTGAACTCTTGAATGCGTTTACTCGCATGCGTGACCATCATAGTCATTTTGCACCGTCTGGACCATATGCTTGTTTCGTGGCCACGACTGGTCTTTATTTCAGATTTATCGAGGGCGATGCAGATATGGTCAAGAAACCAACCGTCGTCTTTGAAAAACACGTAGACAATAAAAGTCTGCGTGCTTTTTTTGGAAAGGACTATGACCAGATCAAAGCTGGCGACGAATTACTACTTGTTGATGGTATGCCGTTTGTTGACTATCGGAACTTGAACCAGGATAAAACGGGTGGTGCCAATGATTATGGTGGTCAGCATGGTGCTCTTGGTTACATGACGTTTCGCTTTGGTGCCTTTACTCCTTTGCCAGAAACTGATACGATCAAATATCAGTTCAAATCAAAAGATACTGGAAAAGTGTACGACATTGAAGCTCCGTGGGTTGTTGTTTTTGATCCATCATGCTGGAGTATGACTAGTCAATTGTATGCCAAAATTTCTGGAAAAACTCTACCTGGAACACCTCAGCCTGCCGACACGAACAGTATAATTGACACTGATGCATCTGATACCGGAGCCAAACGTCAGTTTGAGACTTGGGAAGAAATCAGAACTCCATTGATGATATCCGAGTACCATCATAAAAAGCAAAAAATTGATCAGGTTTTACTTGAACAGCCATCACAAAACCATACTCTTGAGTACCAAAACGCCGGCGTGTCGACTATCAGCTGGGCAATCTGGAAACCCGAATCCAAGAATCTTGGTATTATTAGATTGGATGATTTTATACCAAAAGACCTTAAAACTGGTGCAAGAGTGGATATCGAGGCCGTTCGTGAAATCCACAAACTTCTCAGTACTGTACTCAAAGACACCAATGCTGTTATATTTGATCTTCGTGCAAATCCAGGCGGTAGTGGTGATTTTGCCAATGCCATTCCACAACTTTTCAAACCTGATTTTCAACCGATGCCAATGAGATACTTGATGAGTTCTGTCGCATACAACACTCTGGTTAACGGCACGTACTTTTTTGACACTTCTGGTCCAGCATGGTACAAGACCCCACCTGGTAGCAAGTATTCTATTGATCATGACAGAAACTCGTTTAATCAAGCAAACATGTATGGTCAAGCCTATCTCAAGCCTGTTGGTGCATTCACTGATGCTGTATGTTACTCTGCATGCGATCTGTTTTCAACGTCTATTCAGTCGTCCGAAACTGGCTATGTTCTTGGCGAAGATGGAACAACTGGAGGTGGTGGTGCCGACGTATTCCCGCTTAATCCAACCTTGCTTTTGTTCAATCGCGTCGATTTTAAGCCAATGCCGTACGCTAAAGAACTGACCGACAAAACAACTGGCCAGAGTTACACCAACACTGTTTCAATCGGAGTTCGACAGATGATACGTAATGGAAAACAAAAAGGTCAACTGGTTGAAGATATTGGTGCCGTATCCGACTATATTATACGCCCCCGTTTGACGGATATAGTGCCTGGATCCATTGGAGATTCTCAATTTGACCGTATTGCCAATCAGCTCAAAACATTGGGTGCCAAAACTGGACTGAACAATCTTCATTTTGTTTGCGAGTCCATCGATTATGACACCACTAGCAGTGACGTGACCATTGATATAGAAGTTCAAGGAATCAATCAACTGTCAGTTATCGATGACACTGGCAAATCACTTTCAGTTGCCAAGTTTAAAAGCGACATAAAAAGTCAACACTCGTTCAAACTGACATCTGTGATCAACGATCTTGGTAATACTCGGGTCAGTATCATTGGCCAAAACAACGGCAAACAGGTTCTCAAAACACATAAGCATATCAGTCGCACTCCAAAACAAGAAGATCGTGTTAAGCTTGAGCGTGGTATCAAATGGAAGTTTAATGGTACCAGTAAATCGGTTGGAATATACAACTCGCCATTTACCAAAAAGTCACAGGGATGGAACTCGGTCAATGGTAAATGGGTTGTTGGCGATGGAATACAATACAGTCCTGAAATAGAGACTGAAATCCGATCATACTATACTGCACCAGTTGGATCCAAAATCACTGTTGAAATTGATGCCAAACTTGAATCACAACTTTATAACGACTTTTTAGGACTGTATGTCACAGATGCGGATGGAAGTGTGGAGTCGCTTTTGAGCACGGTTGGTCCGAATGGTAGGATACTTACAAATGGTGCTTCTGGATCCGAAGCAATTGTCAAAAAGTTTACAGTGACAACCAAGACGGAGCTGTTTTCTGTCGGTTTTGTATTCAATTCAGATCTTGCTACACAGATGAAAGGAGCAACAATCAATTCTTGGAGTGTTACCATGAATTGAAATGGGTTGTAAATGTTGTCAAACACATCATTGATTGCATCACCAGGCTATATTTGAATGAATACAATGTTTGCATAACTATCTTGTACACTATTGTTTAAATTTATTTCAATCAACACATGTAAACCTTTTATTTGGTCGAGTGAAATATGCAAGTTTCAAACCATTTTTTAAATTGGACTGGTTTTGTCATGGATGGAATATTGCAAGTGTTTTTAAACTTGTCAGATTTTTGTATTTTTTGGTGTGTTTTAGACATTTGAATGAAAGTTGATATTGGATATTTACCATACCAATCAGAGTTGTCATGGTTGTTTAATGAAACTCGGTACAGATCTGGATAAAACCGCATTTAGACCTGCATTTTCAATGGTCTGATGCGACATGAAATCATTCGAGCTGATAATGGTCATTGCACTATTGTCTTGTTCTTGTTCTTGGACTCTTTCACTGGTTTTTTAGCTTTTATAACCGGTCTCGAGTTGATTACTTGATCCGCATTTGGTTGATGATTTCAACTGGTATTTAAAACTATGATTTGATTGACACCATCAAAGCAGTTGAGCCAAACATGTGGACTGCAATGGATGAGTTTGGTGATTGTATAATGCATGGTCATGCCACATGTGCACAAAGTGTAGATTCAACATTATAGTCTGATTGTGTGTCATATGATGGTTGTTGTATATCAAACACGCAATGCAGTCAATGTGTAGTACCAGTCAACCGAATATGTAACCATTGCATATTGCAATGCATAACACAATCACTGCAGAATGAATAAAGGGATTCATTTCATATGAATATGGTTGTAAAAAGGAACGTTTGCGGCTACACAACACTCATGAAGGGTGTGCTTTTCAAAATGCCTGATAAAAGGGTCACGGAAGCATAATTCAATCGACACGATCATCAAATTTATCAATATGATATTGTGGATAGGGAGCAGCATACTGTCTAATTTAATAGTAAACCACTACAAGCAATCAAGTAACCCTGTATAACTGGTTAACCTAAAAGGGTTAGGGTTGGTTTGCTATACAAAAATACAAATACGATCAAATATGTCCAGTTTTATAATCGACACCAGTTTCAACACTACTTTTGTATTAATTGTTTAAACTCATTGACCAATCTGATGAAATTGGTTCATATTCTATTTGTATTGACTGCAGCAGCAACCGTTAATGCAATACTGATACCGACTGGTAACGATCGTTCACCACAAGCATCAGGCACTTTCAGTCGAGTATCTGACCCGACTAATGAGCCTACTCCAGAAATTCCCGACGAAGACTGGCAAGACATAATGGATATAATTAATTCAAGCACTTCCAACCAAGATCAGCAACAATCGATAGATGTAGTTGATCCAAGTACTTCCAAATTAGCTCAAGAACGACCAATCGATGAACTAGGTCCAAGCATTTCCGAACAGGATTGGAAAGCCATAATTGATAACCCCGATCCAGGCATTCCGGAAGACTGGAAAGACTTGATTGATACAGTCAATTCAAATATTGATAATCAAGACCAGCAGCAACCAATTGATGTAGCTGGTTCGAGCACTTCCAAACGAGGTCGAAAACGGCCAGCTGATATAGCTGGTCCAAACGTTTCCAAACGAATCCGGCAGCAACCGATTGATGTAGCTGGTCCGAGCACTTCCAGACAAGACCAACAACAACCAATGGACCAAGGCGAGTCTGCTAATACTGTTACAGATCAAGTGATTGGATTAAGCGAAAGATATCAAAGAACCTTTAATCGTATAAAGAAAAGACTTTTAGCATCTAAAGTAGTACGAGAGAAAAAACACAAAGAATATCGTGATTATGCAGCCCTTAGATTCGAACAATGGTCAGCGTTAGCAAGGGGGGAAGAGATATCTGGATCAAGATACGATCCAAAAGTTGAAAAGCAATTGAAGCAAGAGTATTTAACGGCAGGAAAAAAAATATACGTTGTCAGACAAGAGTTGAAAGCGTTTATGAAAAGGCGTGGTTTAGAATTTGAAGAGCCGGATTTGGATTGATGATTTTGAATAAATTTAAGCTTTCTGATATGTTGGTGTTTGTCGAGTATTGTGAATGGGTCAACAACCATACCATTGATTGTGTATTGTGTTGGATATTACATCAACAGTTACTGGATTGTTGATTGATATATTGACACGGTTTATTACATATACATCAATGACTTGATAACAACCAGTGTTGATTGTACATGTAATTATCAGTCATACTTGCAATCACTTGTCAGTTGCATGATATCACCAACTGATCATGTCATGTATTGTACAACAAACGTAGCAATACACTTGTTCAAAGTCGAATGTAGATTGCGTCATTAACCGGTTTGATATTGGTCAATTAGTGTTGTTTTGTCAGTTTGTAATGTAATATATGTGATGTGGTATTGGTAGTGTCGTATTGACGTCAAATGGTTCACTTTGATATTCATCCTGCAATGGCTGTTCTGAATTGCAATATGCAATGATTACTATACATTGACTGTATTGCATGTTTGATATACAACGACTATCATATGATACACAATCATACTATAGTGTTGAATCTACACTTTGTGCACTCTTAGTAGTCATACATTATACGATCACCAAGTTTGAACCCACATTCATGTATTGTGTTTGACTGTCAATGTTGTCAATACAACTCTGTACACACATTTGTTGTATTCCGAGTCACAGATACGATCGCAGTCTAGTTCAACAGCAATCATGGCACATGTCAGTAATGCAACTGTATTATCAACCATGACATGACACTGTTATTTGGTGGTCCATTTACATGGATACGACTGCAAGTTGTTGTTATATCACGTATTCTAAACATGGTTTTGATATTGCGCATCCAGTTCCATCACATTGTTGTTAACCCATCATTTTAATGCTGTATATTATCATAATCATAATCATGGACATCAATATGTGGTTTCACGTATAATATTAAAACCATGCATGTCGTTGGTCGAATCATCACTACTAGTGTATACTACAATACACTACATTACATGTATGTTGCTATTGGTATTGCATGTGTCAATACGACATGACAAGTAATATCATATCGACACAATACACACATGCATGTCAACATCATCAATGTGTACAACTATGCAATATACAATCAACTGTATTGTATCGTATTGTATTGGAAATACAAGTGTCAATGTACAATATGATATGATACCAACCAAGATTGTGTACAATAATCATATACAATGCATGCAAATCCAATATCAAATGGTAATTGTATCGTATCGTATTTTATTCAAATAAAAATGCAATCGAGTCAGTCGAAACCAGTTCAGATTAGCAATCAAATCAATCTGAATCTGAATCTTCATTTTCAAGTTGATTCCAGCCTGATCCAAGGTTATTTTTCATTTTGGAACAAGCTTTCCGTGAACGAGAACAAGATCTGGAAGTTTTTCGTGAACGAGAATGAGAACGAGAACGGGATCTGGAAGCTCTTTGTGTACTGGATGTTTGAGTGGGTTGATCTGTAGACGTTTTGCTTGATGATGATGGACTTTTATGATGTTTTGATTTGTTCTGGGTTCCACTAGTAAAGGCTTTCTTGAATCTTGACTGTTTGTTTAGTCGGAGAATAAGAGATTGATAGATATTTTTAACAAAACTGGGATTTGATTTCATAAATCCGATTTGAGAATAAAGTGATGTTGTACTCGGACCATTTTGAAACAGGCGCTCTGCAAGTTTTTTTCTGGCTGAATCAAGCACCAGATCATCAGCGTAATAAAGATTGCCATCGAGTTTCAAACGCTTTTGTTGAAGGCTGAATAATTTTTCGTTCTCTTCATTAAGCTTCTGATTAATTATTTCACTTTTTTCTTGATACTCTGGATCATCCGTGTTCGGATATTTTAGTGACAGCTCGTAATTCTCTTCACGCAGGAGTTCTACCAATTCTTTTTGATTGAGCTCTTCAGATTTGGCCGAGTCACGAGCTTTCTTTACCTCTTCACGTTTTTGATCCTTTTCTAGATATTCTTTGATCAACTTCACATCATCCTTTGAGAGTTTACCAAGATTAACTGAAAATGTAGATCCTTTATAAGAAAGTACATGATGCTTAGATTTAGTACTTTTAGTTGCACTGGGAATGACGGTTGAAGTACTAGCTTCAGCACTTGTAGTTGCACTTGTAGTTTTCCTGGGATTGACTGGTTTGGCTGTAGTAACCGAGCAAGCAAACAAGATTGATGCCAATAATGTGACTGCGAGTTTCATTGTATTGGTCAAACAAGTTGTAATTATTGGTATTCAACAAGCAAGGCTGGATTGTATTTATATCGGCTATTGGATGGATAATATTAAAAGCATATTGGATGACCTTCCTAAGGGATTGGCTTTATTATCAGGGTTAATGGTGATTTGACATCAATATCCAACTTTGAAGGGATATCCATTTATATAACAACCGCAATATTGGTTGAACCACTGCATGGCTATGCATTCGAGTATTATATGGTTGATTGTGTATTCCACCCTTATCCACCCTAAAAAGGGTCAGTGAGCTGAAATATGAACAAATGCATGTTTAAACAAGACCATCTAACAACTGAGTTGATATTCAGTTGTTGGATGGTCATCAATATGTGTTGTGGTTGTCATGATTCAAACATGTGGTTTAATGATGCTCTGCATTCAACTCGACATGATCAATCATCACTGCATATTGTCCAGTAATTCAATCAATCAACTGAATCAATACAATGCAATTCATGTTGCAACCACAATGTCACATTGATGATCAATGACTTGCAACTGTTGTGTTGGCATTGCATGTTGTGTGTTATTATATCAATATCGATTGTCACTATATAGTTGTATCAACCACACATTATGATCATATGTCATGGTTGACTCGTATTCTGGATTGGTGCACTCATTACATTGTATTCCATTCCATCACTCGAACACAAACATCGTATGACTTGTTGATTGATAATACCCATATTGATCGAATACACACTACATGACACATCTCAGGTTAGCGTATACATTCCACTATATAGCACATCATGTTGCTGATATCACGCATTGTGATTCAACAGTCAATCTGTATTCGAGTTCAACTACAATTGTTCGTGTTAATCATAATATACACGACCAATTGTAGTCGAGTTGATCCGACTGAATAGAGTCCGAGTCATCATGTTCATATCAAACCATTGCAGCTGATTGTTGTAAAATCACAACCTCACAATCAATCACCAATCACTATACTTCCGCTCATATATCTGTATTTGTTGTATGCTTTTATGATTCGAGTTCGGTCACTTGTCAATTCATCTCGATAGTGTTTGGCTTCAGTTGGTGATTGAACACCTTGAATATACTGCGTGGCATCATTCCACAGTTCAGGCAGTATGTGTGCCTTGTCAAGACTCGAGTTGCACCATTGTGGTTGTTGTGGAGCCACATGCGCAGTCGAAACAATCCGACAGGCTGGATTCACTACAAAAAATGTCAGAATCTTGCAGTGTCCTGGTTGAGTTGGATCTGCAAGTTCAAATGATTGTTCTTTGTGTTGGTATCGATTGGGATAAACTACACATCGACCATTTGGTACTTCAAGCGATCCTATATACTGACTGCGTGGTGATTCTTGATCAATGTCATACACATCTTTCCAATACATATCAGATGCTCCTTGATATTCAAACCGATCAACAGCCACGCGGAAATCGAGTTTGGGTGTGGTGATATTTTCCACGTCATAGTAATACAGTCCAGTTGCAACAATCGATTCGTTAATTGGACCTTCATTGTGCCAGTTTCCCTCGTCGTATTTAGGTTTGGATGGTGTCAGTTGAATGTTGGTGAGTTTGACAATGACTTGTAGATTACGACCACGCAGTGATACTGGTTTTGCTGATTTATAATTGGGTTCAAAATGTTCCGAAAGTGTTGGTACATACACAGGACGAATGACTCGAGTGTCTGATTCCATATCATCATGGTCTGACTGGCTTGATGGTTTATATCCCTTTGTGCCATTGTGAATATCAATATACTTGAACATTGGATCCATCGTTTTGAACAGACTTTCAAACATTGGGACAAAACATTTGAATATTTTGGCAATGCATTTGTACATGTCTCGATGTCATATCGGATTCAGATTGTTGATGTATGAGTTGATGGTCACACTGCCATCCTGTTCGACACGGAATTCACTCGGAAGCCATTGGAACTTGGATGATATAAACTCGGAATCACCTTCAATGATGGGCACATTTGAAACAAGCTGAGTCGATAACAATATATCGCATGGTACCATTGTGGTGTATTTGAGTCGTATACTCAGTGGTGCAATCATCGTTTGTCCATATACAACACTGTACATTGATGCATCAATCAGATTGTGCACCATTTGACCAGTGTTGTGATTTGATCCATGTTCAATATCCGATACATTTGTCATCAATCGCGTGTATACATTGTCAGGTATGCCATTGTCCAGTATATACGTCAGTTCAACAGGTCCTGGGACAATTGTGCCCAATCCATCACTGCCATTACAAACAAGCTGCTTGACAAAAACCCCAAGTTGTTCCAATGCAAGATTAAATGTTGATGGTGATATATTCCGATCGAGTGAGTCAGCCCTCCATTGCTCCACAATATGCTGGTTTGTGATATCGATCCACCACATGGGTTTGCAGAGTATAGATTGCAGATACTGGATATACTGCATCTCGACAAGTGTGCGTGCCTATCCATGTGTATATCCAGCCATTCCAAAACTCATATCAATTTCGGCATTGTCGTTGTATGGCCAAATATCCGAACTAGCAACATGAACCCGATACTGGAAACACGTTTCAATGATCTGGCCAGCAATCCTTTTGTTTCTGTGATCAGTAGTATTCGATTTTGCAACAGCCATTAGATTTTCAAATATCCTGCCTTGATCCAACTCGGTACGTATTGAACTGTCGGGATGATTATCGGCAAAATCAACAAGTGTTTTGAGTAGGTTTACAATACCAGCAGCAGGACCATGCAAACGTATATCTCTACGTGAAAAAATAGTGTTGAGTTGCTTTACAATTCCATATTCTTGAAACACCTTGATCATCTCGGCCTTGTTTGTAGATTTCTGAATCATGCTGTTGACATGATCAAACAGGCGAAAAAAGCCATTCATATCGACATCACACACCGATATCGTCAATTGCTCAAAAACCAACGATCGTACAAGCGATACAGGAAAATTGCGCATTTTGGATGCAGCTGTTCCAGCTATCCAGATCATGCGTGGTTTTAGTTCAAAGTTGTCGCTGTATCTGACACACAAGTCGTTCAGTGTTTGAATCAAATCCAGCCTTATCAACTCGGCTGAAATCACTTCACAATATTCATAGTTGAAAAAACTCTGAATAGTATCAATACTTTGATCAACCACTTCTTGATCGACACTCCTGTATTCATGTCATGTCAATCCAACCATGTCAAATTTACCAATTGTGATGACTGGACACACATTCATGCATAACACCACATACCTGAGCGTATTGACCAGTGCTGGAATGATGCCACATTTCACTGCTTTTACTCGGTCATGAGGATAAATATTCCAAAATATGATTTGAAGATTTTTGATAAAACCAACAGCAACTGAACCATTGGATGATTCCAGTCGTGAAATAAGTCTTGACAACACGATGCCAAACTAATGATATTGTTCAATGTCAAGTATACAATCAAATCAACATGACATGACACTGTCCAAACTGATCCAATATTGTATCATTGTAAACATACATTTTCATCGTCAATACTATGGCAAACTTTCGAGAACAGGTCAATCGCCAATCTGAGCACTTGTTGATCAGACTCATGAACAATAATCTCGACCATTGGCTTGATGTCAAATTGATCCTCTTGACTCCAGTGTCTATAACTGTACACCTCTGTACATGCGTTTATCGCCTATATGGATATTGACACTAGATGAGTTGAATGGCAATCATTTGATTAATATCAATCATGACTTGCCATCAATTTGACTTGACGGTTTGGTGATTGCATGAGTTGTACAATTTGGTTGTTTAGTCGTTGAGATGGTTTGAGCCGATCATAACTGTACATCATACTCGCAAATACTGTAGTAAACTCCATTACTTTGATCTACACAACACATGTTGATTAGTTTAGTCATGAACAATCCATTATTGTTACAATATATGAATACCTGTAAACTGGGTCGATTATACTCCAAATATTTGGCTGTGATATCTTGCAGTCCAATATTCTGTAAGCGCTGCAATACATCTGTAGACTCTGCCATTTCAAACCAACACAAAGTCAGCAACAGTTTGAATGCATCAATAATACAATGTCTATTAAACTTACTGTAACTACGATTGTACAATTCCTGTATCAAGTCAAGCAGTCTGTCCCATATTTCATCAGCCTTGTATAGTTGATCATCCGTTGTTAACAGTTTCAAATCTTCCAGGTGTTGAATCAACTTTCTGATGCTATCAACACAATCCATGTTTGATAAAATTAGTAAAGTTGAATTTTGATTTGACAATTTTATTCATGCGAATGTCCAACAATTGCCAAGAATTGTTTATGTTTGGATTGTTGTAAAACACACAAACGAATTGTTCCATTTTAGTATTGTTTTGATCAGTTTGTTGTAACAAAATTGGATTGTTATCAAACATGCATTTGGAAATACTGTAAATTAATATTCTGAATGTGATTGTTGTAGATTTGGTTCAATAAACAAGTTAGTTTACTACAACACATGGTAATGGATTACTAAACATCATCATAAATCAAATGGACTGGACTGGAATGAGATCAATGACAATCGCATTACAAATAGTGTGTGGTGATTAAACCATCGAGTATTTCCAAATACAAACTTGAATGAAAAGTCTTGCCACAATACTGATCAACTGTATTACTGTTTACACTGTGGTATTATTGATGTATTGGAATATTTGGTGTTCAGATACACAATGATAATGGTAGTACAACTCATGGCAGTTGTATAAACCAAACGTGATTAAAGCCAATAATAATCTCAGACAAGATTGGATAATGAATTAGCGTGTAAATCATCAACATTGACCAAGATTGATTGAAATGGTGAGATTGGGTTGGATGGTGATGAACAACAAATGTGTGTACAGAGTTGTATTGACAATATTGACAGTCAAACACAATACATGAATATGGGTTCAAACTTGGTGATCGTACAATGTATGACTACTAAAAGTGCACAAAGTGTAGATTCAACACTATAGTCTGATTGTGTGGCATATGATGGTTGTTGTATATCAAACATGCAATACAGTCAATGTATAGTAATCATTGTATGTTGCAATTCAGAACAGCCATTGCAGGATGAATATCAAAGTGAACCATTTGACGTCAATACGACACTACCAATACCACATCACATATATTACATTACAAACTGACAACACAACACTAATTGACCAATATCAAACCGGTTAATGACGCAATCTACATTCGACTTTGAACAAGTGTATTGCTACGTTTGTTGTACAATACATGACATGATCAGTTGGTGATATCATGCAACTGACAAGTGATTGCAAGTCTGACTGATAGTTACAATCAACACTGATTGTTATCAAGTCATTAATGTATATGTAATAAACCGTGTCAATGTATCAATCAACAATCCAGTAACTGTTGATGTAATATCCAACACAATACACAATCAATGGTATGGTTGTTGACCCATTCACAATACTCGACAAACACCAACATATCAGAAAGCTTAAATTTATTCAAAATCATCAATCCAAATCCGGCTCTTCAAATTCTAAACCACGCCTTTTCATAAACGCTTTCAACTCCTGTTTGATACTGTTTACTTTTTTGCCTGTTGCTACATACTCTTCTTTCAATTGCTTTTCAACTTTTGGATCGTATCTTGATCCAGATATCTCTTCCCCCCTTTCTAACGCTGACCATTGTTCGAATCTAAGGGCTGCATAATCACGATATTCTTTGTGTTTTTTCTCTCGTATTTCTTTAGACGCTAAAAGTCTTTTCTTTATACGATTAAAGGTTCTTTGATATCTTTCGCTTAATACAATCACTTGATCTGTAACAGTATTAGCAGACTCGCCTTGGTCCATTGGTTGTTGTTGGTCTTGTCTGGAAGTGCTCGGACCAGCTACATCAATCGGTTGCTGCCGGATTCGTTTGGAAACGTTTGGACCAGCTATATCAGCTGGCCGTTTTCGACCTCGTTTGGAAGTGCTCGAACCAGCTACATCAATTGGTTGTTGCTGGTCTTGATTATCAATATTTGAATTGACTGTATCAATCAAGTCTTTCCAGTCTTCCGGAATGCCTGGATCGGGGTTATCAATTATGGCTTTCCAATCCTGTTCGGAAATGCTTGGACCTAGTTCATCGATTGGTCGTTCTTGAGCTAATTTGGAAGTACTTGGATCAACTACATCTATCGATTGTTGCTGATCTTGGTTGGAAGTGCTTGAATTAATTATATCCATTATGTCTTGCCAGTCTTCGTCGGGAATTTCTGGAGTAGGCTCATTAGTCGGGTCAGATACTCGACTGAAAGTGCCTGATGCTTGTGGTGAACGATCGTTACCAGTCGGTATCAGTATTGCATTAACGGTTGCTGCTGCAGTCAATACAAATAGAATATGAACCAATTTCATCAGATTGGTCAATGAGTTTAAACAATTAATACAAAAGTAGTGTTAAAACTGGTATCGATTATGAAACTGGACATATTTGATCGTATTTGTATTTTTGTATAGCAAACCAACCCTAACCCTTTTAGGTTAACCAGTTATACAGGGTTACTTGATTGCTTGTAGTGGTTTACTATTAAATTAGACAGTATGCTGCTCCCTATCCATAATATCATATTGATCGATTTGATTTCGCGCCAATTGAACTATGCTTTTACGACCCTTTGATCAGGCATTTTGAAAAGCACACCCTTCATGAGTGTTGTGTAGCCGCAAACGCTCCTTTTTACAACTGTATTCGTGTGAAATGAATCCCTTTGTTATTCAACATGCAATGGCTGTTCTGAATTGCAATATACAATGGTTACTACACATTGACTGCATTGCGTGTTCGATATACAACAACCATCATATGCCACACAATCAGACTATAGTGTTGAATCTACACTTTGTGCACTTTTAGTAGTCATACATTATACGATCACCAAGTTTGAACCCACATTCATGTATCGTGTTTGACTGTCAATGTTGTCAATACAACTCTGTACACATTTGTTGTATTCTGAATCACAGATACGATCACGATTTAGTTCAACAGCAATCATGGCACATGTCAGTAATGCAACTGTTGTTTGCATATGCATGACACTGTTATTTAGTGGTCCATTTACATCAATATGGCTGCAAGTTGTCGTTATATCACGTATTCTGGACATGGTTTTGCTATTACGCATCCAGTTCCATCACATTGTTGCTGGCACATTATTGTAACGATGTATACATCAAACACTGGCATATACTCATAACCACAACCAGTAAAGTGACACTCGAGTTGTTTACTGTAGTCAATATATACAACCCAGTTCGACTGCACATACTGGATCCAGTCTGTTGGTTGTTTCAGTTGATCTTGATTCACTTTTGATGTTCTGTCCGAGATTGACAATACAAATGTGTCAAGCTGAACCCAAACTACGCGACTCGACTGTTTGTGTCAATTGGATCGTGATCGAGATATGCGATCATGATGTGTATTCAATCCATACCATGTATTACCAATGCAATAGTATGCGTGACCATCGTGTATCAAACAACTACGATACACACTGGACCAATCCAATACATGCACGGCTTGAACATATCACACAATCAAACATGAATACACCACATTAAAAATACGTATAGTAGCAGTTTGTCTATAATGAATTGTATTCAGTCAAGTTTATCGTGAGTCGTTGTGTGACTTTTGACAGTGTGGTGAGTGTTTTCAGGCACAACTACTTGATCAGTTGTAGTTGTTGGTTTCCTTCTGCGAATAAATGTGCCACTTGAACCTGAAGTACTTGGTTGTTCAGGCAATCTAATAGTATGCATCAAATTCATGATCAGTATATCAATTGACACATCCACACATCAATATCAAACAACTTACTGTGATGGTGACCAGAGCACTCGATAATGGTCCGAAATAATAGGATATCCATCAGTCAAGACTTCACATCCACATCCAGGACCAAACCCAATGCGTGCATTTTGTCGATCAAATGTCAATCCAAGGCGGCTCATAAATGATGCACCAAGAACTGCATGATCATTTGAATCAGCTTTTACAGCAAACACCACTATAATTCAACATGTATATCAGTCAGATTAATCAAACAACACACATTGCATACAATTGTCAAATATTTACAATTTTTAAAATCGACTTTCTGTATATAGTCTCTAGGACCCAGTTTGATTGTTACAATGGAATCGCGATTTTCATCAGTTACGGGGGTTTCAGCAAACATTGTAATTGTAAGCGTCGGCAGCTTGTTCCACTTGATAAACATAATGGCTTCGGGCATTAGATGGTGTCTCCAAAATATGTCATTAAAATCTTGTCTGTTGAGGAAATCGATTCTATACACATTATATTTGACAGTGATCGCATCACTATCAGCAATAGCATCAACCAACGCTTTCACGATTGTTTCAGGGAAACTCATATATAAAAAACATGTTTCCACAGTAGAGTACAAAATACGTCCATTTTCCATCCTTTTTTGGAATTCCTCGGGTAGATCCACTTGTTTGTCATTGACTAGTACACTCTTGATGTTGACAGTATGACGATCGTCTGATGGTGACTCTACCCATGCAATACTTTTTCCATTCGTTCCGCATTTTGCAGCTACGTCCGTGTTTCCTATATTGATGAAGCTTTCTGAAGTCATATCATACGGACATAGTTGAAGACTAACCTCGTTATTAGGAATGACATCATTGTTGTACAAAATATCCATCGCAGTGGTTTTTGAATGATGATTTGACAACGAGGTATAGCCAAACCCAAATATTCCTTGCTTGAGTGTTCCACCAATACCAACTGAATCTGCCGATAGTTTTTTAACTGCTAGTATTGGTAAACTTGTGTCAGTTATCCTGGTACCTGGAATCGTCACAGCGACTGTGGGAATAACTCCATAATAATCACTGTATTTGTACTTTATAGTAATGGGTTGTCCATTTGAAATACTTTCTGGAGTCAAACCTACATCGTTGCTTGAACTGGGAAGTGGTATGATTATATCAGAGATATCTGAATCGACTCGTAAACTCAACTATTTTAAACAAGTGTGAGATTGATTAAACGTAGTACAAACTGATATCAAACTACAATAAATGAAATGATACATACACCGACTCCATTAACATTGACTTTCATTGTGAAACATTGGCCAATGTCACTACCCAATTGAACAGGTGATCGTTTTGATAGCCTATTGCTTGATTGACTGGTAGTTCCAATTGGTGAGTGTAATGAAACTCGAACTGCAGAAACCGCTTGCAACGCAAGTAGAATGCATTCTAGAGTAATCAACATTGTATCAAGTAGTGTGATGAGTGTCGTGAATCTGGTACATGACTGCCGTTTTATAACGACGGCAGCTTCAAGGGTGACAATCAGCAATTTTCAAATGAATGATCAGAAAAAGCCAAAGCACCATGCAGGGTGAGCAAAGCCGAAAACACCCTGTAGGGTGAATCAATATACAAGCATCACTGTTGGTGTATGATCAACCTCGGTAATATTCTGGAATGATCTCTCCAATTGTGGTCATGTATCCAGTGATCAGATAGTGTCAGATTGTCACCTTGATTATGGATAATTATCATCACATATACAATCCATTACTACAACATATACTGTCATTGTGTACCAAATACATGACTGATTGTTCAATTGGTCATGTATTTGAAATACTCGGACACAACAGCATCAAACAACCTGTTATTGCAGTATTTCAAAACCATGACTTTTCCATTGGTATGACTGCACAGTCATTTTAGGTCAATGTAGACTGTATACATCAAACACTGCTGATTGTGTCACAACATGATCAACATCAGACTCGGTAAGCTGTCGCCGCTACACCGAATGAGTGATGTTGTACTATAATTGAATTGGAGATTGGCAGGTCGTTCAACAAACTGGCCGTGTCAACAGGTCAGATTGTCATCGTATACATGAACCACAATGGATGATAATGTCATTCAAATCAGCACACAATCTACTGATATATGCAAAACAACACCACCAATACAATACAAATCAAACTTTTAAACACATGATACACACTGATGGTGATGGTTGCTGACAGTCATATTGCAGTGTACATGTCCACTAGTGTCCACTGTCATGTCGATTGTTGCTATCCGTGACATCCAACTAGATCACAATCAATGTCTAACAAATACAACACAGTAAACTAGCCACGAGTATCCAAGAGTATGTCAATTGATGTGATCTACCAAAACAGCATAGTATTGACTGTTTTGTTAAAGTGAATTCAATCAAGACACTCCAGTATCTCGAGTAGAAATATCAGATTTACTCACCTTTGTAGTGAATCCGCAACAAATCGCACAGATTAGAAACAAAGTTTGAACAAATCGAAATGGCTCAAATTTACAACTGAAACCAAAATGGTATACAATCGCATTCATGTAGAGTTGAACACTATCTTGCAGTGATTGACTGTTGGTTTGGAATAAACAATGTTGAATATTGGTTGTAGTTTTGTACTGGACATTGACTGTTGATTCAATATACATTATGAATTATTATAAACAGTGTCAGTGATATGATGCTCACAAACTATGATTTAAACTGAAATAGTCTTGAATCAGCGTTTGTCGTTTCTGTTGTATTCTGAATCACGGATACGATCGCAATCTAGTTCAACAACAATCATGACACATGTCAGTAATGCAACTGTTTATTACACACCAACACTGTTATTTGGTGGTCCATTTATGTCAATACGACTGCAAGTTGTTGTTATATCACGTATTCTGAGCATGATTTTGATATTACGCATCCAGTTCCATCACATTGTTGTTAACCCATCATTTTAATGCTGTATATTATCATAATCATAATCATGGACATCAATATGTAATTTCACGTATAATATTACAACCATGCATGTCGTTGGTTGCATCATCACTACTAGTGTACAATACAATACACTGCATGTATGTTGGCATGTGTTGTACCAAGTTGATTGCATTGCTACAATGTGGCATGCTCCAACCTGTTTGAATGACTGTTGTGCAACATATTGATATTGACCACATGTGATACTGGTCACCAACAAAGTGATCAGCGGTATTCGATCGTATCATTCAATTGATCATCCAATCTCATAATCAATGCATTTCAACATACTCCACTGCATGTACTGGATCATGACAACAACATATACAATACATATCAACTGATACAATCATCAACCATTGCATGATTTCAGTTGCCAATCAAGTCGATATTATGATATTGTTCAATGTCAAGTATACAACCAAATCAACAAGACACAGTTCAAACTGATCCAATATTGTATCATTGTAAGCATACATTTTGATTGTCAATACCATGGCAAATGGTCGATAACAGATCAATCGCCAATGTGGACACTTGTTGATCGGACTCGTAATCATATCAATCATGGGATCAACGTTTCAGTTATACTCATTATTGAACAACTCTGTACATGCGTATATCATGTATATGCATATCGACACCAGGTGAGTTGAATGTCAATCATTTGATCAATATCAATCATGACTTGACGGATTGATGATTACATGCATTGTGCAAGCTGGTTGTTTAGTCAATGTGATATTTTGAACCGATCATCACTGTATACCATACTCGCAAACATTGTAAACTCTAAACTACACAGTCAATATTGGTCATGACATGATCAGCAAGCAATGATGCCTGTAAATATGTTGACCATCCAATACATGAATGACCGACATTCCATCGTCATACTTGGTCTGTACTTGATCGTTTGTGGCTTATTGTGGCTTATTAGTTAGGGCTAGACTGAAAACCAGTGCAAAGCTACACAATCGATTAATCATGGTATTTGAATGCACAGTCAAGCAGTAGCTAATCAAGATTGCACACGATATAAAGGGATCCTCCTTTTCATTACTTCGGTATTGATAGCAATAAACCAACATCAACCTTGACAACAACACAAATTCCTTAGGACGGCACTCAAGGAACATGCTTTTAATACTATCCGTTCAGTAGCAGGTATAAATACGATCCAAACCCTACTTGCTGAATAACAACCATATACAACTTGTTTGACCAAACCAGTATAATGAAGCTCGCAGTTGTCGTATTTGCATCAATCCTGGCTGTCTGCTCGGTCACTATTGCTAGTCCAGTCATCCCCAGCTCGACTACAAGTGCTTATCCTAGCACTTCAACATTTACTGATTTAGATGTAGATTCAGTTTATTGTGAAGGATTTTCAAGCAAACCTAAGAAGTTGATCAAGAAATATGCGACAGTGAAGCGTGGTGCCGACACAGCAGAGAAAGATTTTAGGTCCGCATCAATGGCAGTTGATTCTCAAAAGGAATTAGTAAAGCATCTGAGTAAAAAAGTTAAGCTTTTAAAAGCTAAACGTTTGTCAAAAAATGATGATTCAAGCTATAGCGAGACTGTAATCGAGCTTCGAAAAATGCGTCGAGACCTTGTGGATCTCGAAAAGCAGCGAGAGATATGTGACGACGAATACTCTGTTTGGCGTCGAAAGTTGTATTCAGCCGAAAAAAACTCACAGGATACTTTTTTGATGATAGTTTTAGTCTTCACAACACAATTAGTACATATATGAGGAGACTTCAAGCAAATTACATGATTATGGATTGCATTCATCAATTCTATACTGGAATACCGAATCGATTATCAGAATCCATGTATGCCTCTATTAGTGGAATGCAGGGTCCATCACAACAAGATTTTGAAAACTCACCACCATCATATGACGTTGTAATGAATAATCCTAAACATTATAAAGTGACTCTACAAGGTACTGATCCTGAACTTCCATCATATGACAAAATAATGCAGAACCTAGAGAATTTTCCCAAGGTTTTGGAAGATCCTGATGTTACTCAGCCGTCATTAGTAGAAACATCTGCAGTTCATCCCACTCAAACATCTTCTAGTGTTCCACCCAGTCAACACACAGCTTCATCCACTTTACAGAGAGTTTCATCCACTCTACGGAGAGCTAAGTCATTCTTGAGTCGACACTAAAATGAAGATCGCGAATTATCGATTCAAGTGCTAATCCAAACTGGCTCTAATCTAATCGACTGTCATTCTACAACCGCATTACTGATTCAGCTTGTAATAAATACACTACATTACAATACAATGCATTGAACACACATGTGTTGAATTTGATCATTCCAGTCTTGATCAACATGCTTGCTGATATCATTGTACTTTGACACTTGTATTTTAAATACAATTGGTTATATATTGTATGCCTGTACAAATCAATGATCCTGACATGCATGTGTTTTGTTGATATAATATCAGTTGACAAGTCGTATTTACACATCATGTATCAAGTAGAATACCGAGATTAACAAAATAGTTGTGTTGATATCAGATCTGATCAACTCGACCAGTTTGACTCGTTCAAAAATGACGAGTCATTGGTATACTCGCTGTAATATACCATATTACACTGTTGACATCGCGCATCCAATGACAATGCAATGTATCAACTCACTCGATATGGTTGGTATCGATCGTTGCAGTCGTCGAGTGTCGTCATTGCTCATACATTACCAGTTGTGTGTGATTGACATTGATCATCATGACATGTGCTCAAATGCAACATATCAACATACACCATGACATGTGTGATCCACTACAACAATTACAATCGACTGTGTATGCTAATTGTTGATCAATACTCGAGTTTACTGGTATTTTTGGTTGAATACTTGATACGACTCTAAATACAGATTCATGAAAATATCAACCTGGTTTCATGAACCGATTTAATTGTATACTAAAAACCCCAAAACATGCATATATGCAATAATAAACAGTTCAGGTAATGTGTCATTACTTTAAAATATTTGGCGTCTATCAAGCCAATGTCTATTCTTTGTATTTTTTCAATACCTTTCTTATTGTTTAAATTCATTAACCTATGAGCTTATAAAACCATGCATTGATGTTGAAATTAAAAATTCATTATCAAACTGTTTTTTCTTGACCTGTTTCAAGCAATAGAATCTTCATCGGGAACGACCTGCTGATACTGCGCTGGCTTCTTTTGCCTATTATTGGAAAGTCTTTGAGCAAACCAGCACGCAATTCCAATCAAAGTTGCACAAATGGCAAAAATAAATGAATGGGACACACTATCAACTTTGAGAAGAATCAAAACAACAATGAGGTTGAGAGGAATGCGAAAGATATTCATGACTGTAGAACGAGTATTCTCTGGAATCACTTTGCTGCGAATAGACCCTACTGATGGAAAATAAATGCCACAACAGATCTCAAATGCATTAAAGGCTATATACGTGAGTGCTTCATTGGTCGTTAAAGCTGGAAGAAAAAACACGACGGATGCAACCGAAAACACAACTTTGGCAATAGACTCATGAGTAAACTGTTTTTGATTAAGCATTTTGAAAAATAGCGAACCAATCATAATGCAAACCATAAAGCTGGAAAATATGACACCAAAGGGAAGTTTGATGGTAGATCCAGCCAATGTTTCCAAAACAGGAGACCATAGAAACACAAAAGTGTACATGGCACTTTCAAAGCAAAACTGCATTGTTCCAACGGCAAAGATATCGGGATCGTTATAGATGATTTGAATGACTGAGAAAAACGACGGAGAGGAAGTGGATGCAGACTTGTTTCCATAGTTTTCTGTCCATGTTAAAATGATAATAACCATGGCAAGTATCAAGACCACGATGGCAATCATAAATGGTGCAACCAGTCCAAAATAATCCACAGAAAAATTCGCAACGATGCCTAAAAACAGTGATTGTACAGGTTTAGTTGAACATTTGGATTACAAAGTTGTGCGTCATTATTCAACCTGCCTGATATAATTGCTACCAGACCATTGACAAAAGTCGACCAGGCAAAAGTTTCAGACAAAAGATTTTCACCAAATCCTAGTCAATGGCATTAGATTGTAGATTTCAACAAGGTTAGATCAATCACACATGGACATCGAGAATATATTGATTTACCGCGTGAGCGATGCTCTGATATCATCCAAGACTCAAAGACAGTAAACAGCAATGAAGTGGAGATGCCTCCTAGAACTCGTCCAAGCATGAGCATTCCAAATTCTGGAGAAAGCTTAGTGAGACAGGAAAGAGCATAAAAGACACAGAACAACACACATCCCAGTCTTCTTCCGCTGATGATAGGAGTTGATTAAACGATACAAAACATAGGGTTAGATTCTATCTAAACGTATCATTCAACATCTGTCCACAGCAATGGCGGCAACACATGAACCAACACTCACAAACGGTCGGCAATGGAGCCCACAAACGTGCCAACAATAGCTGATGACAAAAACCCAGTGACAAACAACAAGGCAATGATATCAAGCTCATAGTTGTAGGATTTGTAGAGCGAGTATATATAAGGTCCTTGTAACCAGTCAGAGATAAGCACTAGTCCGTAAACAAGTAGATAGTTACTTTGGAACGCACGAAATGGGGTCCATGAACCACGGATTGGTAGGCTGAAAAAGGACCGAGGTTTAGCAGTAGTAGTAGATGCAGGATATTTGGCAGCAGGGGTAAAGAAACCTTGACTAAAGTATGAAATATAGATGCCGACTAGAATGAGCAATGCCAGACCTGCATTGTAGTAAAAGTTGCGAGATAATCCTGCAGAAATAGCAGCATCCATGCTAGTAATCAGTTCAACTCTTTCAGTAAAACTAGAGCTAACAATTTGAAAGCAATGTGCAAGGAAAGCAAGACTATGAAATCACAAGATGGTTGAGGCGGGATTGGAGTACAATGCATCACAGACTACTTGTTAAATTGTAGCTGCTGAAATCCAGTGCTTTAACAAGACTTGCTATCTATGATAATCAACGTACTGTATTCCCTTGTTGTAGTCCATTATGTGATTCGTAGTGGACTACAGCAACAGAAGATCTCCATATAAATCTTTTTAAAGTTAAAACTCGGACACAACAAAGGTACGCATCCTCCAGATCATATATAGTATATACAATCGAACATAAATAAAGTACCCTAAGGTACTTTTTACACTAATAAATCATTACCGTCTTTTTTTATTTCATAATTTCGCATCGAAAATAAACGATCTTTTAATTGTTATAATTAATTAAAAGATCGTTTATTTCTGACAAAGTCTGTGTATAACCATTTATCTCTCAAAGACTTTAAATAAATGTTCTGAAAGTGTAAATGGTTATACGCAAACTTTCACTGTCAAAAATAAAATTCCTCCGGGTTTCCGGGCTTTCGGGTTTCAAGTTTTCCCGCAAATCTATATTTCAGTTAAATTTTGCGTATAACCATTGTACACTTTCAGAACCATTTATTTGATAGTATTTGAGAGATAAATGGTTATACACAGACTTTGTCAGAAATAAACAATCTTTTAATTAATTATAACAATTAAAAGATCGTTTATTTTCGATGCGAAAATATGAAATAAAAAAAGACGGTAATGATTTATTAGTGTAAAAAGTACCTTAGGGTACTTTATTTATGTTCGATTGTATATACTATATATGATTTGGAGGATGCGTACCTTTGTTGTGTCCGAGTTTTAACTTTAAAAAGATTTATATGGAGATCCCCTGCTGTTGTAGTCCACTACGAATCACATAATGGACTACAACAAACGTACTGCATTCCCTGACGTTCAATTTCAACTCCGCCACGTATAGAAACCTTGCAATTAATTCTTATTCTTGATTGTATGAATCTTTACTGTTGTAGATAGATCCAGAGTAGCCAGCAAGTCAAAAGTATACGATCATTATAGATATCATTCTCTTGCTAAATGTGCTCCTGGTTCTACTGTCTGTTTTGTAACACAATTGCAGCCATTATTCATGATCTGTTACTTGGATGCACTAGTGTACTACCGACAATTGCAACTTTCCATAAACTCCGACTCTACTGTTCCTATATATACAGCTCTATTCTAATTCATTATCTAAACATACTCTAGTCCGATATTCCTTTTATCTGAGCAAAATCAAGACTACTTGAAACTCTTCCAGTATTTATAAGCAAACCTGTCACGAATTTCATCTCTACCAATTACTATTCCAGGTATGGCTTTGTTGCGTATATTCGACCACTTTAAAGTTGAACTTTGTAGCAGTATTCTGAATGATATCAAGATTCATTTCCTTGTTCAACCCCACCATATACCTCATATAAACTCAGAGCCTTTGCATAGCATCACTCTGCAGGATGCAATGAGTATAAGCCTTAACCCTAGTAGTTCAACTACGGGTTAGCTCATACTTGTGAATGTCAGGGTTAGCAACCACTTTATCTATTTTTAAAAAATCAGCTCTGCTGCACACCATATTACAGTCTTGTCATTGCTTGCAATAGGCATTGTTGGTGCATGACCGTCAGCCATGCTGAACTCGACCATGAATGGATAAATGTTTATATTTCTGCTGCGTTACATAGTAACAAGGCTTGCATTATTCCTGGCTCTATTCCTTATTCTCAGAGCTGATACTGGTTGATACTGGCTGATATTCAATGCATGCAATATCTACTTTGTCTATCATCTTTGAAGGTCTTGGTTGTTTCTAGTAGAACTGCCATATCTACTCGTGGATATCATTCACCAATAGATTTGTGCAATTGTAGCCACAGCTTGGCTCTGGCTAGTTTTTATTTGATAATATATCCTTTGGATAGAACTGCATGTGAATAGTAACTCGTATGCTTCAAGTCCACTCATGACTTTGTCTTGCACTCGAGATTACTGCTTATACTGTCCGGATCAAGATCACCCGCCATCCATGAATCTGTATGCATACTGTGCTACCGAACCCTATTTTATTTAAATCACGTTGGGGTCTTTAATTGTTTACTATCAGGCAATAAGAATCTGTAAATTGCCTACATGTATCCCTTATTTTTTGTATCCATCTTGCAGTCAAAGCCTCTTGCTTTGGAATAAGCAGTGACCGAGTATTTGTTGTGCACTTTTGGAAATTGACTGCCTCGATAGATACAACGCTCATCCTATGGTACAAACTATAACTTTGAATTGAAAGGATTCCCATACGTTGTACAATCACCAGATTCATTCATTCCAAAGATTGGATCCAACTCTTGTCAATCAAGCTTTGAACAAATGTTGGGGATCCGCTGGAATAGAAATGTGAATACTGCTTTGAATATTTACTCAGTTGCACAAAAATGGGCATAGAGCAAAAAGACCAGTGAATTTTGTACAAGTTCAAAGGGCACAATAACTGCCCAGTAAATTTAGTGGAGCCGGTACCCATTATTTCACGAGACTTGGCTGTTATGTACTGATACCCTTAATATTTCATTTTATGCGAGTATGGTTGTAAAAGTGCAGATATCTAACCTAGTATTTGTTTAAACTACCATGTACTTCTGGGACACTGCAATAAACCCATAAAACACCAATGACCCCTATTATTGCCAAACATTTTGGTCTATTTTCAGCTCGTTCCTCTGCTAATAACATACGTCATGAAGTCTATAATGAGCACCAGAGCCATTCTTGTGTCAGGAGTCCTGATCGTTGCCATAATACTGATGGTGCTTTCATTCACTGAAGTATCACATATCGAAAACATTCTGTCAATGGTGCAAAAAGGTGGCTCATTAAGTACAGTTCATGCACCTATGGATTTGGATGTAACCGACTTTTCCAAGTGTCTTGCAAGCACCAGTGATTATGATAGATCAGAAGTCTGCTGGACCAAATTCAAATTGAAGCAAGTGCGCAAGATGCTAGATCAAATGGACGCCATGCCACGTCATGAGACCATGCACTTTACATCACTTAATGTAAGTTTATTAGGTGCTACCCTTTACTTTGCGATATTCGTGGTATTGGTTTTATATATGGAGATATTGTATTGGTGTGTAACCTCGTCTGATATCAAATGTCGACATCTTTAGAATCATTCCCCTCATCAGCTGCTTGTGCCTACCCATCAGTGTGACGCTCTTAAAATTCAACGGTAAATACCTGTACTACTTTTTATATTTCCATCAGTTTGTTTTCTTGCTAACACGCATGCATCTACACTGCATCTAGATTTGGTCCAAATGCGTACTCTGATAATCCCAAGGGCAGACACCCCGATGGTCCAAAATGGATGTGTCCAGAATATTTGGTTACTCCTGACGACAGTCCGTGCATCATCTTTTCTATTGGAAGCCATGGCGAATTCCAGTTTGAAGAATCAATTCACAAGTTTGTCGGTGACAAATGCAAGGTAAATCATTTATACCGTTTATGTTTTTTCAGGTTGGCTTGTGTACGCCCAATGTGTTATTCACTGTCCATTTTCTAGATTTACACTTTTGACTGCACTGGTACATGGAGCAACCCGACTACCGAGTTTCATCCGTGGTGTATTTCTGATGAAAACAAGGTCGTTGATGGCAAGATATTCAAGACTCTTTCTAATATGATGAAAGATGTTGGTGTTAGCACCATTCATCTATTCAAAATTGATGTAGAAGGATACGAATTCCAGACACTCCGAACTCTTGAAAAAGAGCCCAGTGATGCTCTTCCCAAGCAGATTCTTGTTGAAGTGCATTTCGGTGCGCCATTTAGTTATTCAGACCTTGATACAAGGGTTGATTCGTGGTTAAAGCCAGCAACCACTTTTTACCGAGCCATTGATAAGCTTGGATACAGTATTGCGTTGCGTGAACGAAACCCTACTAGTGAATGTTGTGCAGAATACATTCTGATCAAAGAGCCCTGAGTATAATTTCACTGGTCTCTCGATTGGGTTTAAAATAGTCGATTTCCATTTGATTTTAAAGTCGTATCCGCTACAATGGAACGCTTGATGTATTTTCTTGGATTGACTATTTTACTCAGGAATAAACAATGGTTAAATATTCGATACTTTATTCTTAATTTTTTAGTGTTTGGAATTGTTCAAACAAGTTTATACTTTATTGTACTCGAGCCATTCTCTGTAGAGCTCAAGAATGGATAATATGAAGCGTTAACCATCGTACCGTTTATTGAATGGTTGGTAAATCATGTTTAATCGGACAGTTCCTTTGATCAGTTTCCAAACACTCCAACCATATGAAGCACACAATCAAACTATGTTTTAGATCTTGCTTGGCTTCTCTTATGGCATATTCACACATTGTACGATTGCTATACTTGCTCATTGCAATCCAAACATTTGGACCTACTATTGTCAATAAAAGTATCGATACATTCCTAGTCAATCTGTCCGTCACTCACAAAAATTGGTTTTTGTGCATAGTATGGTTTTCAAAATCATTGACACTGTTGGTCAAAACATTTGCGCTTGATAAGGCCCACAAGCTATACATGTTCAATTTTGAATGTCTGCCATATTGACTTTTTGTTCAAAGCTTGTTTGTCATGATACCACAAAAGTGTATTTTTTGCAATCATCAAATCTAAGCAACTTTTAAAAACACTCCAAAAGTTCTCGCGCCATTAATCAATCATTTGACGTGTTGGTTTCCATGACAGCGCATCAATATAGAAATCCACACGTAAAAGACATGTTTGCCAAAACCATCAAAGGATGTTTCTACACAATGATCCGAAAGGGCACACTATTGTCCAGAACATGGCAAAAGCAAATCAACAAAGCATGTGCAAGTACTTTCGCATTTCCGGTTCAAGTTGTTCTTGTTACAAACCGAAAGCAACAAAGGGACACACAAGCCACGTCCAGACATTATGTTTGCTATTGAGGGTGTTGGCTTTACAAGGTGTATCTGGCACAACCATGACATTGAACAAGCTCTGTTGTATCCTAGTATCAAATACGTTCTAGTTTAAAACAAAAGTTGCACGTCTCGGAAATACAATTGTTGTTTCCATTTCAACACTAAATACTGTAATGTCCGAGTGTTGAATAAAGTGATGGAGATTAAAGAGGTGTGGGGTTTATTGAAACAGATATGCGAATGCTGTTTTAGACATCTATTCAGTTATGCAAAAATGAACACAGCAGAAAAACCAGCGGGTTTTGTCGAAGGGTTTACAAACAAATGTTGCTCAGTAAATTTGATGGAATTATTATTTCGCGAGGTCGGCTGGCTATTAGACAACCCTTATTTAGTGCTTTGTTTTACATGAATGTGGGGCTGTGAATTCGATGGTGTGTTTCCAATCCATTTAGATTTACTCTAAAATAGGTAATATCTTTCCATCAAATCCATCATCGGCATATTATTTCAGATATCAAGTGAAATGGTCACTACCCCGCTTTCTGAGCATCACACTATGAATCTTGCAATTTCAGAGAGTAGAAGCTCGCAGTCCAAGACTCTGAGCTCTGTAACAAACTCGGAAACTTGCGACTCGACCCACCACAACAGATTGCATGAGTCTGTCAGTAATCTTAGTATGCACACTCTCAATCAAAAACAAAACGATGTTGGCTGTTTTGTAACTGATATGCCCGAGTTTCTGCCTGGATCAGTTTTGCTGAAAGAATCAACTACTGATTCTAATTCTATTCATTCAGCCACTAATGCAAGATATTCTGAAACAGACCCTAACCCCAAAGACCACTCTACTGTATTACCTATACATGTTCTGGCTGATGATGAAAAGGTTTCTGAGAGATTGAACGATTTCAATCCAAAATCTGCTTGCTCTGTTACTCGCATCAATAAATCTTCGAGCAAGCTACTGCACTACGATGGATTACGTGGCGTAGCTGCTATCTGGGTCTTTTTTTTGCACTATCTGAATGGACCGACTCCAGCTCTTCACAGTTTCTTGCTGGCATACCAGCCTTGGTCTGCTAGGTAATTCAAAAGTATTTTTCAAAATGACACTCGAACATGTACTTGTGTACTGACATTTTCCGTGCTATTAGTGTGCCAATCTTTTTTATTCTTAGTGGTCGGGTCTTGACAGCTTCTATTCTCAGAACTGGAAATCCTAGACAGCTTGTTTCTGCAATGATTCGTCGTCCGTTTCGGCTGTTTGTGCCAATGATTATTATGGCTACATTAGATCAACTCATATTCCACTTTAACGGCCCTGTAAATTATGGAAAGTTGATTGCAGACCACTTGTGGTTCATGTTTGACAGCGCCAGTATTCCAAACACTGGAACTTGGGTACTATGGACACTGTCGTACGAGTACATCAACTCGAATATTATCTTTGCAGTAACTCTAGTTTTACTACAGTTTCAGGATAATCCTAAAGCTAGATATCTAGTCTTATGTGGCACAATTGTTTGGTTCCAAATTACTACAAATTGGGGTGCACTGTTTATAACTGGCCTGTTAATGTGCGATCTTGCTCGCCATGGCTACTTTGATCGATACCGAGCATGGCGCTATTCTCACGTCATCAACACTCTTTTGTTCATCACATCTGGTATGTTGTTGTTTCGCAATCCGCTCTACAATATTGCTGATTCTATAAGCGCTTCATTGCGATCGCAAATGTATTCTCATGGAAAAAAAGGTGTTTCGGATGATTACTCTATCCAAAACCCACAAATCTTCTTCTTTGCTGCATCGACCATGCTTTGTGTCGAAACAAGCACATACATTCAATGGGCTTTATCGCGCCGTGTTTTTATATTTTTGGGCCAAATCTCATTTCCTTTATATCTGCTTCACCCTCACTTGTTCAAGACATTAGACAAAGTGAATGTGAGTATCCGTTCAGTCGTCACTAATCCAGTGTTGGAAGCCATGATCATCTTTATTGTATGTACATTCATTGTATGCAGTATATCATATCTTCTCATTCATATTATCGACACACCAAGCATCCACATAGGCAAATGGGTTGAGCGTGTTGTTTTGGTGGAAGAATGGTCATTGCATGCAATCAAAGGATGGTTTGTAAATATTCCCGGTCAAGTCCAATCAAGCATTACCCAGCGTATCAAAAAAATAAGAAAATGTATATCACGAAAATAAACATTATTTTAAAGTATATCTGTAGAATGAATGTTTTGCTACATACAATTTGCACAATTCATCCATGCAAACATCTACTCTGTGTTCCTACCGTTTCATTGATACTGAAACCCCAAAACAGTGTTGAATCAACGTGTTGTATTATGTTCATCACTCGCTGAATGTGATTTAAAGTGCAGAGTATTCAATAGTCCATCATTTCATAAAACTGTTTATTCTATTTTGATGCTCTTGTTTAGTTTTGTTTCATGTGAATACGCCAGTGAAATGCATGTCATTGATTTTATTTTTCATCTAGTCTTTGAATTTATGATTCAAATCAAATAATCGGTTGATAAGGGACTACTGCTCATCTAACGTTCCATTTGGAATAATTAACCCTCGAATTACATGGTAGCGACCGAGTCATACAGTTGCACTTTTTTCATAGGAAACGACCCTTCGGATTTGGATAATACGTTGTATCCCCAGCACCATCCATCGCGAAAAATTTCACGAATACATACTAAATCACCTACATGTAATGATAGTTCGTCTGATCGGTTGGGTGTATGTGCAATGACGACGCTGAATCTTGCAACAGCCTTTTGTTTACGCTGTGGTGGCATAACAGGCTGTGTTTTGGGTAGCGATGAATAGGAATCTTGTAGCAAAGTCTCGTCATTAAACATATGTTGTGAATTGGCAGAATGGTGCGACTCATAATTAAATCCATTCGACTGTTGTTGTATGGATTGCGGTGGTGTTAATGAAAGTTGCGCATCTTTGGGTGTGCACAAGGGTGTATCGTTGGCATTTGTGGTGCTGCTGGATCGTGTTGGAACAACCACGCTCAACGCTGCATATTCGGGTGTGGGTGGAGCAGTCAACAGACTTGGATGGTGTGGATCATTCAGTTGATGGTCTTGCTCAAAGGCAAGCAATGATTCAAGCAAATCGTCAATTTGCTGGATTTGGGTGGATCGGTTGTTTTGAGCAGATGAAGGTCGTGGTATTGCGGCTACCTCGACAGGTTTGATGTCAGTAATGGAAACAAACTCATTAGTAGATTTGGCATAATGTTCTCGTTCAACCTCATTGAGGCTATCCAACAAATCTTGCAATTTACTTGTGCCAGCTCCTTCTTCTAAAAGCGAGTTTCTAGTATCCCCGGCAGGATTTGAAGTTTCACAAGTTGCATTGTTAATAGCCAACTGCTGCCCAAGCTGGGACACGCTCAAAGGTCGTGGTTGTGGAGTTGATCCATCAAGTTCAGCAGCCTGGATCGCATTCGTGGTCAATGCATATCCAGAATCAAGGCGAGCGAGTAGCCCATTGACAACCGCCTTTATCCATCATTAAATTCATTGAATATGCAGAGATGAATACAGGCAATACAGCATTTAGATTAGCAACACGTTGACAGATTCGCATCAGCTAAATTAAAAAAACTTACTTTGGTTTCTGCAGACGGCGCCTGTACCATCAGATTACCAAACTCTTTGCGGGTTAAATTTGCATCAGCAAGACGTCCAGCTAATTCATCAATAGTCAAGAGACCATCAAGTTCGTCATCACTCTCATGCCCTTCACTTTTGGTTTCAGTAGGAAAAATTGCAACACGATTCTCGGGTAAAGTTGCCAAATCTCTTGCCAATGAGGGTCGACGTCCAGACTCGCCAGTAGATCGCGTATTGGCATTTGAAGCAGTCGTTAAAGTATCTGCTGAATAAGAGTTTCCAAATGCTGATTGTGGTGTGTCTAGACTACGCTGGGAAATGGAGTATCTGGGAGGTGGTATACCGGATGATAGATAACTTGACCCACCTTCGGTAGAACCAACAGAATGCATGCCGCTGTTGTTGCTACCAGACATGTGGTGATTGTTGGAGAATGGAATGGGCATTTGTCCCGATGGAGTGTAACTAGATGCTCCACTTCCACTGCTTGGTGGACGCAAGGTTGAATTGTCGTCATTGTTAAAATTAGACATTGTAGGAGTTTTGATTGATGCCGTTGTGCTGAAACTCGATCCTTTTGAGCGATGGGAAAGCATTGAAATGGGTGTAGATACAACAATCTCGTTGGCGGGACGGATTTGAGAGCGAGCAAGTTCTAATGCCCTCAGCGCGGCAGTTTCCTTGATAGTGTCTGCTGGAATCACAATAACGGAGGTTTCAAATGACATATGTGGCTCCTCTTCACCATCCATGAATATCTGAAACTTGATGATAGAACGAGTAGTAATGAGGGAACTTTCAAGAGTCGGTTGGTGGTACTTTGGGTCGGTTACCAAATGTAGTGTGCGAGAGAATATTTGCGTATTGTTTGGATCGTATGATTGCAGCTCACCTGCAGTAGGCACTTCTCGAGTTACTGCAAGAGGAAAGGGGTTCCATACAACTGCATTTCTGTTTCTCTTTGTGGCATCACTGGTGATGGATCTGTATGTCGTGCATCCTTCAATAGATACCTGTATTGACGCGATGGTTTTTTGAGGAACATAGGAAATAGCAAACTGGACGGTAAATTGCTGTCCAGGAATATACACCCGGGTGGGTAGTCTGATGGCACAAGTGCATCGGTCTGGATCATATGGAGTGTCGTATTCTAGAATGGAGGGTGTACGAATGAGTTTAAGTCGATGTGCACGAGGCATTACAATGGTAATCGGGACGTTGGCAACATGGGTAGGCTTCAGTAGTTGAAAAGTTTCTGACCACATAAGGGTGCTTTTAAGACTATTATAACAATCGGTTAATAATGTTAGATTGCACTCAAAACATGCACATGTTGGTCTGCAATGAAATTAATAGGATGGTAACATGGACTAGTACACATTTCAGCAAGTTCAAATTGCAATGCATAGAGGATGATATTTGCATGTATAAAATATCCAGTAAAGTACAACTAATAGAGTCTCGATCTAATCGCTACTTACTTGTACTTGATGCATCCTCGAGCATCAAAAAAAGAAGGAGGCAATCCATAGGACGGTAGATGGATCGTAAATGGTAAAGTAATGGATCCAAACTCGTTGGGCTCGAGCACTTCTTTTGAATCTCGAACCACAGTAATGACTTGCTGAAATTTGCGGATGAACGACTCGCCAGGAAGATCACCAGGTTTGCGGACCTTGGAGCCAACCCAAAAGGTCTCGGTTTGTCCTTGAAACTCGAGAATCAATCTAGCTTCTTTGAGAGGTTTGGATGCTGCAAGACGGATTACACCGACAATCGATGCAGGAGTGCCCCATCCTGCCTCGACAACAAAATCGGTTGATGAGAGCGATGGATCAATAGAGGGGATAATGTCCAGATGTTTGATGATGGCCATGTTTGGGCTGAGTTACCAAATACCAAATTAGAGTGGTTTGTCAGTTCAGGCGTATTGAGTATATGTTTAATATTTAACGGAGATTGTATGGACCAATTATGTGCACAGAGGAGTAGTTGGATGCTTTTCAAATGAATACCGGATCAAAACTGCCGGATACAATGTAGTTTACGTAGGAGTGGAGTAAACTAAAGAGAAACCTAGAACTGATAGAAAAGACAAGAAGGAGGCGCTGGCTATACATGAGTGTATTAGGGTTGAATATGCTCAACCATCGACAACATACGGGTATTATCCAATGGCCAGAATGTCGAGGGTCGCGTCGCTAATTCATGCGTGTTTTGATCATTTGCAAACTCGACATGGTTATCTCATGCTTGGTGGAAAGGGTTAGCTCATGCTACATGTATTCAAACTCATCTCATTATGCTGTTCCTAAACTGTATTCCACAATCACGGGATTCGAATAAACACGTGGCACTACTGTATTGTCTCGTCAGCCTGCTGGTAAATCACTAGTTTGAAAATAAGCTCTGGGGCTGAATAATTAGCTTCCAATCATTTACTGCCATATTCACGTTAAATGGACCACTATCTTGTAGTCACTGCCTCTTGCTTTGAAATAGATAATGGTCAAATGTTTCTACCCTTTTCTACTAGAGATTGACTGCTCCTTCAACAAACACTATTCAACGATGCTTACAATTAAACCATAGTTTTAAACAATCTGCTTTTGAACCAGTTCTTTTTCATTTTTGTTGTATCCTGAAATCCCATACACTCGCGCTCTAATTCAGTAATGGTTACACATTTCATTAATGCAACTATACATGTCAATCATCAAAAGAAAGAGTAATAGGTACAACACTAGTAAATTAACAATCATGTCATGAGACTGGCTATTATACACCCTTATTTGGTGCTCCACTCTACGTGAATACAACTATGATGTTCATGCACCAAGAGTAAATATACACTTTAGTTTCAAATGAGTTGCTAAATTTCAAATGGCACAAGTACAACTTGCTACAAAATACTCGAGTTCAAGTATTATTGACAGCGACGTCGATCCAGAAATAATCATCTGCATGACAATCAAATGAATATTTTCACGTGACTGTCAATCACTCGCCAAATTCCCGCTCAACTCGAGCAGTTTGGATATTCTTGCAACTCAATCCTTTTGAAACTGCGGTGCTTAATCAAATCTGAATCAATGGCCAAGAACAAAGAGAGTAGTTTGAAGCAAGAAGCTAAAAACAATGCATTTTCATCTCATACCCCTCACGATCCAGCTGCCGAGCCGCTTTCTCCTCAGTTGCATCTTGAACAATTATTACTTGGTCTGCAGGAACTAGAGGTATCTTGTTGAACACTACTCTAATACTCATCATATTGCCGCTATTGAAGCTCTGTATATTTTGTCCATACTTTGGTTTATATTATCATGGGAGAAGCTGGATCTAGTCTTTTTCAAAGTCGCTGGACCATTGAAACTATTAAACAAGTGATGATCATATAAACCAGATATCGATCTCTTTAATGTATTACTGCACTGTTATACTTTTTTGTTTAAACATGTCTTGTTATCATTGAATGGGTGCATTATAGGACAAGGCAGTACAATACAATCTATTGGCTCAGCAGATTTATGATACCGAGCAGCAGTGTTTAAAAGAACTAACCAGGCAACGATCATTGGTATTGGCATTCCTCAAGGACCAACAGAAGCAGGCATCTAATCCACAGATCCAATCCATCAGCAATCAAGAAAAAGACAGTCTACTTCGAAGGTTGCAGGATGTGGAATATAATTTCCCATATCCAGCAGGTCTCATTCTTCGTTTAGCTCTAGGACCCAATGCACCAGTGATTCTTCGACCCCTCAAGCGCCGACTTACATACAAGAAAGATTACGAGATATTCAAGCTGTACATGACACTTGCATCACTGGTGATTGTTGTTACATGCTTGGTTACACATGGCAATCGTATCTTGGACGCTGTGTACGAGTTTTTCATCCTGTATTATTACTGCACACTTGTTTTGCGCGAACATATTTTAGTGGTGAATGGGAGTCGTATTCGTCGATGGTGGTTTGGGCATCATTACTTGAGCATCATCTTGTCTGGAGTTGTTTTGGTAAGCCGTTTCTATTGAAATTATTTTGTTTCATGAATTCAACCTATACTAAATGTCTAGTTGCATTTGATCTTGATCGCCATGTAGATTTGGCCACAGAGCAGTAATTATCAGAAATTCAGACCCATGTTTTTGTGGTTTTGTCTGTTTCTGTGTATGCTACAATACCTTCAATACCGATATCAACGCAAGCGACTCTATGCATTGGTTGCTCTCGACAAGGCACGACCTATGGATACGGTTATTGGAGACGGTGTTCCCTCACAAGCTGTTGACAGGGAGTTCATGGTTCTCACTCCGTTTTTAATTATTGGCCAATTGTGGCAGATTGTGATTTCGTATAGACTGTTTGAAATGCATGTTTTTGATCCACTAAATTGCGAATGGCAGGCAAGTTTGATGTATATTGAAATAAGCGGAAATCATTGAAATAACATTCAACATGTATTAAAGGTTCTTGCAGTGTCTGCATTGTTTGGAATCCTAGGCTGTGGAAATATCCTGGTTACAGCCAAGACTATTTTTTCAAAACGATCTGCAGTATTCTCTCTTGCGAATCGATCCGCTTCACCCAAACCTGCATTTGCTTCATTTAAAAAGTCGAAATAATCCAAATAAATATTTTATTTAAAGAGTTGTCATTCAGTGTTTGACGAATACAAGATCACGACAGTGAAATCTTGCTTTAGATGACCAACAACATTTGAATATGAAATCAAGACAGTTTAAAAGGCAATCAACCCAACATGACAGATTCTTTATTTCTTGTTCTTTTCCTGCAAAATACGGACTCTTTCAGCATTATGTTCACGGATATACCTTTCTTCAGCTGCAGCGCCACGTTTACTATGAATTTCAGTTGTAAACATGAGTTTGAGCAATACCAAAAATAAGAATGATGTGGAATGACACATTCAAGTGCCTAGATTCAAATCTAGCAGTAACTCACCCAATAGAACCACCGCCAGCATATGAGGAATGCTGACCAGCAGAGCCAAAGGTCTCGGGAGAAACCTCTTGATGAGGTTCTTCTACAACAGGGAGACCCAGTTTGGTGTGGATGGAAGCCTCACGTTTGGCAAGATCAGCCTTGAGTTTACGGATAGAGATCAGCTCCTGTTCATGGGCATAACGTTCTTCTTCAGCACTTTCTCTGCGGGAAAAACCACCGCCAGCCTCACGGATATTTCCAGAGTAAGAGGCAGAAGGAATGACTGAATAGACAGCAGAACGGCGAGCAAGAGAGAAAGCAGCAGTTGCAATGACTTTGTTGGAGAGCATCTCTTTGGTCAAATTGAGGTAAAAGTGAAAAATCAAGAATTCATCGTTTCACCAATCGAAAGTGTTCAAGATTGTCATGAATCTAACCAGCAACACTCGGCAATTCATTTATTATATTGTTGCAATCAAGCAGTGTTACTGTAAGCAAATTTAGAGACTATTTTGACAAGAATCACCAATCCATCAAAGCCATTTACAAATAACTGGATAACAGTCGATATTTGGGAATGATCAGACATGGGATAGACTTTCAAGTTATCTTTGTAGAGTGTCAGGACTGAAATGAATGCTCTCTGCTGTTGGATAGAGTTTGACCTGACAAGGTCGTCTGAATAATTATTTTGATTGCACGTTTTCCGATTTGAATTGAATTGAACTTGTTGACTCGCAGATACAGTTGCTTACTTACTCGGACCTTATTTGACATACTAATATACACAGGCTATGGAGGATCAGCCAGAAAATACTACTACAGAGCAGCTCTATACAGAAGATGACGCTTCTATTCCATCCAAGAATACCAATCATGCAACATTACTAGAAACAGCCGACATGAAGGATCATGCAGCCATAACCCAAACTACTGCTGAAATACCTGCCACTACCATTAATACCACCATTACTGCTATATCAACTAGTTTGGAAAAGCATGCTACAATAGAAGAGTCTTTGGAAGAGCATGTTAAGATAGACGAGCCTTTGAAACAGCTGGATATTACCACTACTAGCGTTGCATCCACTGCATCCGCCACCACCACCTCAGCCCATCACCCTTATGGCATCACAGAAACATCACCAAAGGATGAAGCACCGAATAGTCCAGGTACACCTACTGTATGCATTACATTGATAGAGCAATGGCTGGGATTGTCATCTACGTTGAGGATGAAGGGGGCTTGTAAAGATATGGATTATTTTGTCTTGCATTCAATCTGTCAAAGCATGCTTTAGTATAAACTAGACATGCAGCTGTTGGATGAATATGTATTTGGAGGTTTAGGTTTAATCAACATTGGACTCTGAATGCCAGTCGTATCCACTAGCTGAACAATTATCAAATATTGTATTGGAGCCAGGGTTGAGATGTATTCATTCGTCAACTAGACTAATCGCTGTTTTCATTCAATTCATGACTTTAGGATCGATCATTGAGCCCGCTTCGGCAACCACTGATATCGCACAGATTGTTTCTCCATCTAGTATTCCCGTAACAGTGCATCAACTGCCTAGTGCTGGCCATGGTTTGAAGCCACCTCAAAATCTTCAAAAAATTATCACAGACAACAACGTGGCTCTTCCAAAAGACCTTGCGACAACAGCATCAGTTGATCTGTCGGCTGAAGGAACACAGTCCAATTCAGCAAGTGATGCGATGGATGGTCCTGATCGTGATGTGGTTTATGTTGCATTTGGACCTAGAGGCGGATGGTATGTACGATGGTCAGATGGATCATCAGCATGGGAACAGATCCCACCATCACTCCATACAAAGCTTTACGGTCGCATGAGAAATCTCCCTCATGCTGAATGTATATCCATTTCAGAGATGAGCCAATGGGTGACTGTGTTTGGGGATGGTAGCTTTGCAACATCTGGGTTTCCAGTCTATGGCAAGTTGAAAGAGGCATTACACGATCCGCCACAAGATGCAGAACTGAAAACATTGATATTTGCGCCTGGTGGTGGATGGTTACTCATGAGAGATGATGGATCTATGGCTTGGGAACGGTTGCCGTCTGGACTAGATGAATTACTTAAACGACGGACCAAAGCCGATGCACCTGTTGACTGTGTGAGCATTTCTGGGTTTGGTGGTTGGTTTTTACGGTTCACTGACGGGTAAGTTTTGCAAGACATGCGTGCATTTTTAATTTTTAATTGACTTGTAATTCATCCATTTAGAGAGTGCGAATGGGATGCCATTCCCAAACCACTCGAGAAACTGCTTATTCAACTAGTACGACGCGGCGATCCAAGTATCGTTGTGACACTCTCCCCTTCTGACGGAATGTCTTATTTTGTTGCAGTTGGAGATACAGCAGAGTGGGTGCATGACTCGGCTTCATTGCGTATGGCATTAGAATGGGCAAATGGCGCAGACAATGTTGTCTTGCCAGAAACAGTGGTGGTGAACATTTACCCTCCAACTCCACCACAGTCTGAATCCAGCTCAGCAATCTAAATGAATTCATTATAAACATTGTCTGCAATGCTATAGTTGAGTCCAAACAACTAGCGAAATTCGAGTCATAAAATTCTATTTTTTTTGTTTTCTCAAGTTTCAAACCCAACCTGACTGACCTACCAGACTACAAACTCACCTGTATATTCGTCCAACCATGTCTGATCCAAACCAAGCCGGAACTGAAGTCAATATTGAAATGTGGAAGATCAAGCGTCTTATTAAAGGCTTGGAAGCTGCTCGAGGAAATGGCACTTCTATGATATCTCTTATTATTCCTGTAAGAATACTGATGTTGAACATGTCCCGACTTTTTTATATTTGAGTTGAATGGTCGCTATTCTTGATTCAAACAGTGAACAAGTGTGCTGTCTGTTTCCTTGAAACAGCTTGCACATGAATGCATAAGCATTGTTGCATTGCTATCCAATATACTATGCAGTGGTTCTCGCAAGCATCCTATAATGGGATTCATGTGAAACTGTTGTCCTCACTTGCATGGCACTTTGCTAAACTCTGGTTTATAATACATGCTGTACTACACTGTTTCCAAGTAGTGTGATGAGCACAATACCTACTCGGCACTGATCAGCTCTTGTTTTGAGCCTTGTTCTGGCTTCAGTTGGTTTTGATCTTTTGCTTTATTCTAAATTTATTCAATTTGTCAATATTGGTGTTTTATATTCACTTATTAGCCTGGCGATCAGATTGCTCGTGCTGCAAAAATGTTGGCTGATGAATACGGCACTGCGTCCAATATTAAATCTCGAGTCAACAGACAATCTGTGCTCTCTGCAATTACCTCTACTCAGCAGCGTCTAAAGCTATACACTCGTGTCCCTCCAAATGGCCTAGTCGTTTATTGGTAATTCCCGAGTTCATATCTTTTAAAATACATCCCAATTGACTTGACTCTAACTCTGTCACCTCCCTTGTTCACTCTTATCTTAGCGGTACGGTTATCACAGATGAAGGAAAAGAAAAACAAGTCACCATTGACTTTGAGCCATTCAAGCCCATCAACACATCTCTCTATCGTTGTGATAATAAATTCCAAACCGAGGCATTGTCTGAATTACTAGAGTCTGATGCCAAGTTTGGCTTTATTGTCATGGATGGTAATGGCTCGCTCTTTGGCACGCTGGCTGGAAACACTCGTGAAGTTCTACACAAGGTATCTGTTGATCTTCCAAAAAAGCATGGTCGTGGTGGTCAATCCGCACTCCGTTTTGCTCGTCTTCGTGAGGAAAAGCGTCACAATTACGTCCGCAAAATCGCAGAACTCGCAGTACAGTTTTTTATTACCAACGACAAGGTCAATGTTTCTGGCATTGTACTGGCTGGTTCTGCCGATTTCAAGACCGAACTCTCACAGTCTGACCTGTTTGATCAACGTTTGCAAGTCAAAATTGTTCGCATTGTGGATGTGTCTTATGGTGGTGAAAATGGGTTTAACCAAGCCATTGAATTGTCTGCAGACTTTCTTGCCAATGTTAAATTCATTCAAGAAAAGAAACTCATCCAAAAGTACTTTGATGAAATATCTCAAGATAGCGGCAAATTTTGCTTTGGAGTCGAAGATACCCTTAAAGGTCTTGAACTTGGTGCTATCGAAACCCTTATTGTTTGGGAAAACCTGGATTACACTCGATATGTCTTTAAAAATGCTCAATCGGGAGTAGAGAATGTAATGCATCTCACCAAAGAACAGGAAAGGCAGCGGGAGCTTTTTGTCGATCCAGAAACTGGAATAGATCTCGAGATCGTGAATAAAATGCCATTGCTCGAATGGGTAGGTCAATCTGTAAATGCATCTATATATGTTCTTGTTGCTAACTCTTGATATGCCTACAGTTTGCAGAAAAGTATCAAGACTTTGGCGCTACACTAGAGTTTGTCACAAACCGATCTCAAGAAGGCGCTCAATTTTGCAGAGGGTTTGGTGGTATTGGAGGTATTCTCCGATACAGAGTCGATTTCCAGCAGTTTACTTATGATTCTGATGAATACCTTAGTGATTAAATTCTATATTTCAACTTTTTGGTATTGGAATGGGTGTTTTGCGTATTAACCTTTACTTTGTTCTATGACTTGTTTTGTCCCCACAATCGTACATTTGTGCATGCTCAATCTTTTGATATTGAGTTGTGCCAACTACCGTCGTGGAATATCAATTATGCCAAATTGCTAGAGGAGGATCCTAAAGTAATTAAAAATGACTCAACTTGATACTCTGTACATTTTCTCTGGCTACATTCTATTCTATACATTTTGCTTCAAAGTTTTCCTAGACACTACAATTTTTGAATTAAACTTTTATCGGCCCCATCATCAAATTTATGACTTTATTTATTGTGGTTGGATCCAATCATTTGGCTCCAGGTTTTACCCTCCCGTTTTAGAATTTCAGTTGCTTCTCTTTTGATGTCATGTACAAGCCCAGGTCCTTGATATCCCAAGGCAGTATACACTTGAATAACCGTAGCACCCGCTTTGGCAAAGTTGATTGCATCTTCACCTGTTTGAATCCCTCCACATCCAATAATTGGAATACGGCCTTGCGTAAACTTGTAAAACTCGGATACAGCGTGGAGTGAAAGTGGAAGAATGGGTACACCAGATAGTCCACCTGTTTGCTCTTTCAGATTTGAATCTGATTCCATACACATCAATAGTTAGTACCAACACGAGACATTGCCCATCTACTTGACATTACAAGAGTTACCCGATCGAAGCGACATGGATCTGGAAATGGTGGTATTGGAGATGATCACGCCATCCATGCCAACATGCATGACCACATCCGCAATATCCTTCAATTCTTCTGCATTTAAATCGGGAGAAATCTTGACCACAAGCGGAGATTGGTGATTCTGTGGTAGTGCGTCTCGTTCACGTTTCGCGCTCATCAATAAGCGTTCAATAGATTCTCGACGTTGAAGCGATCTCAGTCCAGGAGTATTTGGCGAGCTGATGTTGATGACCATATAGTCGGCATATTTGGAAAAAGTAGCGATGCCGTCGATATAGTCCTGATCAGAACTTTCATTCGAGATTTTGTTTTTACCAAGATTGATACCAAGAAGTCGGTTAGGATAGAGTGATCGGTTGAGTTCAGGCTGTTTAGAATCTTTGGCATCCTTTGTAGAAACTGATGTCGCATTCATCCATTCATGAGGAGAAAGAATAGCTTCAGATTGACACAAAGTCTCTGTTTCAACTGCCGTAATGTGGTGCGTAAACAAATACTTGCGTATCCGAGCATGAAGACGCTCTACAATGGCTTGATGACCTTGGGAATTGAATCCATACCGATTAATCACTGCTTTATCTTTTAAAAGTCGAAACATACGAGGTTTGGGATTCCCCGGCTTTATAACCCAACACAACCATTTCAAGTTAAACATTGAACCATTGCAAACCCACATCTTGCTATCATTACATCTAGATGACTTGCCTGGGGTTGTGGCGTGACGCTTCCAATCTCGACCATTCCAAATCCAAATCCAAACAATGCATCAACTGCTTCTGCGTTTTTGTCATATCCTGCAGCCAAACCGAGAGGATTGGTCAATCTTTTGTTCCAAATCTACGTATTCAAATCTTGGTTAAATCACTAGATCATCGATTCACTGCTCGAAATGCGCAGGATATTCAAGACATTTCAAGTATTACAAACGGTATTACCTCGACACCCAACACACCATCATCGTTTGTTCGTTCCATTGGCACAAGTGAGTGTTTAGCAAGCCAGATTGATAATTTATGCGATTCTTCTGGATCGGTAAGGTGATGTAAAGCAGGCATCACCAACCATTTGTAAATAGATGCTCTAGTATCGCCAATGTAAACATATCCAAGAACTCCTCCGACCAAACCCACAGCAATTCCAAGAACTGTTAGAATTGGACCGACTGGATCAATTGGATCAAGTTGGCGAGTCTGCTGGGTGGTTGACATCAATCTGTATTGGAATCTGCCTTGCACACATACTAATTCAATTCAAATGTTATATATATTATCCCAAAATAGATTCAGTAGTCAGTGGTATTCTCTGTATTGGCTTTAATCGGTAGATATCAAAACGTATGAATAGTTTCCAGACGAAGCCAAGCGAATTCCATCCATGATTCATTCTAGCTTACAAGTATGACTCTTTCCAAGTCCCGAAAATGGAATAGGATTGGCAAAAGCACTCAATGGTCTGCTAGCACAATACAATGCTCTGACACCTGCTCGCATAGATAGCATTCTGAATTGCAGTTTTAATCAAGTTGTAATCTCGGCAAGAAAAAAGAAACGAATTGCAGCAGATTGTTCTCTATTGAACTCAAATCAACAATTCCACCAAACTATTAATGAATCGATATTAAACCATTCACGTAAAATAACACTATCTTGCAGTACTTTATTGTTGACAAGATTCACAAAATATCACATCCGCTTGAATAATTGGCGTACCGCGAATAAAGCTACCAATCCAACAATCCCATACAAAAAGTGGGATTCTTGAATACTGATTCTGGAAAACACGCTAGAGTCGGATGATGAGGCTGCAGTAGAGACTGAAGCATTTTTGATGGGTTTAGACTTGTGGGTCATCTCAGATTTGGTGGATCGCGACTTGCTTGCTATGGGAGATCCTACAGTTTTTGGTTTCTGCGCCATAATATCTTCTAGATCTACAATTCCATTGGCATCAGATGAACAGCCGCTAACACTTGGTCCTTTTTTCAATCCAAGAGAATTCTCAATCACAAGCTGCCCACACGCACTAGAAATATCTTGTCCTAGTTCCTGACGCAATAGCGTATGTACATTGTACACTCTCCGCACAATGTCAACAAATACCTTCATTGTTTCCTGCAATGGAGGCTTATAATCATATGGAACAGACGTCGGGTTGTAAGGAATTACGTTTAACAATACATCCCGACCTTCCAAAAGCTTTCCAAGTTGATGTGCAACCACTTCTGAATCGTTGATATCTGCAATCAAAACATACTCGATAAGAACATGTTTACGACGATTGTGCGATTTGACATTGGCGTTTTGTTGGGCAATGAATACGTCAGCAGCTTCCATGATACGCTCAATATTCCAGGCTTTAGCTGTGGGAACAATCTGAGTTCGCAACTCTTGAGTGGGTGCATGAAGAGAAAGCGCAAGACCTATATCAGGCATATCACGAACCAATGATCGCATTCTTGGGACAACACCAACAGTAGATACAGATATCCGAGATGGAGAAAGTCCAAATCTAGAAGTATCAATCATACCATTCACTGCCATCAGAACTGCCGGATAGTTGTCAAGCGGTTCTCCCATTCCCATAAACACTACATTTCGGATGTGCTCGACCTGGTTGGCATGCACTAATTGCCACAACATGTTGATTAAAATAATGTCGTCAAAAATGCCTACGTTATTGAAACTCACCAAGTTGCTCGAGAATCTCCCCAGCAGACAGATTGGCTAAAAGCCCCATAGTTCCAGTTGCTAATCATATCATCGATATTAGCTCATAAACCTTAAAACTCGACAATACGTTATACATACCACAAAAAGTACATCCCATGGCGCATCCGACTTGAGAGGATACACAGAGAGTCGCTCTCTTATTTGATCGATATTTGATATTCCCATCCATATCCTTGGTCATTTTTTCTTTTTCTTCGTCAGGAAACGATTGCAAAGCAACATCACCATATCGCATAATCACAGACTCGATCCGCTGTCCGTCTTGCAACTCCACCAATAGTTTTGTAGTAGACCCATCGGCATTATCCGTTCTGGAAATAACTTTAGAAGTCATTGGAGTAAAGTCTGACTCGAGGATTTGCAAAGCCTGTTTGGGTAGTTCAGGTACATCAGTAAACGACTTGGCATTTCGCTGAATAAAATACCGCCAGAGTTTTTGTGCATGTTTGGGAGATATGTTATGGAGATTAAATGCTTCTTTCAACATGCCTTCATCCAGCATGGGTTTGGGACTCAATTCCCTTTGTTTCGAGCTCATTTCTGCTAATACACCGGATTGAGTTCAAGTTTTAATGTCGAGTAAAATAAAAAAATTAAATTTATCGACACTTGTATTCACATAAAATGAAACATTTTGTATTGAGTGATTTTGGAATAAACAGTGTTAGATATTGACTTGCAATTCTTCAATAAGCACAAAGTTTATGAATTCAATCAAATTATAATTTTAAAATGAGATTCTTTACTGTTGAGATTGTCATGCATTGTGCAATCGCCAAATTCATTCAAATTCAGATATTGAGTTCGACTACTTTCAAGTCTATACAACTCCTTTGTTGTATTCTAAATCACAATTACGCTTTAATTCAAAAACCAATATCAGAAATAAAATTTTACATGTCAATCACCACGAGAAAGACTAGAGGACACAATGTTGTCCAGTAAATTGGAACCATCATTTCATGCATGACTGTAAAAATGATCAATAAAAGTGAGTCTAAACTATTACTCTTGTAATCACAATACCACTCAGTATGGTAGATGAACAGCTACACCTCATTGACTTGCAACTACAGTAGATATAAAACGTGTTGATATTCCAAGCTAAACAATTTATCAATTTAAATACCTCGAATGATCTCGAATGGTAGCAAGTCCAAGGTTGGCTATGTAACACGGCCAGAACTCATTGCAGCAGCAGACAAGTTGCCCAGCAATAGAGAAAGGGTAATTGTGTTTGAATGGTTATTGAATCTGGTCATATTCTCAACATGAGTTGTGTTCAATCTAGTCAACTTTGGTGCATTCTCTGATCAAAGCATATGGCTTGATGGAACGCATGGATCTTGTTCGACCCATTCCAGCAACAAAGTACGACCTTGAAGTGTTTCATTCATCCGAATACGTTGGTATGTTTTTATTTGAATCCATCATTCTTTAGCCAATATACTGCACTAGTTGATATGGAATCCAACGTGATATCTAATTCAAATCTGCAGAATTTCTATTCAAGGCTGAAACATTGGATTCTTTGTCAGATGAATATCTGCAGAATATAGAACTATTTGATTTAATAGAGTATGTTACTTCATGTATCTATTTTACATTACATGCAATATGATTACACACTAATCAAATACCATGCATATACTTTATATTCAGCGATTGCCATGTGTTTCCTGGGCTGCATAGCTATGTTGAATGGATTGCAGGTGCTTCGTTGGCAGCAGCAAAGAGTCTTGTATCTGGCAAACATCAAACAGTTTTGAATTGGGATGGAGGCAGACACCACTGCCAACAAGATCATGCATCTGGATTTTGCTATGTAAATGATATCGTGTTGGCAATCATGGAGATGCGGAATCGGTTTTCTCGAATATTATATATTGATATTGATGTCCATCATGGCGACGGTACGAAAATGTAATTCGATCATGTAGACCTGTTCAAGTTTTCGTGTCTAAAGTATTTATACATGTCTATTTGGATACGTTTAATTGTAGGCGTCGAGTCTGCATTTATTGCTTCATCTAGTGTATTAACATTGTCATTTCATCGCCACGAATCTGGATTTTTTCCAGGTGTGTCAAGTAATATTTAATCTATGCTAATACAGCTTTAATTACTAATGCATTGTTCAATAAATCATTGTTTTAAATAGGATCTGGTGGAAATTTAGATGTAGGAATCGGAAAGGGCCGATATCATGCACTAAATGTTCCATTACTGTCTGGCATGCGTGGCCCAAACTTTGTAAACCTATTCAGGACAGTTACTCAGTCTACAATCAATGCATATAAACCGGATGCAGTGTTTATGCAATGTGGTGTTGATGGATTGTCACAAGATCCTCTTGGTGGAAATTGGAATCTGGATACTGCTTCAATTGGACATTGCGTGCAGATTGTGCTTGATGCTGATTTACCAGCAATACTTAGTGGTGGTGGTGGATATAATTCTGCCGCTGCTGCCTGTTGTTGGACTCATTGCACTGATTTGGCAGTTCGTAAATCAGAAACTCACTCTAGTGACCCCAACTCGTTCATACATCCACCTATTGCTCAAGATCTTCCTGACCATGAGTATTTGGATCGATATGCCCCAGACTACAGTCTATTTAGCAGATTAGGTAATATGCGCGATCTAAACACCAAAGAGTATTTAGACACTGTGATTGCTAAAGTGCAGACCCACTTGGATTTGCAAAAAAATAGAGTACACTCAAATCTCAGCAGTCATAAATGACCTTGTTTTAGCTCTTGTCAAATATACATTCATTTAGTAGAACCCAATTTGTTTTTTAATTCCTTCACGTTTCCAAGTAACCAGTGCATTGTATTCGTCGCGCTTCATACGGAATAAAGTTTCAAATTCATCGTCACTCAAATACATTTCCAACTTTGTACGATCCAGGTGCTCTGGGACATTTTTCGAAAGAAGAATTTGTACAGAGTAAGTTTCTTTTTTATATTCTTTGAGCACATCAGCCAATGGTCTTGATTTTGGTTTAAGCCCAGATCTTCCCTGCGCTATTTTTGATTTGGACCATCCGTGAAATTGTCGAATAAATTCTAAGGGTTCTTGACCTTCAAATGTAACTGCAAGCAATACACGCTTTCGATCGTGTGTGGTGGATGCCTCGATATATTGTGTGGCCGTCTCCAACGCAAACACCTTTTCTCCTGGCTTTGCAGCATGTCCAAACCACACAAATATATGTGTCACGGCATCCAAAATCATGGCGGAATTTGAATCAAGCTCAGTTTGGATAAAGTTTGTAACATGAGAAACTTGAATGGTTCCGCTCGCACATGAACATGAAAATAATCTTGGTATTGTTCGAGCGTTCCAAACAAGTTGACTTGGCAGAGTCACACCATGATGATTCAGCAATGCTGTAAACTCTGGCGAGTTGGCACCAAGTTTTTCGTCTATTGTTACAACCGTGGTACTGGCAGATCCAAATCGAGTAACGGTCTCTCTTGCTTTTGATCGTTCTGATTCACTCGAATGCTTCCCAGTCCATATATACGAAACAGAACCAGCAAGAACAACTATAACATGGTTAGAATTAAACACTATTTCGTTGGGTTCAATTTGAATGGCTTTCGATACAGTGTCAAATACATCTCGGATATCAAACACCATAATATTGGAATCACTGGAAAGTGGTGGGTTAACGTGTGTTCCTATCATGATCCATATGCCTTTGAATATTTTAAACAGATGCAAGGGTTCCTTTCCTTCAATAATGCGAGCCTGCGTAACTTCAAGACCGGCTTGCAAACTCAACTCGATCGTCATAAGCGCGCTTGTTCCCTTTTCAGTAATACTGCTTGCCGATCCTTGCCAAAAATAACAAACGCATTTATCCACTCCGCTGTTTTTGGGTCTGTATGTATAGACAATCACATAGCTTTCATTACGGTAAAATAGACCCGATAAGCTTGGTTCAGTAACTTGCTCTCGAGTGAATTGCTTGATACGATACATGCTCCATGATCCATGTCCACCACCACCTTCAACATCAAGCACCTCTGCTACATTTTTCTTTTCTTCTGGAACAGGTCCCAAAAGCATACTGATGTCAGCTAGTTGTTGTGTGATTGCATGAGCAATGTTTGGATTTGCAACAGGATCAATCCGCATACTAATTGGAATAGATCCTTCAAAATCGCTGAATTTTTCCTTGAAAATCACCGTTTCTAAATCTTCAGCTTCCAAATGCATCGACACAAAGTGAATTCCATCTGATGATTGAGCGACTGCTACCTGATGGGCAATAAACGCTGCCAGCGATCGAGACTCATTTGTAGAATGTTTTCCTGACCATACAAACACCTCATTTTCGGCATGAACAACTGCGCATCCATTATTGAGAGAAATGGTTGCTAAAATAGATTTGCTTGGATATTTTTGCTCATCAAACATCAATAAAACCTGACGTGAAACTAATGCTGCAAAAGGATCAATGCAATACACTCGAATATGTAAAGGCGGAGTCTCTACATCACCAACAGTACTGGCTGTATTCAAATCACCCATAGATCCACGCTTTTGTACTTGACTTTGAGTGTTGAATACACTTTCTTCTCCATTGCTATGCAAATGTGCTAAAAATGCTTTCCATGTTGCACGCTCCTCTTTTTCAATCAGTACCAATCGGGGTCGATTTCCTCTTGATTTACGAATTCGTGAAGCTACATCGAGTGCCTGTGCACGGCACACTCGTGAGGATTTATCACCACCCCAATGGTATACGTCATCTCCTACATCCAATACATATGCATTGTCAGCAGAAAGTGATTTCCAAGTTGGTTCTACTGTAACGACAGTCAAACGAATTTTCCCAGATAGCTCAATCAGTGTTTTTTGCTTTGCCTTGCCAATTAAAGATTGATCAATGACTGTATAAGTCAAATCAGATATTGGATGCTGATCTACAGATATGGAATTCAATGACTTGCTAACTGGTGCATTTGTACTGAGACGAGGTCTAAACCCAGTTAAGCCGTGTGTGGATTGATATGTGTCTAGCTGAGATACGAGCTGCTCTGTTGTGTGGATGCCAAATCTACCCAGCAAGTCGTAATTTTCGCGGTAGCTTTGCTCAAGAAATACTGTCCATGACTGTTGATTTTGCTTTTCAGGTATAACATGCTTTAGTTGGCCTACCTCTTTACCCAGATCAAGAATAAACCCGACTGGTTCTTGGGAATTTTCTGGGATTGTGCCCGAGTTTACAGTGCCAATAAGTTTATATCCGTAAATAGTGCAAGGCGAATATGTAGTAACGGGTGCATTGGATAACTCGTTTTCAAAATAGTAAAATGATCCATGAATAAGTGAAACCCAATATGTTCCATTTTCTAGTTGTTTGATTTCACTTGATTTCAACGCCCCATTGACTTGATCTTTTGAATCTTTGGCCAAAGAACTGTCAGGTGTGATATTCTCTATGGTAATATACCCTTCCATAATTGTATTGGATATGATTTTGCTTGATGGAATGTATCCCATTCCTTTAACAACATGCCCAATATGTAGCACCCAATCGTATGCATCACGAGCACATTTAGTTTGAAAATGGTAGGCGTGGTTTGGTGTATTCAAATGAAACATGGTAGGTTGAGCAGACGTACTTATAACGCCCGTTCCATTAACCGCAGCAGCATCCATATCTCTCTTTGCCACTCTAACTGACAACGTTGTTGATAGGTTGATAATGTCAATCGGCTTAATTCCTCGAGAATAAGCTTTAACGTCGTCATTGAAAAGATGGATAGTACCATCAAGATCAAGAACAGCCAAACGAGGCGTCCACATAGATACTGCATTACGAGAGGTGGATGATAAAGTATAATACATTAAACTTCCCATTAAAAGTGCATGTGATGCTTGTATGTGCCGAGTGGGTTGAGATCGTGGTTGTTCAGCAATGCCCGTTGTATCTTGCTCATCCGCTCGAGGGTATCGTGGTTTTGTGGGCTTGGGTGAATTCTCTTCTGTTTTTGAAACTGAAATGGTTGGGATTTGTGGTTTTGTCGCTGCAGCAATCGTTGATGCATTTGTAGATATAGTAGCATTGTCAAGGTGCTGTTGAAGAACATTCAGCCACTTGTCTCGTTCGTTTTTATCTAAAGCCTTGAATCGAAACAGGGTGGTATTTTTTAAAGAAACCTGTAATCCCACATCACTGTTTGAATCCTGTATAGTCAAACTAAATGCTGAAACAGACTGAATTTCATCAAATTTGAATCCATGCATTGGTGAATCAACAGCAGCATCCAATCCAATATACAGACGATGCGATTTGACTGAAAAATACACAGGTTTCCAAGCAGTGCTCATCCATCCCTTATTTTCAAGTGATAGCACGCCTTCAAGAAGTGGTAGTGGCGGTAAACTGCTGTCTGTCATATCATGGGATGAACCTCGACTGTGTGCATGTCTATCAGTACAAGAGTCGCGTCCAAAAACTCCCAAACTATCCCGTTGGTGTCCTTTAAGAATTTGGGCAGAAACAGGTGCTTTTAATGAGCTGGGACGTCGAAGGGATCCCATTGACGACTTGGAGATTCCGCGATGGTGCGTATGAATTTCCGATTTTTGTTTACAATGACTGAATGGTTTATCCAGTAACACTGCAGTGTCAGAATAACTGGTATGCGAAATTGTTTTAGAAATATCAGAACGAGATGTTTCTGATTGGGTTTCATGACTAGCTGACACGACTTCCTGATTTGACTCGAGTGCTATTGGCATGTCAAGAAGGATGGGCTCAACAGAAATACAATCATCAAACCACTGACTTTCCAAGGCGTTGGGATTGATTGTTGCGTAACTTGGAAACAAATCTTCCTGGAAAACCGAGTCAGAGTTGACACGAGGAACTATAATTGAAGTCATTTCAATGGCAGAATCGGTGCCTAATCGTAAAAATCTTGCAATTTCACATTTCCGAGTATCACAAATGTCTTTAAACATGGGCTCAATTGCTGCTGCATGCTTGTCTATTTTGATTGTTGTTGTCGGCAAAAGCATACCGCCTTCAAGCTCATATATTCTAATACCTTCTCCTCGAGTTGTCAGATACAGCAAAGGTAATGCAGGATCCCAAACAGGATCAAAGATTCCCACGCCAAGCCCGTCTGTTTGAATGACCTGTAAAGGAGTTGATTGTTTGGAGTCTAATGTCGCAGTTGACATCATTCTTGTATCCCAAACATGAATACATCGCTCATTTTTAGATGCTAGACTAAACCCAGTTGCAATGACAAGCGGATCTGGGTGAAGCCAAGATAGCCTACAGCCACGCGCAGGTGACAGTCCAGTTGGAAATGAGTATGTTGGTGCAGATGACGAGCGTGGATCATAGTGATGGACCATCGAGTCAGACGTACTAGAAATAAAAGAATTACATTCATAATCAAATGCCATGCTTTGCGCTGCCAATTCTTGTGGATTAGTAAGTGTAATTCGATCCGTTAGCATTTCGACTGACCATATTTTGACTGTTGCATCACTGATATTATTTCAATTTTTTAAAAAGTGTATTAGATTGCATGACTACACAGGAATGCATTTTTATCGTGTTATCAAAGCTACTTTAGACTTACGATGAGCTTGAGATGACGATTCCAGGACAGGTAGGATGGAATCGAACCCAATCAACACGTTTTTCATGGCCAGCAAGGAACACATCTGGCATATCATTTTCATATGGTTTCTGATTTGCGGCACACATTCTAGGAATAGTATTAGGAAGAGTCCAAAGTCTAATTAAGCTATCTGATCGAGTGGTTGTTGCAAGAATGGATACATCTGGCAGGGGTGAGAAAGCATAATCTTGAATTTGTTTTCCATGTGCTACAGCATTTAAATTTACATTTAGTAAATGGAATGTATTTTACACACATCATTTTATGGTTATTACCAAGAAGATGAGGTGCATGCATATCTACTTTGATGGGATCATCTACGTATGTTGCTGGAAGAGGCAAGATGCCGATACTCGTCGCGTTTGCATCTGGAATAGCAAGATGATGGTGACTTGCCTGAGTTTGCAATCAAGACTGTTAATATTAAAAGTCAGCAAGCTTGCCATGCCATCAATACACACCTTTATTTTGTTTGTTGCAACAGGGTCGATACGCACATTAGTATATAGCGACTTTCCAGACGCTGCTGCATATGCATTTCGATATTTTGAAGCTTTTGGTATTGATGTCATTGATAGTTTCTTGCAGAGTTTGAAAAAAGCTAAAACTCGAATTTTGATGGTAAAGTTAATCTTGATATCTAAATCAGGCCAATCGCTATATCATGTTGTGTAGACTGGCAGGTCCTAATCTGAGTGAATACTGACATTCCCGTGGATTAAATATGGATGGCAGTCCACTCAACCCGTATATGTGCCAGAACTGTGCCTTTGGCATCATAATAAGGTGGATTGCAAAAGTATTTGAATAAGTTGAACCCAAACATCACAACTATGCGGTCACCACCTATTTCCAACAACGAACCAGTAGAAGCTCCGGAGTACAGGTTCAGCACTATTGCTACTACTATCTCTGCGTCTGCTTCACAGGCTGCTCATGCTGCAGCTGCTACAGTGAATGCAGTAACAGGCTCAACCAGAACAGGACAAGCTAGAAACAGAACAGGGTATACTGTCATTGAAACTGACTCGTTTTTCGACAGCAATATTCAGGACAATGGAAGAGTGACTGGGAATGAGACGGATGCATTTAGGAATACTGATAATAGTCTGGAATACAGGACTGAAAACAGTCAGTCTGTCGTTTCCAATACCCAAGGAGTGGTGGCTGCACAGAACCATTTAGAAGCTCCTAGTGGCACAGTACTTTCTTCATCCATCAATATTGTCAATACGATCCTTGGTGCTGGCATGCTAGCTATGGTTAGTTTGCTTTGGATCGCACATATGCTTGTGTCATGATAACAGCTGTATAGGATCAGCAATCAACACTGATCACTGCATAGTTTGGCGTTGTGTTGTACTCCATTCAAAAAAAATTGCATATAGTAGATTTGGTTTTATTGCATATCTAGATACTAGTATTCAACTTTTTTATGAAAAACAATGCTGTCATTTTAATGAAAGTACAAACGAACAACTAAATCCTAATATCATGCTTTGAATTTATATTTAGCCATCTGCAATTGCAGCAGTTGGACTTGGCTTTGGAGTATTTCTTATTGCACTTTCGTCGATTGCATCTAGTCTAGGACTTTATCTTCTTAGCCGGGTCGCTGCTCAAGTAGGACGAAAGTCGTCTTTTTTTGCCTGTGCCAAAATCACATATCCAGATGCAGCTGTCTGGATTGATTTTGCCATTGCTGTCAAATGCTTTGGTGTATCCATCTCATACTTGGTGATCTGCGGTGACTTGGTAAGTCTATTTCCGTGTATATTTGAACCTTTTAATTTTTTGCTAATCTTGAACTGCTGTAGTTGCCTCAAGTATCACAGGGCCTTTCAAACAATTCACTTCCCAGTGATCACTATCTTCTTTCAAAGTTCTTTTGGACTACGGCATCTATCTTTTTGATTGCACCGTTTGCTTTTCTGCGCCAACTAAACTCGCTGCGATACACATCTGCATTCGCTCTTACAGCAGTCGTGTACTTACTTTTTGTCGTGATATGGTTTTACATCTCTCCGCCAAAAACGAGTATGCCTTTTCCACCACCAACTTTCGATGAGATTGAATGGATCAAGATTTCTTCCAAACTGTTTACCGCACTGCCAGTATTTGTGTTTGCCTTTACGTGCCATCAGAATGTAAGACTAGTTGAATTGAATATATTTCTGAAGATTGTATTAACATGGTTGTCTACTTTAATGGTGTTTTACCTTAGATTTTTTCTGTTTATAATGAATTGATTGATAATTCTCCTCGAAAAATTGAAAGTGTGATCAAGGGGTCAATCCTGACCTCTGTAGGTGTTTATCAGACCATTGGGATTATTGGATATCTCACCTTTGGCAACAAAGTAACATCAAACATTATTGCCATGTGTAAGTCTATTCTCTTCATACTTTACATATGCCGATTGTTTCAAGTAGTGCGTTCATCTGACATTTTAATTCAACTGTATTACATGATAGATCCCAATGGAATACTTGTTACATATGGACAACTTGCAATTGCGCTACTCGTGTTGCTGAGTTATCCATTACAGTGCCATCCTGCACGAGCTTCTCTTGATAAAGTATTTGGACCGAAAAAAGGAAATGGACATACAATGACGACCATTGCAGCTGTTACAGGTCCAAACCAAAACATTACATCACAACCCACTCAATCCTCACCATTGAAAATGTCAGGCTGCCGTTTTACGATCATCACCCTATGTTTACTTGTTGGATCCTATATTGTTGCAGTCAGTGTCACCAGTCTCTCTACTGTATTAGCATTTGTCGGTGCTACGGGATCTACAACTATTGGACATATACTACCGGGAATATTTTACTATAGAATGAGGAGAAACGCGAATCCACCCGATGCACCACTTGAAAGACTTGAAATTGCAGCCTTATGTTTGGCAAGTTTTGGTGGATGTATTATGGTGAGTAGTTTGACAACGCAGCTGCTACAAGGAGTTAGTGCCACGGGTGGGCATTAACAAGACTGCAGTTTTGGATATACATTTTTCAGATACAGGTCGAGTTTATCCTTGAAGTCCTTCACTTTAATAAAGTACAATTTCTTTTGATACCATCATTTTACTATTGCTAGTTTTAATGTATGAATCAACCTGCTGTTTAATAGAAGATTGAATAAGACATGATTAGTTTCCAAAGTAATACTATTGAAGGCATCAATTCAATGTATTAACAACCCGAAAGTATCGAATAATTGAGCGATTTGTTAGATTTACGCTTTGGACACTCGGTAACCTTCAAACGACTGTATGAAAATATTCCGTGAGTTTGAAACATGTTTCGATTACAGTGCCAATCAGAATAGTAAATCATAGAATAATGTAGTGAGGATCCAATCAGCATATATTCCATATCAGTCTGAATTGATATTGAGTCGTTGGAATTTTTTTTGGCTTGCTTCAGATTCACAAAACCGTTTGATTATTGCATGTCAGAAAGCATCCAGAAGTAAGTTGTACATATCCTTATGATACAGTCTTGACTATCTTGTTTAGTACTGTTTCTATTGTTCATTCTTTCATGTTTAATATGCACATTTACTCTTCTATTTGGGTTGGTTTGGGCTGTAGCCAACTCATGACTATTACCATCAACGAGTCGATGTTCAGTGTATAGGCTGAACTGACGGTGGCTGCCCTGTTCACTTTGTTTCTTTGTATATACACCGTTCATGGTCTGGATGAGTGTATCTTTTCCAGCACTTTCAACGCTATTACTCTAGGAACTATCCTCGACACTATTCCCAACCCAACAAAACCTTGGAGACATTCATTCAATGATGCTTGCCATCAATTGGACCTATTGCCATTGAGTTGGATACAAAATTCAATATATGCTAGGACTGATCTCTAGCATGGTTGGGTTGGCTCTATGTAAATCATTAGCATAAACATTAGCAATAACGAATCTGGTTTAGATTGCCGTTGGTTTGCTGGTTTATTTTCAACTTTGATCCACGCTTCATGTATATTGTATTATACAATGTAATTTTGGGTTCAGTTATTGGTATTGACTTTGTGTTATGTATTATTCAATCAATTGTTGGCATTAGTCTTGCAAGTTACGATCCTTTTGCTGATACGGGTGAAGACAGTGTAGTTGCTGTTGAAGGATATATTCGTAAGTTCACTTGGACTGGATTAGACTCGTGTAGACCGCCACAATAGGATGAAAGTGTGCATCTACACGAATCTAGATATTACCCTATTTTGATGGGTTATTAAAGATTGATGTTTTGTAATAGATATTCGTATTCAGCAGCGTAACGGCCGCAAGACTCTAACAACCGTGCAGGGCATTCCTGCCGATCTGGACCAAAAGCGTATACTTAAAGCATTCAAGAAGGAGTTTGCATGCAATGGAACGCTTGTTGAAGATGATGATCTTGGTCAAGTTATCCAACTTCAGGGTGATCATCGCTTGAAGGTGCAGACTTTTTTGGCAACAGAGGGCATTGCTCCAAAGGATAAAATTAAACTTCATGGTTTTTAAATGTGACGATGGGTGAAAATATGTTTGAAATTTTGAATGATAAAAAGTGGATGGATTCACGTGATCATCACTGTGCGGTTGCTGTTGTGAATTCAGATTCTTCAACCAATAAATTATTATTCAGTCTTATGTTCACCGGACGATCAACACTGACAGCTGCATACAGGCTTAAGCAGACCATGACTCATCTGGCTTCGTCTAGCCATATGCGTGTCTGCACTGTGAGTTTCTACAATTTATATCCAATGATCTACGCTTCAAATCCATGTTGGATTCACAAAATAATCCGTTTGAATCTACTGTCGATATATAGGCTACGCTTGCAACCTCTTCCAAAAACAGTGCATCAGTTGGTGTCAATTTCAAAAAAATGCAATCCATTCGCAAGTTTGAGCTCGATCGCCCTGCTGCCATGAATGCTCTCAACCTCGACATGGTGTACGCAATCACCTCCCAACTCAAGGTATCAACCATTTTAACCCATATGAATATTCAAGTATGTGCTGATATTCTGTAACGTCAGACTTGGAAGGATTCTGATCTATGCAAAGTGATTGTTCTTGCCAATGTGGAAGGCAGTCGAGCATTCTGTGCAGGTGGAGATGTCAAGAGTTGAGTTCATGTTCATCTTGATACTTGTCGACTTTACAGATCTGACCTTATTTGTAATGGCTTGATAAACAGCTTTGGTCTTGAAAGCCTCGAGTGGCAAACCTGAAGATATTGCTCAATCTTGCAAGTTTATGGAAGAAGAGTATAAACTCAATCATATGATTGCTACTCTTAAACTTCCATTTGTAAGCATAATGGATGGTATCACCAGTAAGTGTTTTGATAATTGTCGAGTTTTTATTTTACAAATGAAATCTGATGAGCTTGTATTTTTATCACTTGCTCTAGTGGGTGGCGGTGTTGGTCTTTCAGTTCATGGATCGTTCCGTATTGCAACAGAAAAAACATTGTTTGCCATGCCCGAGGTAACAAGCAGTTGGATGCTCCATGATCTATATGTCTAGTGCAATGTCTTGTATTCATTTACTAATGGTATAATCGCAATCTTTTGATTAAATTTAATGCATATACTTTGGTGGTATTAGACTGCTATTGGTTTATTTCCTGATGTTGGCGGTAGTTTTTTTCTACCTCGTCTTGATGGAGAACTTGGTACTTTTTTGGGTCTAACGGGTCATCGTCTGAAAGGCGAAGAAGTCTTGTAAGTACAGATGCATGTTTATATGGGTTGAATAGGATGCAGGGATAAAACACCAACAGTTGATCATGCAACTAGTATTGCTGGTATTGCTTCGCACTTTATCCCTTCTTCGCGCCTGTCGTCATTGTATTCTCGTCTCCAGGAACTTGATACAAACAATATAGATGTTGTCAATGCCGCTATTGATGAATTTTCTGGTACAGTACTATAGTCGATGCCACGATCTGTATTTTAGCATGGTTTTATCTAGAAATGTAATGGGACTAGTTTAACATTCTTTTGGGTGATTTAGGCGACTTTACGACCGACATGTTTCGCAACTGGTCGCTTGGAGGCGAAGTTGGACGTACTATTGATAGGTGCTTCAAGTACAACACCATTGAGGAGATTTTTGCCGCACTTGAAAAAGACGTAAGATGACAATCTCTAATGCTGTCAACTGTAGATCTATCTCAACCTCAATTATTGAGGCTGCATACTGTTTATAAACTACAGTAACTAAAATGTACGTGAATGTGTTGAATAGCCAAATACAGAGTGGTGCCAAAAACAACTTCAAGTGATGCGTAAATGCTCACCTACAAGTCTCAAAGCTACATTGATGCAACTGCGTAAAGGGGCTAAAAAAAGTATTGCAGATTGCTTAAAGATGGAGTATCGTATGGTTCGCGCATTTATGGTAATACTTGATTTCAACTCGGCAGTTATAATGACGTTGAATCATGTGCTAACATGTATTTGTGTAGGAAGGACCGGATTTCCATCAGGGAGTGACGGCTGCTTTGATCAACAAACCAGCAACTCGACCAAACTGGAAACCTGATATAGATCATATGAACGAAATAAGTGCATCGATGGTGGAAAAAAAGTACTTTGCGGCAGATCAGGGAAAACAGCTTGAACTCTTTACTAATTCGACCTACTATGACTACCCTCATCGATCTCTATCTGGACTTCCAACCGATCGGGACATTCGTCGTGTCGTTTACGGTAAAGTATTGACCTGAAAGTGTATGGAATATGACAGCAAGAACATTCTCATGACAACTTTTGGTTTAGGTGACATTTCAAATGTGAACAAGTCGGGCAGTTTAAAAACCAAATCGGACATTTTGCAGTGGTTTATGCAAAACTGGGGAAAATATGATTCTCTAGCCATGTCTGAACATACACCACCACTAAAACTCGATTTGGGCGGAGGATTAGGTCGAGGAAAGGTTGGACTTAAAGCCAAAGTTGAATCGGTACTCGAAACCCATACCGAACAACAAGCCAACCATCTTGAATGGAAATACTGAATTAAAAAAAATTGAACTGATATTTATTCAAGTGGTGGTTTAGCATAAATTGGAGTTGCTACATACATAGCACTAGCCATGCCACATCCTGCCAATGCTGTTATCACCATAACAATAACAAACACACTACGCGGAATAATGGTCCAATCGACCTAGTTTATCGCCATGTTAGAATGAGTGAATATCGAATATAAAATGGACTAGCATTCAAGTACTTGCATAATCTTGCGTTGGACGTGGTGATCCCACAGCGATTTTTGATGATGTCGTGAGTGCTAAAACGTAGATAACCCATACTATCAACCCCGAAAACAACACAGTTCTAAACAGCAGTTCATTTTCTTGTTAATGCAGTGTGTTGCTATCTATGCGTTGATTTAGATGGACTTACGTTGCGTATGGGGTATGTATAATGGCGAAACTCGTTACAAGCAGTATGAGAAGGAGGATGAGAGATGTGGACAATGCCCAGCCTAATCCAAATATTTTGAGCGAGGGCTGAATGATTGAGTCCATTGTGGTTAAAGTGCTGGAGTATACACTAGATACTATGAAACTAGAACTGGTAAAAGTTTGAGTCGTGTAGTTGTTGCAGTTCAAGTGTCGATGGAACGCGCACTATCTGTATTAGGTTATTATTCAACTATTGAATGGATTCAAACTCTAAAGAAACAGTCAATACAAAATAAATGCTAAAATTGAAAAATTGTTTATTGACTCAATGGTTCAAACATCATTGGCTGTGATGTTGATCCAGGTCTGCTAGTCCGCCTATTGCCTTGTGTAGAATAAGATACATGAGGGAGCACTCCTAACATGAACATTCCCTCTTCGCCACCAGTTGCTGATGATGAAGCGGCTGCAGACATATTTAGCAATGACCCAGCAGGTGTAGGTGTGGACACGACAGCACCCGTACCAGAATACAATGATGATGATGAATCCAAATGTTGAAGTTCTCCGCCAAAGAATGACGACGATTCAGCTGATGCTGCAGCATTCAAGTCACTGGTCAGATCGTGTGATACCACCTTGCTACCGCTTGGAGCATCGTTGTCCACGTCAAAGTTTAGTACTTCAAACCATGTACCGCCTTCTTCTCGCTGTACAGCGCAGACAAGACGAGTTTCATCAGTTCGAACACGCCAGACACCTTGAACACCTCCAATCGTATCTCTTAGGAATCGACCATAGACAGGCTCAGGTCCATTTGCACCTTGAGTAAATGCAAGTTGGTCACTCAGAGGACAATTTGAAGGGATCACTCCGTTCGAGTTAGCACCCATCAGTCCAGTATTGGTGCCATATCCTACAGAAGACAGTTCCCAAATCTTGATGCCACCATCCGAACCAGATACAATTCGATTACATTTAGGATCGTGATGGAAGCAGGTGATGGCTGCAGAGTGGCCTGTTAGGTTGGACAGACACTGACCTGTGACAGGAGACCACACACGCAACGTAGCATCGGCAGCGGCAGAAACCAGATAGTTGGGTGATAATTCCAAGAGTCCTACAAGAGAAGTATGACCCTCGAGATTAAATAGAGCGACACCAGTACGTGTACACCACACTTTGACAGTGGCATCCATACTGCCACTGACAGCACGACGGAGTTCATGGCAATAGCCAACAGAATAGACTTTTTCACGATGGCCACGGAATATATGCACACACTCGCCTTTGGTGATGTCCCAAACACGAATAGTGCAGTCGTAACTGCCACTAACAAGAACATTGCCCTGGCCGGCAATAGCCCGAACTGAATTTGAATGGCCCAGCAAGACATGCATGAAATAGGGATTGGATACATCTGGGGGTGGTTGCCTTGGTAAATGTGTGAGATTTGGATTATTGGGATCTGGAGTTCTGGGGGTGGCATGAAGGTTTGCCTCTGATTCTTCACGATATTGAGCCGTCATCATGGCAGCCATAGCAGGAGACCAGTGTGGATCACGACGAGGATCAGGTAGCCGCCATACACGCAATGTTGCATCCCTTGAACCCGTGACAATGACAGGATGCTCAAGAGCAGCAATACCATCATCTGTAGCATCATTACTTTGAGGGATAATGATCATCAAGCAGCGCACAGTAGAGGTATGGCCATCAAAGATGTGAGAGCATTCTCCATTTTCGATATCCCAAACACGAACACTGCGGTCGGTAGAACCAGAAACAAGAGTGTTTTTCCAGTACTGAAGAGCCCAAACTCCACCCTCATGTCCTTCAAGTCGTTTTAGCAAGGTTCCATCCGCAGTATTGTAAACATGAATGGTCTGGTCATCAGAACCTGACACAATCTTTTCGGTATCAAACTGCAAACAAGTAACAACATTTGGACCATGTCCAGGGAAAGAGATGTGGTGGTATCTTCCCAACAGCCAGTTACGACGAATCAAATGGTGACGTCTGTATAGTTTCTTGTAGAGATGGCGATAAATGGGACGAGGGTGTTGTGGAGTGTTGCAGGTGAGGCTCATGGAGGATGAAGACCTCGAGAGCGGAGTTACAGGTGGATGCGAATCAGGTCTGTTATAAGAGTGAGAATCGTTATCAGCTGAGCTGTAGTTACCAAGGGTATGATGTGACTTGAGATTATTATTAATTGAGCCTAATTCATCGCTAGAAGTGGATTGAGTAAGTGCGGAGCGAACAGCGAAAGCTGTCGAGATTTCATCGTCATCAACAAATCCCTCATTGACCAAACGTCTTTTCCAAATAGATAGTTCAGAGCCTTCGCCATCCACGACGCTTAGCCAGCTCTTGGATACACGCTGGCAACGGCCCAGAGTTTTAAGATCCAAGAATGCGATAATCTGGTAGGATAGTTCGACGGGTAATTGACCAATAAAGTCTCTTTTCAAGGACGGAAGAATCAATGAAGACATGAATTGCAAGGAGGAAAAAGGACAGCGCTTTAACAGCTGAGTCATGACATGATTTTTGACTGCAGTTGGAAGGGCCTCGAATGAGTCTAGCACTAGAGGAAGACTGGTGATGAGATCCAGACTGCGGGATAGTCCTGAAAAGGCAGACAACAGGGTTAGTACGATATGAAAGTCATTTACAGTACTCGAGATGCTCAAGATGCTTACCTTGAGTAGAGCCCAAAGACATGGTATCACATAAACTATCAGAGGTAGTCAATGGCCAAACAGAGTGATGCGGAGGAGGGACCAGTGGCGGGGGAGTGTGCAACTGCAGTAGTTGATGACTATAACTATTAGTAGTAGAATGGTGTTGATGACTGTAGTGCAGAGTAGGTGACATGGTTGGACTAGGAAGTGTTGGCGAATGGCGGTTGCTAGTGTCTGCCAGGAATGATCCAATGCCACTAGCAGCAGTAGAAGAGCTAGACAAGGGATTACTAATACGACTTTGATGCATACTGCCAGTTCCAGTTCCAGTTCCAGTAGCAGCAGAAAGCGAGCCTATATCACTCAATGCACTCTGCATCCTGGCAGTTGCATTCGGAGCTTCACTCATTACACTATCAGTAGAAACCAGCGTAGATTTGGCAATATTGGGTCCGTTTGATAATGACATCCCTTCAGATGTATTCTTGCGATTAGTAGAGTGAAGTGAGTCTATAGTCATACAAGAGTGATGGGATAAAGTAAACTCGGGCAGTCTAGTACTTGTCAAGCAAGCTGTTTGTTCATGTAAAACAGTCGGAGGCTGACACTCGACGGCGGAAGCGGCACTAGTGGTGGAGCGGAGAGCGTCATGGTCTCGAGTGCTGTTCGTAACACCAATGCAAGTCGGTCCTTCTCTTGTCAATCGCTCTCTGCAGTCGTCCATCTCCTGTGTAGAATCAACTTTGAATTCATCCCGCTCTTGTTCTGTTGGTTTGAATGTCGAGCTGGGCTGCTGGTTGTAATCACACATTGACAAGAATCCTGCTTCTGTCCTTGCTAAGCTTGTTTCTGACCGTTTTCGTTTAAGTGATGATTCTGCCGTTGTGTTTGATTTCTGTGAGCAAAGCTATGTAGTATATCAGGACGAACCAAGTAAGTATAGCAATCAAGCAACTTAAAGGGTCAAGTATTGTTGGGTAATAATTGGGTTTATATTCACCGCCATTCGGCACTTGAATCGAATGGGTTTTATGGCAATGCACAGCATTTTGACCTTACTTGTAACACTATCCCTTGCTTATCTACTTTGTGTTTCAGCCCATATCAAAAAAATATTCTTTTAGTGAATCCATCTCAAATTCCATTATACACTCACCAGACCAGTAACGGTCACCAACCTGCTTTAGCATCTACTCTACATGAAAAAACTCCATTACCGACATATGAAATATGTGATCTTGCCAAGTCATCCGTACGCAATGGGTCAAAGGAGATTGGACGCGACGCCACGAGTATTGAATTATCCCTGTAGCTTTGATTGTCACCTATCGTCATAGTAGTATCAATGCATACATTCTCTTGCTGATATCTTGGTGGCTGACTGCTGTGGGTTTGAGTATCAACCATTTTCCTGGATGCATTATGCGTTTGTATTTCTGAATGGGAATTAGACTGGATATCAAACGGTGTGGCAGATGCCTTATCTTCGTATACTCCTGTTAGTGGCTGTTGAAATGCTATTTGACTAAATCCAGATTGCGTCGCTTCAAGAGGATCTACCATTTGCATGTCTAGACATCAGATACAATGGGTCAATCTCCACTAATATTCAAGAGTCAAACCTGTACCAAACAGATCTTTTTATGATTTAAAGATACCCAATTTGCATATGCAATCTGTGTCAGGGGTTATAGATGTGGTTTGGCATAAAGGCTGTAATGCTTGGCTAGCAGTGCTGATGGATACATGGCTTCAGTGTCCAAGTTTCAATACCAAACAGTCATTGTATCTAAACAGCTATCCTGGTACTTTTAAAAGGGAATCCAGATGCATGCATAATGGTTTACACTAAAAGACATCTAGATGCATGTCTAGTATCTCAAGGTCGGCTCAAACCACTTTCTGGCTGATTTGATTCTTGACCCAAATATATAAAGTTCAAAGATTGACAAGTGACAGTACCGTTTGTAAACAAAGTCGAACGACAGTCTGACCGAGACCGGAGTGATCTACCACCAGGTTTAGAGAATATATCCTTGTCATTCATGTATGCCGTGGTGGCTTGTAAGTTGACAAGATTTAAAAAAAGTTGGAGTATAAAGTTTGAGATTTTACTGTCGTGTTCACGTAAAATGAAACACCAAGAGTGCCCAATACATAACAAACAGCCAATCTTATTAAACGATTGGTGCCAGTTTCCACCACATTTACTGAACAGCATTGTGTCCTGAATTCCTTGACAAAGTTGACTGTTTTTTCTGCTCACTTTTGGATAAAATACCAAACGAATGTTCAAAGCAGCATTCACATCTCCAAATCCCACATTTTTGACACTTGCTCAATCATCAACTCATACAAAAATCGTATGATTGACATGATAATAGCAGTCATTTCTGGATGTACGCTACTAAGGTCTTGTAAACTAAAACACAAACACATCTGCGATTCAGAGTACTGCAAAAGTTGTGACAACAGTCCAAGCCGATATTTGGATTGCAATCAATGAGTCGGTTTCAAATGTGGTGATTGTACATTACATGGCTATACTGACAGGAAAGGAGACACGTTCCAAACTATAGTTTGATTCTGTATACATCACGATGGTCATTGTTTAAGAGTGAAGCTAATTTCTAACGGAAAGACGCAAGCATTTGACCATTGTCTATTTCAAAGCAAAATAGATTTCAACGCTCCATTTTATGTGATTGCAACTATAATTTGTGGCTAGATGGGAAAATGATACCATCTAATCTCGGTACTCTCATTGAACAAACTACCAAACAGTATACAGTAAATCAAATATTCATTTGAAAACAGCCGTATCACTACTTTGACTACAGTTAGGCTTGTACTATGCATCTCCCTCGGATCTTTCACAATCCTATTGTCCTCTCCAACAAAATCAGGAACATCAACAAGGAAAGCCCTATCCTTTTGCGTAAACTGGAAAAATTGGCTCTAAAAGAATATGGTATAGAGCAATTCAACTTGGAGGACAGTGGTAAATTCATATTTGTTGCAAGTTTAACACCAATTTACTGTTCTGGAGATCCTTCAATTGGTGCTAGTAGAGTGGTGTATGCAATGGAGGGGTACTTGAAGATTTACGGGATTGACGCCAGCTGGACTCCGTATGTTTTGGAACAAGTGTTATTTGCAGTTGCAGACAATGATTCTGAAATTGATCATTGGGCTCATTTGGGAGGTTTTGTCGTTGGGTTTATCTACAAAGGCTTGTCTGGTGTATGGTTTGACACGCAACCAAGTCTCGAGAATGGCTCAATTTCTATTCAATCAAAGTCATTTCACTAGTCTGCCTCAGATATTCCTTTTTTTCCTGCACGGCAATTTCATCTTCAATCCGTATGACAACTTCTTGTGGGACCACTCGAATGACAGTATAGATTGGCAGCCCTTTGTCATCATAACCCGACACATACGATGGATTAGATGCTTTCTGCAGACGAGCTGATTGTCTTTTCGGCTTATCTGGCGTGTCAAAATATTTTGGTTTGATGATGGTTTTTTTTGGCGTCTCTTTGATTTGAGACGATTCTTGAAGCGTGACTGCTTTCATAGACTCCTCCAAAGAGACTCGTCGGGACAACAGACAAATGACAATGGCTTTGAGGAATGTTGTCCCCATTGGCTGAACCAGACTGGAGTTTACATGAGGGGTATGGTCGAGGTTGTCATCATACGGAAATGTCAATACAGCATTGCGATCGCTGTTTTCAACAAACAACTTCCACTGCCTTTGGGTGAAAAGGAATGTTGGACAGTTGAATGCATACAAAGCCGACAAAACCTGAATGCCTCTTGAGCCGTGATACCACATTTCACCAGGAGCAAAGGTGAGATGTGTCTTGGCTTCAGAGGCAATCAGGTTTAAACCGCTGGTGTTGAGAAAATGGGGATCAGTTTTGCTGCGAAGATCATATTGATATCTTGCCAGGATTCCGCCCACAATGATCTTGGTTTCGGAGCTGGGACGAATGCGAACACGGAGACGAGTGGCGATAGCTGAGACAAGCCCACCAAACTGCCATTGGATATCACTCTCTGCTGTGTCATCAGGAAGGTTGCGAAAGTCGTCCATATCCCGAATGGTGTCTCCATCAGCAACCACTTGATTGTAGCGCTCTTCCCAGTCGTCAGGAGTGTCCAGGAGAGCTGCGAGGTCGTCCAAAGTGCCAATATTTTTGACATTCCTATATATGAATGGATGGAGCAGTCTGTGCGACAAGTTTGATGCTGTTGGCTTTCTGATCAAAACAACGTCAGTGCCTTCTGTCGTTTGCCAGGCTTGAGGCTCTAATATCCAAGCAGATGGTGGCATGATTTGCTGATCCATATACTGCTGATTTTGCTGGAGTCTTGTAGAAATAGACTGCTGTTCTTCATCCTCAGTATCTACTTCCAACTGTGCTTCTCCCTCCGATTCAGTATCTGATTGGGCATAGTCTTTTGGATAGGTTCGGATGATATGAGCGTCTGCTGAAGGTGTGATTTCTGCCATTTTCTAGTTTGGAAAAGGTCAACATCGCACACAATCTACTTTACATATTGTCAAATGAGAATCCAATATGAAAATATTCATCACCAAATGAACCAAGAAAAAATCAAATTTTAATGGGATTCTAGTAATCTAAATGGATACTTGGAATGATTTGCCAATGGGATTGAAAATAACGATATTCAAATTCAAATGCAGCATCGTTTTAATGAACGAACGAGCAAGTCGAGTCTTTTGTTCAACGAACGACCTGTCAAGATCATTCAAACTAAAATGTCACTAAAATGACACTGAATTGTACATTTACATTGAAAATAAACGTTGCTCATCAAGACAATTAAAAAACATTTCTACATGGGTTATCTACGGTGATTACAGAACAGATGCCAGTGCTCAAATGGCTGTCTTGCTAATGTGTCATACAAATCGGCTGACAATTGGCATTTACAACTTTGAGCGTGATCAAGATACTGTTAAAATTAGTTGCTGACTGGAAAACGCTTTTAACAGACAAGAGTTTGTATAATCATATGAAAATCAATTTTATTGGGAGTTTGTGAGTATCCAATAGCCAATGGCCAACCCGAGTTCTATTTTTAGCATCTACAGTCTGCAATAGCAGACTTACAATTGTAATAACATTTTTATTCCTCAAATCTGAAATTGTTTGAAAGCTGAAAGAATCTATATCCTTGATGTCTGCGTTCAATTTTAATGTGCATCACATTGTACTATTCCTTGCGAATTCGGGCAGTAACCTAGCCAACGATAAATTCATCATCTTTGTAGACAATTTGTCCAAAATCATCGCAAGATATACCCACGCAAGTTATTTTTTCCATTCTAGTACCAACAGTCACTTTAAATGCGTTTTGGTTCAGTTCGAGCATTAGCAGTGCGCTACTAAGGTCTTGTAAACTAAAACACAAACACATCTGCGATTCAGAGTACTGCAAAAGTTGTATGACAACAGTCCAAGCCGATATTTGGATTGCAATCAATGAGTCGGTTTCAAATGTGGTGATTGTACATTACATGGCTATACTAACAGGAAAGGAGACACGTTCCAAACTATAGTTTGATTCTGTATACATCACGATGGTCATTGTTTAAGAGTGAAGCTAATTTCTAACGGAAAGACGCAAGCATTTGACCATTGTCTATTTCAAAGCAAAATAGATTTCAACGCTCCATTTTATGTGATTGCAACTATAATTTGTGGCTAGATGGGAAAATGATACCATCTAATCTCGGTACTCTCATTGAACAAACTACCAAACAGTATACAGTAAATCAAATATTCATTTGAAAACAGCCGTATCAGCTTCTGCTCAATGACACATTCTAGAAATAAAGGGTTTAGTAAGAATCAACCAGAGCTGTCGAGGCAAAAGAGTATCTAGTCAAAGTTAGCTAAAACATGCACTTGGTCTAACCTTGTGCAAAACAATTCCTATTCTGACCGAGGCAAATATATCTTCAATTTATCAGTGCCACTGGGTGAGGCAAAAGGCTGATGCCTATTGAAAGTTGTAAAGTCAATAGCTCATAACTCATGTTGGTTATTCTCATTCATCAAATGCTGCAGGTATTTAGATTCAAAACTATACCATTAGCTATTTCAACAGTATGCCGTCATTTTCTGTATAGGATCCAAATATAAATATGTTCTTTAGAATATCATCTCAGGCATTACTCAACCAATAGCTCACTTGTTTACGCACACCAATACATTGTAATCATTAAAAACCTTGAGCCACACATGGTACTGAACATATAACTGAAACTGAGTAAATGGGTTATAGCATTTCTCCACACTACGAATTCTAATGTATCCATTGCAACTTGAAAGATTCAAACGGTACCTCAATGTCTACTCATGCTAATCTTCAACTCAATCTAAATGTTTATGCTAGACAATTGATTCAATGGCGGGTGAACGCAGATACATGTGATTCAACTGCTTATACTGAAATGATATTGCAATATACGTACTTGATCAAGCCAGTGCTGAGTCCACATGTATGCAAAGTGGCTGTGGGATTGATCACACTATATTAAACTCGGCCATATTCATATTGGTGAGAAGAGTCAAGATCGAAACTAAGCTTACCAGATATTTTGCTAATACTGAGCATTTCAAACAGAACTCATTCCAGCATACCTAGAGTATAAAGCAAGAAAATATTCAGTGAGAGGCGATCATGAATGTAGTGTAGTAATAAAGACAGGTACTTTCCTATGGATCATTCACGATGATAGAGGAGTATTTATAGACATTCAAGACAAGATGTAGGACGATGGTTAGGGCGAGTAAACACAAAAAGGCAATATTTAGGGTTACAATAAACCTTATGTCTTTTGGGTTGCCATCAAACATACGAATGTCATGTTACAGGGAGTGTTGGGTGGAAACCTAAGGGATTCCTATAGGACGATCAAAAGCATACACTTGTATTCAATCCGTCGAGTAGTTTATATGATCAAGAGTATCAAACAAGCGAGTTGGTTTAATCTAAACGGTTTATTCTGTACAAGTCGAGTATTTTGATTGTAATAAAATATTCCACTGCGCTAGAGCATTGTTTTGCAGTCATTATTCTATGCAAACAGACTTTTGACACTAGGGCGAGTAAAACGTTTGTGTTTAAACCTCATTGCTTGAAGCCACGCATTGCTTGTTTCAATAGCTGGGCTTCGACCCTTTAACTGTTTCAAACTTGTAAATCTTGATTCTTATTACAGCACTCGAGTTCACTCTGATTTGATTGACTATTAAATGACTGTCGCACAAGATACTGTCCATTCCAGTGCTGACCAGATGCATCATTCTGAGCAACATTCTGTTAGACTTGCCATTCTTTATGGTTACAATGGGACTGGGTTTGATGCTCTTGAAAGGTAAATCAGCCATGTGCGGCCAATATACTGCCATTCCTGTATGCTAATCTTTTATACTCGACTGTAATATTCAAACTATTACTAGAACAAAAGGAGAGGTCACAATCGAAGGCACTTTGCTAGCTGTCTTGGCCTCCTTGCTATCTGCTGATGGTAAAGCTACTGTAAGTTTGCAGTACATGGTTGCTGTCCAATACAACTCCAGTGTACGATTGGGAAGCCCTGTTGAGAAACTGCAAAAAGTGGATATCCTACTCTAGTGTTGAATTGCTGCTGCAGTAAGATGAACAGGATCTTGTAAGCCGAGATTACAGGGGTTCTGGATATGAGTTGATGTCTACACTTGTATTCATCTCAGCTGTTGTTCTGCAACTTGGTATTCCATAATGATATTCTCAACAATACTTGCCGCCACATCGCCACCAAACAACAATACATCTGCTTGGTTTGCATGTCAAACTAATTCCAAATTGTATTTTGCTTTGATACCATTTTATCTAGTTCACTAATATCTCCAGAGCGTCTACTACGGAAGCCGGTGAGCATGCTTCGAAACAAGTCGTTTCATTTGAGACTCATGCACCAACTCCTATTATTCTACCTGCCGTTGAGGCTGTCAACAAACTGCTGCCCTCATCCATGCGTGTCTTTCGTATCATCCCCGTTGCTAGTGATTTTTCTGCTCGCAGAACTTGTGAGGCTCGCACCTATGAATTTCTGATCCCTACATATGCGTTTTCTCCTCCTCCAGCCGCTGCACATTATGCCTACGCTGAGCAATATAGCATTCCTGATTTACCCATCAGCCCCTCTAGTCGCCCACAGGGCGACATGTTCAAGACTATGAAGCATGGCCACTCTCTGATGCGCCGTCATACTCTTGGAAAAAACGGTGGTGTTGATGAAAAATCCGCAAACACTCCATCTGTGCGTGCTGTTAGTCCTGACAGCTACTTGAAGGAGCACGGAGAAAAAACAGTCCAAGGAAAGGTCGTCGACGAAGATGAGCCTGAACCTCGCGGTGCCATGGCTCGCATGTTTGGCTCATGCTTCATGGGACTCTGTCGCAAAAAGTCTGAGCTGACGGGGTCTGAGCAGCTCAAGGCTTCGCTTTACAACACACTTGAGATCCCACCTGATTCCAGTCAAACCGATGAATCTAGTGTCACTCTGCAACGCAAAAATACTCAAAATGCTAATACCAAGGGTGCGGGATCGTCTATATTTAAAGATGAAAATGATGAGCCAGATACGTTTGTCAATACGCTTCATCGCTCCATGTCTCGTCACAAGAACTTTGATCCCAAAGAGCTCAACAAGGAAGTTCCTCCAGAGTTTTTTGATCCTCTAGTCATTCCACCTCCAACAACCGAGCAAAAGGCTTCCATCCGTGGATATCGCATGTCTCAATCTCAAAAGGTGTCACTGTGCAACATATTATCACTGTTCAATGGTACCCATAATTGGCACAACTACATTCCCGGAGCCGATCAAAGCGACCCTCGCTGCTACATCCGCATCATCAATATTGATGTGCGTGATACTGAACTGCACGAGGGTATGGAATGGGTACGTATAAAAATACAAGCCCCTGCTTTTGCTCGTTATCAAGTGCGTCGCATGATGGCTCTTGTGATTATGGTCTTGCGTACCAATACTCCTCATTCGGTTGTTGCCAACTCATATGGGTTTGCGAAAATGGAAATTCCTGAAGCACCCGCACTCTCTCTTGTTCTTGATGAGCCCCATTATAACAACTATAACGTGGAGGTATTACAATCTGCCAAGGATCAAGGTAAGATGCTTCGTCAGCCAGTGCATTTTGGCGAGAGCATTCATGAGGTAGAAGACTTTCGACACAATGCCATTCATGAGGCAATCTATGCAACTGAGCGTGAGCTGATGGAGTTTGAGACCTGGTTGCGATCGCTAGATTCCTACTCGTTCTTGTACACCTGCTACTTGAACGAGCGTGGTGTTATTTTGAAGAACCGAAATTTTATTCGTGATGCAGAGCTCGATTCTGAGACAACTCCTGTTTAGAGATTGACTAGATATCACTTTTGATTTTGTCCAAGTTTAGTTTTCTTTTATTTTGCTGCTGTAACCTTTTCTTTCGAGTTAGGTGTTGCTGATAGCTGCAGTATCAAACCTGCCTTTCGACATTACTATTTGCAAACCCAACACCCATGCTACTGTGCAGCCATTTCATGTTTTGTATGGGCTGCCATTTCAAGGCTTGATCAACAGTAAACAATTGCCAACGCATGACCTACACTGGATTTACTGTTTGTGGCTCTATAGCCTTCCTCAATTCGATCAACTCTTTTTTACCACATACTTTTTTGGACCCCATCAACAATGAATACTTTTATGCTTTATTTTTTCGGTTTTGGGTGTTGATAAAATTGTTCTCGTGCAGATACAATGAGATGGTCAATTTGAATCTGATATACACGTGCCAAATTACATGAGCATTTTTGACAAAGTCAGTATTCTGAGATGTATAGCTGTCTAGTCTTTTCTACACGTATCCATACTGATAACTATACTCGTTAGCATCAACGGTGAGTACCAGCTGTATACTTTGAACACTTTAGCTACATTTGTCGAGTATAAACCCCTTGACACCTTTGCAAATCACAGATACAGTCAAGAGAGGCGGCTTGGTATTGTATCTGTAGTCATGCCCTCATGAAAATGTGGACTTTTGAATTTTGATAAAGGGAATATTTATTTTTTCCAATCATTTCAAAGTATCAATAACTACACTTCAAATTTATCTAGAGTAGGCTAACAAACTGTTCAATGATGCAACTACTGTCCACCTTTACTGCTATGTATTAATAATATATAGCTTAGTTTACCCCAGTATTCAAACAAATGGCACAAATTGTGCCGTGTATGACGCCAGTTTGGCAAGAACGCCAAGACAATACAGATGAATCAGATTCAACTTCTCAGATCCCTCGAGTCTTACCTGCCAGTATCACCGACTTTATTGAGTCACATCAAAAAGAGCAAAGCCATACGCCATCTGGCATTCATGACAACGACAGCGACCGAGTCAGCATTGAAAGCTACATTCTCATGGACCGCGAAACTCGCGAAAGTGATTCAGAATCTGACTCAGACTCTTGCTCATCACTTCAGCGTCCCACTAGCATATTCAACCTCTCTATTGCAGGCTCTTTGGCTCTAAATTCTGTTTCCTTGAAAAGTATTTTTAATCCTTCTCAAATTTTAGCTAGTGAAGATATCGAGCCTGCTATAGCAAGTATCGCTGCAATAATTGAAAAGCGTGTATCACTGGCTGAGATTTACAAAGAGGATGCAGAAACGAATCTACCCGACCATTTAAAATCCATTCACACTATGCCTAGAGTCAAATCTGGTGGTGTGGTAAGTCGTCCCGCTTCTATTCTTTCATTACCAAAAGTTGTCGCTGTTGAACTATCTCATCCGCCTATTCAAGGTCAATCCATTCACACTCAGCAAAACCTAAAAGAAATTCAAACTGCATTGGATTTGTATTCTACACGTGTGAATCATGAAAAGGAAACTTTTTCCAACACCTCTTCCACAGACGAGTTTGATCGTATTATGAATAAGATGGATCGGGAAGATTTGTACGATCAACAACGGTGTGTGTTGCATAGTCCTGAAATAAGAAAAAGTCAGGAAAAAGTAGATGTTCATGAGTCGCAAGACTTGCCTGTGCCAATCGAGTCGGACCAAATAGGTTCTAGTGAAAATTTTCGCTCTGTTCGTATAAAAAATCTACCCAGTCAAGACATTTATCCATCATCACGTCGCAGAAGTATGTCGTTGGATTCGTCTAAATGGAATGTGCTGAAAATGGTATCGGCTAGTCATGCTTATGGGGATCATCACGCACTACCACATTCTAAAGGCGGTATTTTAAAAAAACTGTTTCATCATAAACAAGATTCTTCAGAAGATTTGCAATCTACAGAGCTTGGGTCATCCTCCAACAGACAGGATCAAGAACTGCCATCCAAGTCAAAACACGACAAATTTTTGATGATGGATACTGGAAACGACAAGGCGTTGGATCGAGATAGTAATGGATCTTATCATACACCAAATCATCCACATCCTCGCGAGCTTCATTACAGAGTAGATGTGTATGGGCAAAAAATGGATTCGCAAGGAAAACAATCACCAAACAATCACGCAAGGGAATACATGTCCTACAATGAAGCAGCAAATCTACAGTCTGGCATAGAGTCACTACCATCATTTACTAGTCCAGTTCAAACACCGTTAGAAACGCATTTAGCATCATCTTCACGTCACCACGACTCTATATTTAACAAGCTTTTTCATATTTTACACCATCGTCGTGGAGATGCTGATGATGACAGCGATGAAGAAGGATCCACAGCAAGTGGAGACAGACATCGAGAAAAAGAATCGGATGGCATATTTGGTTGGGGAGGAGGTAAATCAATTTTAAAACTTACCTCACCAGAACTTAAACCAACCCTATCTCCACATCCAGTGCCTGAATTTGAAAGCATCGATGTGTTGGCTGAACGTTCAAATCATCACGAACATTTTCACGGTTTTAATGGTCAAAATGACCATTTTAGTAGTGGAAGCTTACGTTCATCATCAGGTGCTTTGGGAGTATTATCTGCTCGGATTTCATCTGTGAATCATACTCCACCATTATATCGTCCACCACCCATATCAACCCATTATCCAACATCATCAGGTGTATCTCCAGTTCATGGTTCACGAGATATTTATACATCACCAGAAATTGAAATTTCCCCAGCACATGGAGAAACAGCATCCCGTGCTCCTTTACCAAACCATGACGCATTGTCCACACCCAGTCCATTTGGATTTATGAAACCAAAACATGATCGACGAACACGTGAGCGAAGCGAAACCGAAGGAAGCTATAGCATATTCCGCGAGTTACGTACTACCATCAACCACCGTAAAGGTGGATCTCATCAAATGGGCATCCGAGGAATAGATGATCACGACACACTAGCACTAAACAATGCTCGATCCTCTTCCAAGCATGTTTATCGATCAGGATCAGAAATGTCCTTGATTGAAAAGTACGGCAAACCCGACGAGGTTTTGGGAAAAGGTGCCAACGCAACGGTTCGACTGGTATGTACCATCCTCTTATTAAAAACATTGACCCTCTACTTATTTAATTGGTTTTTTGTTGTAGCTGACACATAGGAAAGATGGTGTCGCAAATAAACTCTACGCTATCAAAGTATGTTTCGACCATCATCCTGTTTTATACAATAGACAATGACGTGTTGATTGATCACCTTTTTACATTGATGGCTGGATGTGCAATATATTGAAATGCTTAATGTGTAGGAATTTCGCAAAAAGCGTAAAGAAGAAACCGAAAAAGAGTATATTAAAAAAGTCATTTCCGAGTTTTGCATCAGGTCAGTATTTGGATTTGCTTTGATATCTATGCTGCACAAGCTCAGCACTACAACCATGTTAACTTTTGACTTTATGCATTTGCAATGTGGCGTGTATTAGCTCTTCCATGCATCATGTCAACGTCATGGAAACGATAGATCTCATTCGTGACGAGGTAAAACAATTTGTTTAGCTATTACAACGTATTTTAAACTGAGTTGAATATGCATGTGTTGATGTGGAAACTGTAGCACAATCGATGGTGTGAGGTAATGGAGTACTGTGCAGGAGGTGACCTATTCAACAAAATTATGCACATAGGGTTTTCGGGTGATGAGGAGATACATTGTTTGTTTCGCCAACTTCTTGAAGGTGTAGGATACATGCACTCGGTCGGTGTAGCTCATCGGTATGTCCATTTGTCCACGCTTGCTGATGATGATTTTAGAGTGATAAATGCACAACTAATTTTCCATCTGGCATTCAAACTTTAGAGATTTAAAACCCGAAAACTTGCTGTTGGATAATGCCGGACAGACGCTCAAAATCACGGATTTTGGTGAGAAGTAGATATAGATGAATTGATTCTATTAGACTATAAACCCCTAAACTATATTTTTAATTCAACCTTTTAGGCACATCTGCAGTATTTCGAACGCAGTGGGAAAAAGAGCCACATAAGCTCCATGGTGTATGTGGCTCACAGCCCTACATTGCACCTGAAGAATGGGATACTCAGCACGAATATTTTCCTACAAAAGTTGATGTATGGGCATGTGGTAAGTTATTTTAGTACATGCTGTATATTCACTTGGATTTCAGACTACCAACCTGCATTTGACAACACTAGGAATGATTTTATACGCAATGCTCAGCAAGAATCTTTTGTGGAAGATTGCACAAGTTTCAAACGAACATTATGCCATGTATTTAAAAAAACGAGAAACAGGTGTGCCTCAGTTTCTAAAATACCCATCTGGTCCATGTCAGATACTATACAAGTGTATAGATCCTGACCCTGTGAAGCGACCCGAGATTGCTCAGCTCATTGAAGATCATTGGATTTCTAGTATTGATTGTTGCCAGCTGGCTCATAAAGGAGCAAAAGGCACGACACATACACATTTACAACCCTCTAAATAAACTATGGATTGAAATTAGCCAAGGGTGCTATTTAGAAACTGTAAAAGATATGCATGGAGTATTTACCACAGCATGATGTTGAGAATAAATACATCACGTCAATTGTTTACAACAGCATCGGGTCTTTGAATCTACACAAGCTACTCAACGAATAATATTGGATTGATTTTATCAGCATTTTTACCTACACTCGGTATGATGTCTGACGTGCTTTTTCTGTTTAATCGGTCGGTTCATATCAACAGGCATGATTTTGAATCTTAGTTTGATAGCTGTACAAGGGTTGAATTTATTTTATTGAATGCATCCAATTTGCTTTACAGCTCAATAACCGAGTAAAAATCAAACCATTCACGTTCAAGCTACTAGCCAGATCACTTGCAGATTTGATCGTTACCATTAAAAAACAACTGTTTTTGAAGACCTGAGCACATACAGCCAAGCTAATAAAGTGTTTACATTGAATGTGCGTTGTTTGGGGTTTTAAACTAAAACGTGAATATATGTAATATTTAGGATACAGCAAAAGTTTGGAGTTTGATTGAAAACAGTCGAACCCAATACTCGGAGTAAGTAGATGGATCTGGAAACGTACAATGCATGGCTATACCAAAAAAGAAGAATATACAGGTTCAAATCTATAGTTTGATCGTGTATGCATCATGACGGTCGTTGTTTAAAAGAATGCCAATTGAAGAGGCAGTGCAGTCGATTTCTAATAGAAAAACGTAACGAATATTTAAACATTGTTTATTTCAAAACAGAATAGAGGCAGTGACTGCAAGATAAATACGAGTGTTCCATTTTACGTGAATACGGTTGTAATATATGTCAGTAGTAGGCACATCTTATGGGACTCGAAGTCATATTGAAGGCGAAGTTCATAAACTCCCAAAAATCTCCAAACGCTCCATATACGATAAAATAATTTACAGCCTGGATGTTCTTGTTCCAGAAGATGAAGATGAAGAGATATTTGTTCCAAGAGACTCGTTTTTACAGCAGGTGCATCACGGTCATGTTCATAGATGGCGAGTACAGCGCAATACCAACCGTAATTTACCCGAATATCTTACAGACCATTTGTCTTTGGATGAGCCCTATATTGTTATGCATGAAAAGAAAGGACTATTGGCTGCATTTGATTTGGCAAGCCCGTTTTTAAAAAAATGGGATGCTTTGTCGTTTGCCTTGTTGGTTTTTACTGCTTCTGTTACGCCTTGGGAAACTGCGTAAGTTGTATTGTTCAACTATGGATTTTGATGTTATACTGAAACTTGAAGTGTGATTTAATTTGAAAATATCTAACAAGTTCAATTTATTTTTGCCTGATTTGATCGTGGTTCATATATTTTCCAAAATGTGAACCGTTAGATTTATAAATGGACCTCTTCAGATTAATGTTTTATTTCTGATCAACATCCTGGTGGATTTGGTTTTTTTTACAGACATGTTTGTGCAAATGCGTACACCTTACCGAGACTCTCAAACAGGAAAGCTTGTTCGAGACATATCTCGAATTTCAACCAAATATCTACGCACATGGTTCTTTATCGATCTCTTGTCTGTTATTCCTTTTGAACTTCTTGAACTTGTCAAAAATGGCAAAACGGACTTATACCAACTACGATTGTTGAGGTTTTTGAGACTAGCTCGACTATTAAAACTGATTCGGGTGTTTAGAGCGAGTCGAAAACTCAAACAATGGCAAGTTCAAGGTGGGCTCAGAATGACAACCGTGCAGGTTTTAACTGTAAGTAGAACAGCCAAATCAAAACTTTGAGCATTTGTCTCGAGTCAGACTTTTTGTCATCTCAATCGCCTGGTGGTGTATATGCATAGCTGATCGTTTAGTATTCATTGATTAGACTATCATCACAACTTTATTTGCTATGCACTGGCTAGCATGTGGATACAGAATATGTGCCGAAGGTTCAGATACCAGTGTCCCAGCAGGCTGGGTTGCCGCATACCTAAAATCAATCAACTCAACCACAGCAAACATATGGGAAATATACTTTGTTTCCATGTATTGGGCAGCCTCTGTCATTAGTCTTGTAGGAAATAATTCTAGCTTTTTAGCAGCTGGGAGTTTGGCTGAGTGGATCTATTCCACTTTCGCGTATATTGCTGCATATTGGCTTGCTGGATATTTTATTGCCAGAACAGCCAATTTCTTGAGTTCTTCAGGCAGTGTTAAAATGAACCAAGAGGTTTTGGTCGATGATTACCTTGGCATGCTTGATTCTCTCAAGCTTGATCGACGACTAAAGCAAAAGGTAAAAGAAATCAATGTTACTAGCGTCTATTATGTTGAGTTGATTTAAATCAAACTATTGAGCACTATATATTGCAAATACGTTTGAATTCCCCATCGCATAAACTAACAGCACAAACTAATACTGTAGGTGTTTGAGCACTTGGCAGATCATTTTTCAGCACAAACCAATCAACGTCAAACAAAAATGCTGCGGGATCTTCCTGTTTCTCTTCATGGCTTTATAGCGTTGGAAATGTTTCTTCCTTTTATAGAGAGTATTCCATACCTGGAAGTATTTATTGATAGAGATCCACAAATGATTCAAGATATTTGCCGATTAGTGGAAATCCGTACATGTGCATCAAACAACTTTTTGTTCACTGAAGGCTACGATGGAATATACTTTATTGAACATGGCATTGTAGCTATTGAAGGTCAAGTTTATCCAAGGTAAACGTGATGATTCTTGTAAAGATGCTGGAGTTGACACTAATGTGCAACAGTGTTGCGTGATTCTGATTCTAATTGATGTACATTCAATACATAAACATTTAGCGGCTCACTTTTTGGAAGAACAGTTCTTCGAGAAACAATCAAAAAAAACGAATGCCGTGCTCTCACCGATGTGCAATATTTTGTGATTCCACGTCAAGATTTTATCGCTATAATGGACAAATTTCCCAAAATCAAATATTATGCTAAACGATGGACAGCATGGCAGCTTGTTAGAGATTATATTCACACTTATACAAAATTGTATTTCACTGCAGCTAAACGTGGAGCAAAGTTATCTCCGCCTTTGCTATCGCGAAGACCAAATATGGCCGAAGATGAGCTGGATGATATTGATATAGCTGTGCTAGATCATATAGCCGATACTGGATTTTGAAAACATTTGAATAATACTAATTGATTGAGTCATAGTGATTTTCTACATCCTGCCCTTCATTAAAATAAAAATTTAGAATTGCAAGTAAAAATATTGTGTATTGATACGTCCCAATATGGATTCAATATAGATTCAGTACGGTATTAGTTTAGTGCGTTTTTAAATTTTGCACTAGAATATATTTACCAAAGTTTTTAGAATGATGCTGGTTCACAAACTAAACACATTCCTAAATTGTGCACGATTATAAAGGCCTATTCATTCAGAGTCTACATTTTCTCAACATCATTGAATTTATCGCCATATTCACGTAAAATGAACCACTAAACAAGTGTCGAATATATAATAAACAGTCATGTCTGATTGGTGCCAGTTCCCACTAAATTTACTAAACATTATGCTCTGAACGAATTTTCAAAACTACACATCTGCTCATTTGTCATGGTCTGCCAGCCGTTCAACAAACACTGATGTCACGAGGTAGAATTTCGTATTGTTCATTCTTAAACCCTGCAGAAAACTGCTTTAGTAAAGAATAGATTTGTTTGTCAAACAATTCCAAATAAAAAATGATAATGTACTGAAGAAGCAATTGATGTTTAGTGGAAAGCGCACGAATCTCCAACCATTGTTTATTTCCAAGCGAGAGCAAGTTGCTGAAAAATAGTGTTCCATTTACGTGAGTACGGCTGTAAACTCATTTTTACCAATACTTGACAATAGTTGTTGAACAAGCATCACAACTGGTGCGCTGCATTTTCTGATCGCCATCAATCATGCAGTGAGTGGCAAACAATAGTAAAACAAAATAACGTGGATATTTCAATTGAAAAGCATATACGTGGTATCCATTCTCATGTTTGACTACATTAGTATTGCATGCTAATACGCGCAGGAGTGGGTGAGTATTGGCAGGGGATGGAGAAACTGGTTGATTTAAAATTAAGACTTGAAGCAAATACACATTTATATATATTGAAATTGATATTGTTTTGAAAAATACTTTTCGATTCATTGTCTTGATTCATATACCAGTCGAGCTATTTAATTCCTCTGATCATCAAAACATTACTTTTTGACTCGTTTGTCATTAACGTACGACAGCACTTTGAGGTTGCAGCACTCTTCAACAGCTTGAAACTCATTAAGAATCGTCTATAGTGCAGTACGAATATGACAGAAAAGGCAAATTTTCAAAAGGTAACAGCCGATGGACAATCTCAGGACAACCAAGCCAATGTCTTTTTAGACCATTCAACCAGCAGCCACTGCAACAATGACGAGTCACTTGGTGAGCATCTTCAAACTTCAAAAAACCAAAACAATATGACTCAGCAAGGATATGGGCCACATAATCAATCAGATTTAATTGTTATCACTGATGTGTCTGACACCGAATTAAACTCTGGACGCGAACAAGAATCAACTTCTATGCTACTCAACAGGGCGAATCAAGAAGACTCTACTAACCAGTCGCCTGCAGGTTCCATAGCAGAAAAAAAATCCGTCTGCAGTGATATTCATCCTGCACAGCAAGCTCAAACCGAAATAGGTCAAAGTGGGAGTGCAGTAACTGATGGGTGTTTACGATTTCGATTGATTCCAGTCAGCGATACACCTGGTCGACCTGTTGTAGGTGACGTGTTGGAGCGGTCTGTCAAAGAAGGTGTAACATTACGGATTGGAAGACAGGTTGTACGAGATGGACAGCCTATAGCTACTAATTCTCGAGGCAATAGAGCTCCTACTGATAGCGACATTTGGTTTATTTCAAAAGTTGTGAGTCGTATACATGCTGAAATGTGGGTCAAGGACACACAGGTATGTCATTTGTTTTTTAGTATTTATTAAACTAGTATGCAAGCCATCAACCAAATCTTGGTTATTTATTGCTGGTACTTCAACCTTTGATAACATACTGTAATTCTATCGATATTGACCAAATCGCTTTTGTTTGCATTTAAATATCGACTTGATACTATTCGTCCAAATAAAAACATAACCACTCTGTTCGCGCTTGATCGCTGCTGGATATTTACCAAATAGCTGTATATCAAGGATATTGGAAGCTCATCGGGCACATTTCTTAACAAAATGCGTCTGAGTCCATCAGGAAAAGAAAGTCGTCCCTATCCTATGAAGGAAGGCGATGTTTTACAGTTTGGAGTCGACTTTAAAGGAAAAATTGAAGGTAAATTTTAAATCGCGAATTGTGTAATTCTGAATATGCTAGAGGATCAGTCGATAGATGCAAGACGGTTGTGTGAATTGTATCAATAGTTTTCAAGATTGTGCATATTGATGATGATATGACCAAACACTCACATCAATGGTATAAATATACCAACTCATTATTTATGCATAGACGTTTACAAATGCGTGATGCTCAAGGTTGGATTTTTTGGTCAAAGTTGGGCATCTCAACGGCAAAAGGAAAACCCAGCAAGGTACGAGCTATCAAACCACTTTTGTTCATCCAAGCTGTTTTCATTTTGATCATGTCAACAAAAGTCGTGTAAACATAAATCTGCATTACACAATTGATTAATATTTGAGTTTAATCTGATTGTGAATCCTAGATTTACTCAAGCACTCAAGGCGTTACTTTCAGCAACTAACCCATATGCAACCAAATCGTCAAAGGAGGACGATGACAACAGTCCAGCAGAATGCTGCATCTGTATTGGTGCAATAGCACCATTTCAGGCCATATTTATTGCTCCGTGTTCTCATTGCTACCATTACAAGTGTGTTGCGACACTACTTCCTCAATCAGCCATGTTTCAATGTCCACTATGTCGGCAGGTTGCAAATTTAACCGCGTCCGTTAGTAGCGAGTCCTTGCAGGAAAAGTTGGTAGTGTATGATGCACAACAAATTGTGGTGGGACAAAAGGATTTTTCAGGGCATACCGCAAGCCATGGAAGTGGAGGAGATTATGAAATTGATGCCGAAGCACATACAGATGGACATGCGGCCGATACATCTGGACTCAATACTAGATCTACAAATGTATCCACTGGATTTTTTTCCAGTCTGAGGCGCAAAAGTGGGAACGAAGCCTCTGCAGGTGCACCGGATCTCAACTCGTCTGGATCAGCAATAGTTGGAACGTCTTTGGCACTTTCTGCTCCTAATCCTAATATTCAAACTACTTCAATTGCATCTAATTCTGGATCTGGAAGCAACCGGCGTCGTAGTTTTACGGCCAAAGCAGAGCATTTGTTTGAAAGTTTAAAACTTGGTGGACGAAAAACCAGTGGTGACCCTCCTTCTCGGATCCAAGTAGGCGAACATTCCGCTGGTCGATCCAATCTAGAGAATGGTAGCATTTCACCTCGATTGGATGAAGAGGAATCGTCGGAAACTCAGCAACGTGGCAGTCCTGCCAATGCAGTAGCGCCAGAACGTAAAGGACGAAAACGAACTCTTTCAATGAAGATTGGACAATTTTTACTCAAGACAAGCGGTAACTCGACAAATGGAGGCGAAGAACCAAGATCGGCAACTACACCGCATTCTCAGTTTAGCCATAATATTCCACTACCTCGTAGTTCAATGAGCACAAACCAACCCGAAAATGGATTACGAGAGAGTTCCGGTGAGCATCAAAATTCAATCTGTGCATCTGGTGAACGTAAGCAGCTTGAAAATGCATCTCAAAGTTTGACAAATACTCAGAATCTACCACCATTACCGAATGCAAATATACCAATTGGAAACGAACAAATTTCGATTTCAATTAATTTGCAAGCACCCAAAGACGAAAACAGTGTTGAGATCTCAGTTCAAGAAAACATTACAACATTACAAGAATCTGAAGAAGAAACGCTTGTCATGAAGCGTAATCGAACGTACGGAACAAGATCAGGGGACGGTTTATTTATGGATGGTGGAGAAGGAACAGGACCACAATCTTCACGTATTCCACGTATTCAGCATAATGACATGGCGGTATTGGTACAGCATGCAGAAGAAGTTGAAACAAGTGATCATCCTACAGCATCAACAAGTCAATTGGTGGATAATCAAGCTTTACAATTGATCGACACTCGACTTTTTATCTAGAATTCTATTACAGTCGTATTCACGTGGAATCAAACACTAAACAAGTGTCAAAATACATAATAAACAATCTCATCCAATGATAATTTATTGGACATTTGTTTTCTGACGAATGCCCAACGCTACACTCACGACTAAACACGGTTTACCAGCCGTTCAGCAAACAGTAATGCCGCGAGGTCGAGTTTCACATTGTCTATTCTTAAACCCTGTTGAGAATCATTTTAGATGATAAAAAATGGGTTTATTTGTTGAGCAATCCCAAACACAGTGATGATGTTTATTGAAGTAATCGATTTCTAGTGAATCAAACTGACGGAAAAATAAAAAGTATAATTTTTATAACCAAATCGACAAGCTTGCGGTGGCGCAGATGAATAAATTGGGAGACACTCGACAATGTCTCACCCGTCGTTTACACAACAACCATTTTATTGCAGCTGTTCTTGTGCATCCGTGCATTACACACACATGGCTTTAAAGGTAGGAGACATTACAGCACCATGCAAGTCCACTTCTGTTCTCTTACTAAACTGTCTCATGCTATAGGAACAATTGGCTCAGTGGTCTAAAGCATTGGACTATTGGGACACTAATGACTTTTTTGGTGCTTACGAGCAGTTTGTGGTAAGTTAATTCTACTCTAGCGAGTCGATTCACTGACTTTCTGTTGATTTATGCCATCAACTTCATTCTACTCATTGTTGCAGTAGGGGAGACAATCAATTGGCTATAAAGTGATGTATCAATCTTGAAACTGCAGTTATCTGCCTTGATACCAGCACGTTGATGTCTGAGCTCACATTGTCTTGACCTCAAGTCTAATCTCGTCTTCAATCGATGATGGAATCAAGCCCATGTTTTGATATTTCTTATTCTACATTGTTTCGGACTCTGTCGGCATCATTCATGACGGAGTCTGATGAGTCATGATGGCACAACCTCACTCATCACCATAGATCGTCATTTTATCATTAATTTATTCTTTTGTATATTCGTTTAGAGCTTTGCTGATTTTGCCAAGATTCACTATAATGTCGGCATGTGTGCCATGCGCACCAACAACCTAGATGAAGCAGTACGTTTCCAATCTTGTCATGGATGCTATTCTAGCTTTAAAATATACTTATCCTTTCTATCTACGCCATTCAGATTGCTGCATTTAGCAGGGCAATCACTCTAGATGAATATCTGTCTGTAGCATATATGCAAATTGGTATCTGTCAATACCACATGGGTGAATTTGACGAAGCCCTTGCTAATTTCGAAGAGTCTTTTAAAATGCTCCGAGGAAACTTTTTTATTGACTATACCCAACTTGGAATGGAATTTCAGGTGTTTGCCTGCCATGCCATCTTTAACATTGCACTATGTCATCTACAGCGCGGGGACACAGAGCGTGGTGTGCGGTATATATCAGAAGCCATCAAAGCGGTACCTGTTGACTCTGACTTTGTTCCAGGTATGATTTTGGTTTATTTCCATATCAGTATTTATTTTATTCTAATCCAAATGGAAACGCTTGTCATAATAGATATAGCAGACATTGAAGAGGCAGAAAGATTGGGTGAGAATGCAGCGGATACCATTATGCCGTATGAAGTGCCTCCAAACTTGGTGTTTCGGCCACAGGAAGATAATTTGAGAAATGCTGAGCGTGTCGATTATCTTGGACAATCCAAGGTAGTTGCTAGCGTGAATGCTACAGACAATTACACTGGATTTTCTGGAAAACTCACACGAGATTTAACCCTTCTTAGTCGGTCCAAAAAAAAGGATGCCAACTCTGGTGCAGCCAAAGAAGCAGCACTAAAGTCACCCGCATCATTTTCTGCAGCTCAAACCACTATTGCTCAATCTAATACGATTCGTGTAAATCGTAAACCTTCAGTCACAAGTATATCCCGAGAGCCCATCCAAGAAGGCTATGAGCAGACAATCACAATGAGCCGATCAAATTCAGCAACAACCAGTCGAAAATATATACCACGACGACTGTCATCCAACAACATATCTGCCAACACAATACCTGGTGCTTCGCGAGTACCTGGTACACTTTCACGAGCACCATCGGCCCCACTATCACGCGAAGGCTCAGGATCAGGACAACAACTAGAATTCCCATTGCGTACATTGAGATCGGCAGGTGGAAGTTCTCGTATGGGTCTAGGAGATACTCAAAACAATGTGGATACTGCAGCTGAACGTCTCAACAGTCTCACCATCAATAACAATGATCTTCCAGCTTCTCCAGCAATCAAGCTAACTACTTCAAATCGAAGCAACGTATCGACAGATTCCATCAAAGTCAAATGCCACTATATCGAATCTAGGTTTATTGTTGTTCCTATAAACATTTCGTTTCGAGACCTACGTGAACGAGTATCAGCAAAGTTTGGCGTGCAAGGTTTACTAAGCTTAAAATATAAAGACGAGGAAGAATTCATGACCATGATGGTGAATGATGATGACTTGGATGAAGCAGTGGCAGTATCTGCTCAGGGACGATTGGAACTATGGTGCTTTTTGTTGGATCCTCCAAAGTAATTTTTTGGTTGTATATTCGATAGTTGCAGTTTTGGCTTGAGAAATGAAATAGGTATCGGCTCAACCATTTAAGCAAACATACCATAATTTACTGTCGTACTCACGTAAATGAAATATCTCATCTTTCAATGCTTTTTGAATTGAAGATGCTAATGAGTAGCAAGGTGGAAAGAATATGTAAACATTGTTTATTTCAAAGCAAGAGGAATCACTGCAAGATAAATAAAAAGTGTTTCATTCTACGTAAATACGGCTATAAATCAACCTCTTCAAAATATACAGGATTCAAAACTAAAAGATTGAGTAAAACGACTATTGGTTAATTTGATCATGTGAGGAATGGAAAGAGCCATGCAGCAGAATGTACGGCAACACCTACAAGCAACGTTACTGAATGGATCCATTTTGCTGAACCGATGAATCGTTGCTGAACCCACGCGTGTATCCGCCATGACTTGGACTTGCACCATTAGGTAGATTAAAACCCAGAAAGGCTGATGCGTTGACTGCCGTGTTGGTATGCATAGGCAAAGGAGAATCACATTCTTTCATGGGTGATGTATACAATCCTTCAAGTCCTGACCGAGCCATTCCCAAAAACCCATTATGTCCAACCTCACACCCGTTGGAGATGTGAGACCCCATACTTGCAACACCTGGATGAAGCCCATCGCGTTGTGGATAACTTCCAATAGAAAATGGTGAATTGGGTGTAAGCGATGCGTGATGCAAGATAGTTCCTGATGGGTCTGGCATGGTCATAACATTAAGATGTTGGTTTCTATTTGCATCAAAAGATCGCATGCCATCCATAGTCAGCGCATCCGATCCGAAACATACTGGTGATCCCGTACTTACTCGACGTCGATGACCCATCATGGGTGCGGTCAGGTGCTGTTGTTGAAGATAGTGCTGTTGGTGCGGTTGAGTAAAGGGTGTGGAGGAATGTATAGTATGAGATGATGTAGAATCAAGTGGAAGCAAAGAGTCGTCGATGCTATTTCGACGAGGATCTGTACCATTGGCAAAAAAGCCACTAAACATGGTTGATTGGATCGAGGTTGTGGGAGTTGGATGAGGGGCCATTTTTTTATTGCTGCCTTTACTGCTAATGACACGCTGACTGCCTGTAGATCCAGTCGATTTGATGGATAGTGCGCGAGCAACAGTAGCATTATTGGATTTATTTGAATTGGAATGTCCATGAACTCCGCCATTTGCAATTTGATCCATTGCACTTTGGAGAATGATTGCATGCTCTCCATCACTGCCTCCTTCACCATGGCGCTCCGGATGCACTTCGACCAAGTGTTTTTGGAATGCATTCATTCTTCTAAAAGCATATCCACACGATTCGAATGGGCATTGAAAAGGTCGATCTGGTGAATGCAGCGTTCTTAAATGTCGTTGGAGATCGTGTCGGCGTCCAAATGAAACTCCACACGCAAACGGACATGCATGAGGCTTTTCCTTTGTGTGAGTAAGAAGATGAGATTTGAGGTTATACATACGAGTAAAGGTTGCGGTGCAGTCTGTGTATGTACATGCAAACGGTCGTTCTTTGGGTGATGCTAGATGGGAAAGAGCTGGATTAGAAACTTTGGAATTGTTGTTTTTGGCTGCAGAGATTGGAACGGATGTTTTCTCAAAACAAGTTGTATCATTTGAAGCAACGCCCGAAATAAAGACCGATGGAATCACATGATTGGAAGTCGTTGGTGATTTACTGTTTCCTTGGTTAGAACTCACTGTAGGAGAAGTTCCAAATCCAGAGACCGAACCTACAGACGAGCTGCAATGATTCTGCTGAGGACTGCCATAATGCGACCTGGTAGTGGATCCGGTAGCACTAGATGTCGATGGTCTACGCTTACGACTAGAGTTGCTGCGCATAGGACCACCCGAAGATGCGTTTGAGCCAATAAGTAAATCCGTACCAGGCAGACGAGGAGAAGGTGGAGTGATGGTAGGAATACCTGGAATGGTTAGATGAGAGGTGTTGTGATTACTGCCGTCTACCATGGACTGATGATGGTATGCGGAGGATGGGGACGCAATTCCAAGAGCCGATGTAGGTCGTCCAAGTGATCCTCCATTTCCATTGTTCAACGAAGAGGTATTGATATTGTATATACTGTTATTTGTGACCATTTCATTATTGGCAACATCCGTGTGTCCCATATTTGAAGCAGCGGGGGACCAGCCAGCACCGAGAAGATCCATCTGTAACGAGGTGGCAGTGTTCCTATTGAAGCCATCCAGATTATGTGCACCAGCATTACCGGATTCAATTTCTGGCTCAGCAGTTTTTGTAGGGTTTCCTGCCAGCGTGGAATTGAACGAAGACATGATTGAACCCAAGTCACCATAAATGCTTCGATGCGGATTCAGTGTTGAGCCAAACAACTGTTGCTGTTGTTGTTGATGCAATTGCATATTCAAGTGATCAGTCTGGCTCAGCACTCCATTAAAAGTAGTTTCTCTGTCATGCATGTCTTGATGCTGGCTAGGCAAACGTACCTGGGAAAACGCATCCACAACACCACCCATTAACGGAGAAGGCATTGGAGAAGCCAGAGGAGAGGCAGCACCAAAGTTATTATGGGAGGGATGTGGGGACAGACTTCCAGTATCGGATGCAGCATATGAGTATGTGGACGTGGATAAAACGCCAGTGCTACGCCGTCTTCCGGCATTCACGTTGGTTGGAATGGCAAGCGACATGGTTCCGGAACCAGTGGTCAAGGCTACACTGTCCACAGCAGGGTCATCAGTTGACAACGAAAACTCATTTGACGGAGACTGGTAGTGCATGAGTTGATGCTGCTGTTCCTGGACTAGCTGCTGATGAAGTTGTTGAATCGGCACACTGGGAATTGTCTGCTTCAAGTCCGGTTGCGGGACATTGGGCAGCAACGATGAATTGCTTCTAGGTAGGAAATCCATTCCAAAAGTATTGAACAGGGCATTAGTTTCATGAGCAGCTCCGTTTCCAGGAGTAGGAGCATGTGAATCGATTGTCAACCATCGATTGACGAGCGCATCCGTGGAAAACGGAAACTGCTCATGTTGAGTATGCTGAAGTGGACGATGTTGAAGCATGAGCTGATGCTGCATTTGAAGCTGCTGCAACTGCAGAGAAGTAGACGGAGGCTGCGGAAGAAGGGGATTAGTGGTGTTGCTATTTGTAGTATTGGATAGCAAATCAGCAGTGAATGGCTGAGATGTTGGAGTTAAATGGTCGGTCATTTGAATATAACCGTCTTGTAAGCACTAAAACCTATAAACGATATGAATGGTTAGACTAATGAATGGTTGAATAGGCAATGTAGAAGGATTGAATAGGGTTGGAATGGTAACACTAGAATGATTCACTGATGAGGGCGAGTATTATTGGTAAACCCGCAAAGTCTCGACTCAGAGCCTCTACACAACGCTAACAGCAACTCACAAACAACAATTTCTTGACTACAACCTGACAATGCTGTTCGCTGCTTATATATCCACCTTGTAGTTTGTCAAGATTGACATTACTGCGGCTTCGCTTCATATTTGCAACCAATGTTTATCACGTGTCCTATGCAGATTCCAGTGCTTGGCCACCAGTTATTCGGGTTGTCTTGAATCCAACTTGTTACTTGTACTAATTGATCCACCATGACTTTACAATGCTTTAGTCAACCTTGTTTGATTTAGTCTTTATTAATAGCTTGTTTTTACTTGTGCACATGGGGTCAAAATCAACGTGTTTTGTTGATATCTATTGGTTGTGCTGTTTTGAAAGTCTTGATTTAAAAATAGTTTGTCATGACAAATACAGGTTTAAACATCAAGTTTGCTATTGATTCCTTCAAATGTTGGTGTCAAACATTCTTGTATTGGTATATATTTGTAGACTAATCTCAAAACATCACACCTCTCGAGTAGACAAGGAAAGTGGATAAATGACTAAACCCTAATTAATCCAGTTGGATAAACTGCGTTATGGAAACATGATCGAATTTATTGAGTTTTAAAACGAGACGTCATAATTCTAGTTGGAATGATCAAGCATTAAAACTCCCAGTTGATAGATATTGAAAAAACTGCAAATAGAAAATAAAAGTAGAACTTGAAAGAAATGAATTGGGAACCCAAGAAAATATACAAAGTTCCCCCTGTTAACATAGCATGTCTTATGAATCAGGTGCATCCAACCATCCTAATCTGACAAACCAGTCATAGATACGTGCGGTTTTGTTTACATCAATACGGCACCACCTTTGAGCTTCACGCTTCTTGAACACACCTTGATTGACTCGTGCAGTCAGCATAATGTCCTTGATTCGCAAGTAGGTGTCTGGCTGCAATCGCAGTACAGAGCACGTAGTAATTTCTTCTGGTTTAAGAAGATTATATCCAACAGCCGTTGGTGAAATATCCAACGGTGCACTCTTACTCCATTGGATAGGATCCTTGTTGATTACACATCGACGTCCACCCTTTCGTGATTGCTTAGTGGATCGATACACACCACCATGCTCCGTACCAAAATCAGATTGACTGCCATTTAAAGTTGTTGGTGTGAGATTACCATCTGACATGGTGGCTAATGTAGGGTTGGTGTAAAACCAAGGTTGATCCTGACTGCTAGGGTTGGAATCACGTCGCTTGGCCAATGGCATTGTTATAATGGGCAGTGACACGCGAGCAACCCGTGTTGCTACTGCAAGCGACCCTGTTTGTGGGTTGGAGCTTGTAATAGTGGATTGAATAGATATATCATGTGCGTTTTGAATATGGAGAGGTTTAGCATCAGAAGTGGGGTATACAGTATCGGCAATACGAGTACTAGATTGTTCATTATTAGTTGGCTGGGACAACAACCGCTGAAGTTTGAATCGCTGCCAAGTGTGCGGTTCACCCGTGCATGGTAAGCTAGCTGGAGATGCACAGGTGTAGCCAGCACTGGCACTCTGACGCATGGGAATGCATGAAAGCGTTCCGCCATGTTTTGCAATACCAGTATGACCGATAGGGGTCTTTGGAGAAATTGCTTTCAAAGTAGAAGAAAGTCTAGATGTATGAATTGCAGTCGGTCCACCTCGTCTTAGTAGCTTGGCCACTTTACTACGACGATTATCAGTAGCAATGCATTTGATACTACGAACACTATGGCTAGTGGCTGTGCTGGTAGTTTTCATTCCAGCTCCGATCGTATCCAAAACGCAATGGTTTGTATCTGGAATGGATCGAGTATTGGCCTCGAGAGCATGGTTAGAACGATCGTACAACAGCGCAGCTGGATTGTCTAAAAATGCAGCATATACATCCAGTTTGATGACTCCTTGTGGAGAAACACGGTTTGATGGCATGAATTTGTATGCTAAAGACGAGGGTTGGGATGCAGACGACGATGCAGATGAACTTGACGACGGGGGTGGGGATATAGGAAGGCCACCATGCGACGGCGCTCCCCAATGAGTTTCTATACCAATATGAGTGGATATACTGTTGTTTGTCTGGAATGCACCCATGCCTATATTATTGCTTGACAGAGCTGGCTGTGCACCAGTAGAAATGCGTTGAATGGAGCGATTGGGGTTAGACTTTCGAGAGCGATGACGGACAGGACTGACTTCAGAGGCAAAGTCGGCTACAACTGGCATCTTCTTGGGTTTGGAATATAAATATGTATAAAAGAAAATATTAAAAGAACCGCTCCAGTAGACAATTTAAAAAAGAAAAATTGCAAGAGCCAATTGTATAGAAATGGAATGCTTTGTAGCAGCAAAAGTATGGATGGACTGGGATAGGATAGACTTGTTGCCGTGATAGAATCTACCAAAAAATGTATTCAAATGGATGGACTAGGGAAATAGTCCTTGAACTTCAAGTGAATGATGGCTATAGAATATAGGAATAGATTGACAACCAATTCTGAAATTCTGACTATTTATGTAATTCACGACCCGCTTCGACATGTTTTGAAAGTTCAAGGGTAGGACGTTTCGCGTTTTGAATCAAATTCATCAGCTTCCTAATGCGATTTGCGTGTTGTGCACTCATTACCGCCGTATTGTTTGTCTTGATCATCAAAGCGTGACTTGCTCAAGTTTGTCAAGTTCAGTGGTTGATGCAAGTGCATAGTAGGTGCCTGGCAAGTATCGAGGTCAGTCAGTCTCATCACTGCCGTACTCTATCAAGGATATGCATAAAATGATCAACTCAATTTATCCACAGTATTAGCAGCAGTCAATGTATTGATTATTTGCCTTGAATTGCCTTTTCTTCTATGCCACATATTGTCACTAGCAACTTGACATCGCGGTGCAAAATACACCTGGTTTGTTATATTCAAATACAATGTGTCGTCTCAGCCATCATTTATTCTTGGCCCATCTGAATATCTTGCACATCCATATTGTTCATTAATGGGTTGTCTATTCGCAAATGTGTCTAGTGCAATGGACTTTCATCACATCTGGCAAAACACTCTAGTTTTTTATATGGATCACGTGGCTGTTGATTATTCAATTTCAAACTCTTGTTTACAATGCAAAGCCAAATAAAGATTCTTGAATCTTGTTGGTATCACATTGCATCATCATACATTCAAATTGCATCACAAAGTTCCTATCAATCACCAATCAGAATGAATCAAGCACTCTAGAAAATATGCCGATAGATATCCTTGTCAAAAAAATAAATATCTTGATATACTAGCTCAAACATCACGCTGCCATACCAACTCTAAATGGCAGCTGGTTTAGCCAAGCAACTACATTTACAAACTATGCATCGCGCTGTTGTGCACAACACTCGGCTGGTGGCAAAGAGAATGAAAAACTATCTGCAACTATTACCACTGTATCATGCATTCAAGCCCTGTTCAAGCTACGATTCTTTCATCCAAACCAAACATTGCAATATTGAATGATCGACATGGAAACAGCAGTCGCATTTCTGAAACGGAAAACCTGTGTTTTCAACCATGAGCAAATATACCTGCATGAAACTGGGTTCACTTGTTGTAATTCAAATATTTGGTTCGACTGTTTTGATGTCAAGAAACTCACTTTTATTGTATCCTAAAAACTTGTCAACTGTGTAATGTATGGCTACTAAAAGAAAGCACGTTCAAAGCTGTAGGTTGGTTGTGTGTGCATCGTATGACGGATGTTGTGATCACTTCTTGCTTTGGAATAAGCAATGATCGAATATTCATTGTACTCTCCTATCAGGAATGGATTGCTGTAATAGACATCCCAACTTCTCAATAAACACTGCAATAGTGTTTCATTTTACGTGAATATGGCTGCAATAGAATGGGTGTAGATGACCGTTGCTTGGTGTATGTGTCACAAGGGCTATAAATTGTGTTCCGCTTTTTATGCTAATCAATTCCTAAATATTGATCACCCTGACAGATGTTGGACAACCCTAACGACCATAAAGCAGTCAAAATCTGACACCATTAACAAAGACGACGATCAATTGTAGAGGCAGACAACCTATTCGGTGAATGGAGAGATGAACAATCTCAAAACGATTCATTCTGCCATTTGTCAAAAAGATTGTGCTCCAGAAAGCAATATTACAAAGCTTGAGCATAGTTTAAAAAGCACATTCTTGTATATGTGATAGTTGGTGTCCAGCCCTAGCCCTAGTTGAACAACCGCCCGATGAAGCATTTAGAAACAATATAAATACTGAGCAGGACTCGAACGGATTGTCAATATTCTCAATCATCATGAAATTTGCACTGGCATATACAGTTTGTTTGTTGACTGCTTCGGCAGTAGCAGTAGTGATCGAAAAAAGTGACAATACCGCATTTGTCGTTTTACAGCGTCGTGGAGATACAGATGATTCTCAGAGTCCCTCAAATAGTTCGGGACCATCAAGTCCTAGTTCTAGTGAACCTCCAGCTACTACTGAGACGCCTGATGATTTAAATGAAGAGTTGGGTCCTTCTCCATTTCAAAGAAAGAACAACGGTTTTATTTGTCGAGCTGGAAAAGGCAATCGTGGTCCGTGCCGAAATGGTCCTCCTGGTTTACGTAGAAATGGTCCTCCTGGTTTACGTAGAAATGGTCCTGGTTTACGCCGAGGAGGAAATTGTGGTATGCGTCGAGGCAATCGTTGTGGTATACGTCGAGGTGGTCTCTCTGGCTCAGAACAAGAAATTCCCTCCGACTCAGAACAAGAAGTTCATTCTGGTTCACAAGAAATTCCCCCTGAATCACAGGAAATTCCCTCTACATCACAACAGGGAGATTCTTCTGAATCACAACAACAAGTTCATTCTGAATCACAAGAAATCCCTCCTGAATCACAACAGGAAGATCCTTTTGGCTTTGAAAATACAGGCATTTGCCCATCAGGCAAGCTTTTACTAGGCGACCTTGAATGCGATGAACCTACTCAAAAACCAAAAAAAGGCATCAAGCGTCAATGCAAGACATGTGGCGATAATTTTAAACGCCGTTGGTCTAAAATTAAAAAATCCAAACCAAAGAAATCGCTTGATTCCGATGGATCAGAATTTGGTCCAGAACCCACTGCTTCCTCTGAGGATGTAAATGATGATGATTTGGAGTAGGAGTTTTTGATGGGATATAATCTATTGGTGGATGTAGACAAGATGGGTCATCGAGTTTATACAACCAATATTTGAATCCTTTTAAACCACATTCGATATCGCATTGCGCATCCATGACATAAATCTAATTGCTTTTAAACTCCCAACATTCGCTGCTACCAACTTTGATTCACTCTCGACAAATAAATGTATTGCATCAACATCTAAAGTAGAGTTTGTTTTAATATACGAGTTTTAATTCAGATATTGCACACTTAGTGGCCAACAATCAAGATTTAAACTGGGTTTCATTAAGTTTGGAAATTCAGATAATTAAAAACAGCAGTCGTAGTAGATCGAATAGCTGCAAGACAGTATCGCAATATGGTTTCAAATGAAACAAGAGTGTTCATGAATGATGATCAGAAAATCTAACGTTTTTGCAATACATGTGTATTAGTTTCACCCTTGCTATCAACCAATGCACGCATCTCGTAAGCATCGGATACATCTTTTCCATATCCATCAAAGGACATGGGTTCAGGCGTTACTACCGTGTACCTTCCTTGAAAATCAATACGGTCAAGACCTTCTACAACCGATTCAGAAGGTGTAAGCACAATAGGTTCATCTTCTGGTGGTCCTTCACCTCGTCCAGCTTCTGCATCAGCACTGCCATTGCGAGAAGCTACGCGCTGACTAGATCGATCAGACTGGAAGCTTTGCATACGCTTTTTAAGATTTTTGGCAATAGTAACATATTGATCTCGCGACTCGCCTACTTTGGTTTTGCGAACATAGTCCACCAGGTCAAGATAGTCAGGATGGTAAAAGGTGTGCAGCATGGATTTGCTTTGAGGTGCAACCCATACTTTTACCAAAGGCTTTACCATGGCTGGGTTAAAGAGACGATTGGCAAGAGCATTCTTGTCAGAAACAGCACTCTTGCGAGCCTCATGTTCAGCACCACTTTCTGGGTCAGCCACAGTGGTAGCAGAATTTCCTCGATCGTCTACTGCAGTGGTAGACCCGTCGCGATGGTCTATAAGCGGTAAAAATGCAGCAGAATGTCGCTTTGATACATAGGCAGCCCTTGGTGCAAGGTAGAACGAGCAAAACAAGTAAAATGCAATAGTGATAAACACCAGCACGACAACAATCATACTCTGCGATTTGCCATTTCCAGTGGAAGATTTGACTGCAGAAGTGACCACAATCGATCCAAATGTCATGAGTTGGAATGCACCAACAATAAAGCACATGATGTTGAAAACCTTGGGCCACCATGTTCCGCCAGTTTCCTGCTTCACCTCGTACACGTAAAGTAACTGGTACTTCATGACCACATAAGCCAGCAAGAACAAAACAGTGACAAACGGAACAATAATGGGGGCAATGACAGCGTATCCAAGCCCGATAAGAGCCACAAGAGTCAAGAAACCATACGTGATCATAAAGTCAAAGGCAGGCTCGTCATTCAGCTCATATTCTTGTCGGGGAGTAAGAGTAAAGTATTTGCGCTTGATGTATCCAATCACCAAAGGAGCGCCTTGAATAATCTCGACACCGTAACTGGTGTAACCAGCAATAATATACAAAAGTACTACATTTCCACGAGCGACAATATCTGTAGCAACCTGCTGCCAGATCAGATTGTTTGAAACAGATCCAGCTGTAAGTGCAGTCCATATACTCTTGACACCAGTGATGCCCACCACGTTGATAATCAGCTGATTGTAAACTTGAAAGACAAAGTATTTGTAGAGTACAGACTTTTCAACGCCTGGGCCCGAAACAACGCCTTGAGTACGGGCTACAACGCGCAGGGCCATGGGGAGCAAGATATTACTCAACGCAACCAGACCAGGACCAACAAAAGATTTTACGATAACATTGAGACCTTGGTTTCGACTGATAAAATTGGCAATTCCAGGAGAATAGGCGGAAATGCTTTCGATAGTGACAAGAGTGCCCAAAAATGCTTGAAAAAAGGTCCATCCAATAGTAATGGCAGCCAGCATACCGAATGCAATTAAACGACGGGTGTTGCGAATGGCCGACATGACACCGACGTTTTCCCAAATCAAATGTTCAAAATTAGGACTAACCTTGAAGCGAGGCGGTGCAATCATCTGGGTTCGCATAGTGGTTTTGATGAAACCAGCAAGTTTGTTTGCAGCCGAATGGGCACCTTTGATGGAATCAAAGCTTATAAATGCCGACGAGTTGGCCTTGTAATAATCATCACCCTTGGACCGCATTTCGTAGATTTCGCTTTCAAGGCGTCGAATTTCTTTGCCGTAATAGTCAATCGAATCTACCTTTTTACCGTCAATCAAATGAAACAAATATCCTCCAATCTTGTGGGTAGGACGTTCACTTGGCAAGTTGTATGGATCCTTCAAATCTATTAAAGCATACAAGATTCCAATAAAATATTAGCAAATCAGTGCTGTGTAATACTTGAAAAATCAACGAAAAGCATTGAATATTTACATTTTACAAAAACCGCTTCAAGAGCAAACGTAGCTTCGGTATGTGCTTTCATCAGCTGTGGAAGAGTTGTAAAATCACGGCCCCTCAAGATTTGGCTGGGCGGGTAAGACAGATCAGCACTTTTGATAAAGTCTTCCAGCACGCCCTCCTTGCTCATATGTTCAGATACATCTGTCACGAGTACACAACGACTGTAGAAACTATTGAGGTAATCTGGGCTGGAAAAGTATGCCTTTCGTAATTTGATATACTCCAACCAAGTTGTGTAGAGTAAATCTACAACGCAAAGGTTAGCCAAAAAGTCGGCGTATAAATATGCTACAGACCCATCAAAACTTACAATAGGCATAAATAGAAATTATCCACGCGAAAAATGCAGGAATGTAGAATAACTGGGATTCGGCATTGACCATGTTGGAAATACTAAACAGGGTCAAACTAGGATTGAATGCAGGATTTGCACCATCATTATCGGATCCAGGAGAAAATATAGGAGGATCGATGTTTGGAGCGTGGAAATTAACTGCGCAGAGGATAATTGCCAAGATTGTTGTGCCGACAAAAAGTCGAACGAGGACGTTGATGAATCGTAAAAACATGACAGCATCAAGACCAATTTTACCGACAAGTTCAAGCTCATCAGTAAAAAAAGACGGTTTGATCCAAGAAACGGGGCTTGCACTGAGTGGTTGTGGCCGCTTACTAGATATTTACAGGAATGAGCCAAAATGCCCGACATTCTATATTCAGCCTATTGTATAGCATTCAAATCAAATACTCAACTCTTCCTCGGCAAATTTTAGCCGTGGCTCATATACATTTTTGTTTGTAGTTCGAAGTAAGGAGAAACCAACAATAAGTGCTACAAAATAACAAAATTACAGCATGACTTGGTAAGATTTACTTGTTTCATGTGGATTAGGATTTCAAACATGGATATACAGTCAAGTTATGTGGATGGATAAAACTGGCAATATGAATCCAGGTGAAGTCGAGGAATTCATGCCGCAATTAGTATACTTGAGTAAAACATAGCCACGACAGACCAAACAAATGTGCAACAACATCATAGCCATCACTGCCACATCAATCCATTCTAAACCCAATGTTTAGAATACTCCATCAATAGGGGAAAGAACTGAATTCAAAGCAGGAGTGGAACAACAGCTATTTGATAGATAGCAAGTCATAGTGGAAGAGTAAGACTAAAACAGATTGAAGTGACAGTGCAATTGGGTGATTGACAGAGCACAGAATTCCAACTCAGACGATGCACTCTTCATCCTGCTGTTTGATCATCTGTAGTGACAATTATTCTGCGAATGCAAAAAAAACAATGCATTGAAACACCGACTTACCAGCAGAAATGGCAATATTAGTGCCAAAGGCTGTCAGTAAGGATATCAGGTCACTGTAAACAGGAGCCATGGCAGGATTAATCCAACGAATGAAATGTTAATAGAATTGGACCAACTCGACTTTAGCTGGTTAATAAAAGGCAAAATGTTTCAAACCATTCCAAGCACGTGGTGTAAAATACTCATCCACATGAAAGCAATAGTCAAGAGTTTATTAATAATCTCATCGATCGCTTACAACAATCCCTTGATGATCAACATCCAGTACGAGATATCTCGCCTGGATCTGATGTCCTTGTGCATCCTTTTGGGCCTCAAACTTTTGTACAATCAGCTGTCCAATTGCATCAAAGTTGGCCGTGGCTAGAGCAAGCACTGTAGGTCCTGCACCAGATAGACAAACTCCCAGTAAACCTGGAAGCTCTTTTTCTGTTAATTGCAGCACTTGCTCCAGTCCCGGCACCAACATCTGGCGGTATGGCTGGTGAACTTTATCCTGCATGGCACTGCTCACAACTTTTGCATTGGGTATGTCATCCCCCAACGCATGAACAAGCATTGCCAAATGTTGCATATTGTACACCACATCAGATCGGCAATACGTGGCTGGCAGTACACTACGCGCAGTATGTGTCGCCAGTTTAAATTCTGGTATGCCTACAACTACCTTGATCATCTGCGATATCTTGAGCTTGCGATGCATCACTGCTCCACCTGCAGGAGGTCGTGGAATCAAATCACTGTCCTTTACAGATACATGCTGATTGGGTGTAAACAGATTGGGTTGAGATTGCAGTTGTTGGACTTGACTGGCAATATCCTGTCCAAGATAGCACGTCACTAATCCTCCTACAAGCGATGCTGCAACATTGTCTGGATGTCCTTCAATCAAACAAGCATAATCGAGTATATCACAAGTAGTCATTCCCAACTGACAGCATGTGTTGGCAAGAACAACCCCTGCAACTACAGCCGCTCCTGATGATCCCAATCCCCTTCCCAGCGGAATTGGATTGTCAATATGAATGCTTATGTTGTTGGGCAACGACTTCATATGAGCTGATGCAACATACATGGCTATCTGACTAATAAGGTTCTTGGTTGGATCAAGCGAGACTGTCGATGGACTATCACCTGAATAAGTCAATACCATTTGGAACGGGTGCTGCTCATCTAATCCTTGAGTTGGAATAGTTACTGTGAGTGTCAAGTACATTGATAGTCCTAATCCGAGAACATCAAACCCTGGCCCTAGATTGGCAGTAGAGGCTGGCACTCTGATAGTGAATGAACGGCTGGCCATTGTATTAGCAATACTTGAAATCGCTGTAGTAAAAATAAAACCGATTCGCAGACTGAACAGCCCTTATCCATCTCATCCATAAACCCATCTTGTTGGTGCAATCGCAGTCTTTATTCAAACCAAGACAATTATCTCATGGCTTTAAAAATAAAACCCCTCATTCGTTCAGTTCAATATTTAGATTTTAAGAGTACAGATATACAACCATACTGTCAAACACAATAGTCCATCCAAAATCTAATCGCGGCAGTTTCTACAAAAATACCAATGACAAGAACCAACTCACAAAGACTCGAGTTTGAAAGTCTTCATTCTCATCCCGTTATCACCAGCCGTGAATGTTTTTATTTCATCTATTCTCCTTGAAGTCGAAACATCTCCACGTTACCACTTCCACCACATTGAAATTCGTATGAAATACACGATATCAGACTGCGATGGGTTGTATCGACATCAACCTCTTCAAACGTCTACAAAAATACAAATAAAATGTCAATTTGACCGATTCAACAAGTTTGAATTCAATGTCAAGACAAACCTGCATAATACTCAGGTTCTCAATCGCCATTCGAGCCTCCTCTTCACCTTCTAAAAATTGAAATCCATTTAAAAACGCTGTAAAAAACTCCTTTACATAGTCAAATTGGTACAGCCATGTTGAGACAGGTGATAGCTCAGGCGTTTGTGGTTGGATAGTTTCCAATATACGTTTTCCAAAAGAGTATACACTTGTTGTGCATTCAATTTGCATGGTACGCTTTGATTCAAAGATTAAAATATTTTTAAATTCGCCGTGATGAAGAAGAAACATGTCCAAATCAACCTATAGATGTATGAATCAAGATGAGATGGAATCGATACGGATCATTGCAATGTTTAGTAAAATCAACTTACGCGCAATAGATAAAACTCGACAGAGTGATTGGATCTAGCAAATAATGTTTGAAGAATGGGAAACCGAATGCAAGGTATTAATGAGATATTCAACTCTTTGATAGTTTCGTGCTCAGAAATGCCAGCAAATTGTGCAAGTTGGTGCCGTGGTGTCTATAATATCTTCATAACTGTTAATATCCATTTGACATGCATAAGCAACACTTTTTCATCTAGACCTTAAGCAACGCATTACCTCCTCTTCAGGATCGTGTACGGCATAGTCAAGATATAAATAAAAGTACTTGAGATTTAATACAGGATCAAACCTCTCTATTCTAGCGAGATTGATCTTCATGGCAGCCGCAGGAAAGGCTCCGGCGGATAAAATACTACCACTAGGTGAATCCAACGACATGCTGATCTCGCCATTTGCAATAATACTTCCACGATACAAGTCAAGCACACGATATCGTCGTTGCAGTCGACTCAACAATTCCTTACGCGATCGTTGTGTAGTGAGCAACGATGAAGGACTAAAAGAAAATACCGATGGCATCATTCCAGTTGGGGTTTGGATGGAATCGGTTGATGTAGGTGAGATAAGAGGCATGGTCATTGGGTTGGGAAGAGTTGGAGTTGCGTGTATACTTTGCATTTCTATATCGGTATCAAATGGCATATATGTATCATCGGAAGCTATGGTGCTGCCAGATAGCAGCTGTAAATGCTGGTCGTCTAAATTAGTAACCATTTGATCAGACTGTAACTTTGCTTTGGGAATTTTAATTGTTAATTTGTTGATGACTGGATTTTTTCGTGGCAACGGATAGGTTGATGCCAATGATTCTAATATCCACATACCAAGCGTTAGACAAAGTATCCATGCTGAAAATAAACAAAACCAGCAATGCCCTTTAAATCAAGCACATGCATTCGAGTCTCATGAACAACCGAATGGGTTGGAATAGACAATACTGTTGGCTCGAATTAACAATACATCCGAGTTGAATACTGTTTCAGTCAACATCGTATAAATTCGACCGAATAAAATATACATGACAAGTCACTATCCATCTGGATCCAGCATCTAGTTTTTACCTGGACAGTACATTGTTGCCATTGGGATATTAGTCGCTAATGATGGAACGGATGCTGTATATGCCTCGTTAAAAGAAACAGTCGAATTTAAAGCCGATGAAGACATTGGTGTTTGCGAGTCCAACGGAGCCCATATTTCTGTCTAGATGCATTCAAAAGAGCAGATTAGCCACGAATGATGGTGATACAGAAAAAGAGTAAAGCCTTCATAGTCAAAATATAAAAGCCAAACATTGGTCATGTGGATAGATTAGATTTGGAGTAGCATAAATTGAACAAGCAAACGAACTGGTAGTTGAGTACGCAGGAGCGGATATTACACAGAGCAAGGTGTAACAGCAGTTGAAAGTGCTCATGGCCACAACTACCATTTTTGGTTTCTAGTAACATGGCATGAATTTGAATTTGGCCAACAGCAGAAATAAAGTAAAAGCAAACATGCATGTCTATTTCAATCCAAGTGGAAAGTCATTGCAGATGAGCTGGCACATATTCCTATGCTTCGAGTATCCAGGGTATAAAACGAACTTGACATGTACAAACTTACGCTTGGTAAGTGGGTTCTTGACGCACATGGCTTAATTCCTCTCATCTCTAATACTGTCCGCGGTCAATAAAATTATAGTAAAATGTAATGTGGTGCCGAATTTGAAGACAAAACTGATTAAAGATGCCCAGCTTGAATCAATTGAGTAATGAGGGCTTGGATGGCGTAGTTGAAATATACAAAGATTAAGCTTTAAATTACGACTAAATTCAGCTGAAAGGGAATGGGCGGTCGAGATGGCAACTAAAAGCCTATTTGAATAAACCAAGTCAGACTGGATGGTGGCTAAGTAAGCGGCACTCTACAGACTGAACAGCTCGAAATCTAATATACGAACTAGTCTAAGTTAATATGACCCCATTCAGCTGCTCAACAGTCAGGCTTTATAAACCACAAGTCGGTAAACTCCGCTTCTGTATTAATCAACTCTCCGCTTGTAATCTATCCAGTCAATGTTTGTCATATGTATATCTTGTCATTACTGATCTAAATCTAGAGTTTATGCGGCTTGAAAAACATTTTATCTAACCAACAAGCTAAACATAAATGAAAAAGCTGGTACATCAACCATTCCCAACATTACTTTTAAATACCCTAGCCAACCCAACTCAGTCCAAACCGTAATGGAATACACAATGATCAATATAGGCTGTGAGAAATTCGTACATTTAAAAAATTACTCCTCGTCAACAACCATTTTGGACTTGGTAGTCTTCTCCTTGGACTCTTCTTCAGCATCCTCGGCCTAATCAAATATAGCAAAATAAAATGTTAGGTTCATGGTCTCATCACCAACTATATACCAAAGCCAAAAGTACCTTGGTCGCACGAGTGTAGATGCCTTGAGAACCATGGCAAGAAACAACACGAATGAGACCCTTGGACTCAAGCTCACGAATAGCAGCACGAGCAAGAGAGCCGTTGATGCGAAGACGATCGACCAAAATAGATGTGGTCACAAGCTTGAAAGTAGGAACCTCTTTGTAAAGCTTCTCATAGGTAGGCTTATCAAACACAACAGCGTTGTTGAACTTGTCCTTGACACGGCCCTTTGACCACTTCTATACTCGCAAAACCATGTTAGTGATCTACCTATACCATTTAGAACCAGTCAAACCATTACTGTAGGTGTATACATTCTAGCATAGAACGAACCTTCTTTGCTCCAGCCTGGTAGTGTTGATCCATTTTAAAAAGCAATCCAATAAAGTGGTTAGCAAACAGTGTCCTGATAGGTCTCATGCATGCATGGATGGATGAATCAACCATCAATAGACATAGTAGATGCATGCATAGACGGTGTAGTAGAACAGTGACGCACCATATTTGAAAATCCTGTAGTTGTGCAGTTCAAAACATCAAGTCACTTTCAATATCACTTGAATTTCAATATCCTGAGGACACGTTATAAATCAATTTTATTCCAACATCAATCACTGGGTTGAATTCAAGTAAATCTGAACTCTCTTTAAATGTGCAGTTAGTTCTGTAACAAGAGTTTCTAGTTGAGTAACCGATCTTTCTAGGTCACTGATTTGTCGAATACGCCCATCCAAGTGCTCATCTATCTCTGGCGTTATTAGATATTCAAGTACAAAAACGGCCAATAAACCACTTCAATACCAATAGCCACTTACAGTTGTGATGTAACACATTAGTATGTGATAGCAGTTTCTGTGCAGTTTTGCTCATGTCTACATATTTATCCTTGGCAGCTATATTGAGTACCTCGATTGCTTGAAAGTCGCTTTGCATGGCTACAGAATGATAAACACATGAGCCAGGGTGAATGGATAACTGATAGTAAATAAACATCTCAACAGCCCATTGGACTCAATGCAGATTGAATATCTTACATATATATTCATTCTGAAGTATTTTGGCAGTTTGCTGCAAGTGTATTTCAATGTCTTGATCTGGAACTCCTCTCATTTACAGCCGTTATTCACGTAAAATGGAATAAATAATCGAGTCAAAATACATGAAAACAGTCATGTTTGATTGTTGCCAATCTTACTGGAAACACTGCTCTGAAACCCCAAACATTACAAGTATCGAGTGATCATGAAAACAGCAGTTGTATTTCCGACTGCAATCTTTGTTTTCTTGAACTAGGATGCATCGGATTAGAATACAACACAACTTTTATACAAGAAGCAATCCATTTCTAGTAGGAAAGCGGAACAAATATCCAACCATTGCTTATTCTGGAGTAAAATATAATTGCAAGATAAATACAAACGTTTTCATCTTACGTAAATATGACTGTAAAAATGTCCAAACTGACTGTTTTGAAAACAGGTTCAGGTATCCATAAATCCGACCACGCCTAATCAATGCTGGTCTGTTCATCTCCAATCTGTTCAACATTTCCTCACTCTAGAATAGCAAGATATTGATGCTCATTACCAAGCAAACCTTTAAGCATTGCCATATCTGACCGTCTTGCAATAAAGTCTTGGCATGTGCCACAACCTAAACTCCGCTCTTAAAGATTAAGGTTTGACGTTAATGCGGCCAAGTGCCACGAATTATCTGATACTATCATCGGAAAATGCACTAGAATAATCCTTTAAAACACTGTATTTACCCTCGACTATCCTTGTTGGAAATCCTTCAGATCTGTATTAAATCAATGTACTCTCTGTCACCTGTATTCGCGCTGACGCTGTTGGCTGCCAAGCTTATTTTGACCGTCATGGCTGATCCTAGCACTCAAGGAAACTGCATAACGGGTCGCATCACATTTGATGAAAAGCGCACCAGTAAGGTGCCAATGCATGTCGATATGCCTGCATTTCCTCCTTCGATTATAAATATTGTCTCGACAGATACAACCATTGATTATGCTCCTCAAAATGTCAAGGTAAATCTACTGCTTTTGACATGATTACAAACCATGTATTCATTGTTATTCTAATTCAACCATGCTACTTAATCCATAGTTTATGGAAGGTGGTGGTGTTACCCTCAGTCTAACTAAAAATGATAATGCCACTGCTACTGGAACTCGAATTTCGTCAAGTCGATATATGCTATATGGCCGCATTACAGCTCGCATTAAAGCCGTCCCATATGCTGGAGCCATCACGACATTCATTACCATGTCTGAAAGTAAAGACGAAATTGATTGGTAAATGTGCTTGTTTATTTTGACTTTCTGTCCACATGTTTAATTTAACCAACCTTACTGCCTTGTCAACATTACAAAATTGTAGGGAAATGGTCGGAAGTGAGACCAACGTTGCACAAACCAATGTGTTTTATAAGGGCATTCAAGAGTTTGGAGTCCATAGCACATCAGAAAATCTCACCGATACGTCCCAATGGCACGAGTATACGATTGACTGGAAACATGATTCACTTACTTGGTCAGTTGATGGCACTCAACGTCGCAAACTTGATCGTACAAGTTCTTTATCTCCCATGACACCTCCAGGAGAGTATTGGTTTCCTACTACTCCATCACGCGTACAAGTTTCAGTTTGGGATGCTGGATCTTCTCCAGACAAAGGCACTTCTCGATGGGGAGGTGGTCCAATTCCTTGGGGATCTGAAAAAGCCATTTCTGCACAATTCGAGTATATTGATATTCAGTGTTATAATGATGATGATCAGCCAGTCAAAAAATGGCCCGCTGATGCTTCGAATCCTGATCGAGATATCGATACACCCATCGCTCCAGTTTCTATTCCAAATCGACAAGTAGATCCGTCTCCTACTGCTACTAGTACTTGGGGTGAAAGTCTACCCAGTACTTGGAGTGAAAGCCCATCCAGCACTTGGAGTGAAAGTTCATCCAGTACTTGGGGTGAAAGCTCATCCAGCACTTGGGGTGAAAGTTTACCCAACACTTGGACTGCCACTACTACTTTGGAGAATACCAATACACCCATGACATGGACAAGCTCGTCTGTTTGGCCTACATCTACATGGAAAACTAAACCGCGTAAATGCAAAGCCAGATCTGTATGGCCTATCGAAAAAGTAGCAACAACATCATCCTATTGGGTTAGACATACTACTAACCCCGAACCAACCCAAATTGTTCCACAAGCTCCACCCATTTTCAGTCAGAATGAGCCCATCGTCAGTGCTGCTGACACCCATCACACCCATTCAATGATTTATGTTGCATTCATCAGTATATGTGTTGTCGGTGTTATGGCGATGTAATGGTATAAAAAGCTTATTGTCTTAATACTACCGTATTCGCATAAATGAAACACCAACAAGTGTCAACATATAATAAACCATCATGAAATGATAACTCGTTATATTTACTGGATAGTGTTGTTCAGAGTTTCTTGACACCTTACTGGTTTTTTGATGATTGATCCAAAAACGACTGTTGTCTTGCCTTTTTGAACTAGAGCGTATTCGAGGTTTGGGTTACATCAAACTTGATTTTGGATTGCAACGAATGAATCTGGTAATTGTACAATGTATGGTTATGCCAAATGAGGACCATCTCAGTTTAAAACTACAGTTTGATTGTGTGCATCATAGGATGGTCACCGTTTGGAACAGTCAATTTCTAGTAAAGTGACGAATATTCAACCATTGTATATTCCAAAGCAAAATAGTGACTCGAGATGGACACAATTGCTTCGCTTTATGTCAATACGGCCATAAAACGAATGTTACTTGCATTAATAGATTCCCATTCTAATTCACTTGGACAGATTCTTGACAAAAATATAAACACATTTCGAAAAGTTCAACAATACTTCATTTAGTCCAGCTCCCAAGGCACACATCTTAAAGACATGTGTTGGTGATGCGCAAAGCTAGCACAAGTAGTGGCTGTCAAGACAAAAGAATAGATAAATGATCCTTCAAAAGCCTAGACATGCACATTACTTAAAAATAGCCCATACACAGAATCTGTTAGAGCTAAAAAAAACTGTCTAGTAGATACGGACAGGTTTTCCCATGGAAGTCTTGATAAACAACGACTTGACATTCTGCCAGTTCTTTTTGAGCAGGGAAACGAGGAAATTGATAGACATCATGATGTTGGTAACCAACATGTCCTCAGTCATCTGAACATGACCGACAGCAACACCAAGGCAAAGCACCTTCTTCAACTGGAACTTGATGGTGGATTTGATCTCCTTGATCTTATCCTCGAGATTGTCAGTGTGAGAGACGGGAGTGGGGAATTTACCAGCCTTGGATAGACCGGGACCAAGCAAACGGGGAATCTGCTTGATCAAAGCCTCAGAGGCAAGGAAAGCATCGTACTTTTTAGCAAGTTTCTTGATCATTTTCTTGTTCTTGTTGAGTTTCTTGAGATCGTCAACAGACATGAAGTCAAGAGCAATAGCCTTGGCCTGATCAATGTGGGCAGCATCGGCAAGAATGCAGAGCTTCATCTTGGGCTTGGGGATATTGGGAAGAACGACAGTTCCAGAGAAACGCTTGTCACGCTGGGGATCGTAGTTCTTGAGACCAATCTGAAGTTCGACGGTCTCGACAAACTGACGAGGCTTAACATTGATGGCATGGTCCATGATGGACTGGACCGAGGTACGGACCGCAGAGGGCTGAACTTTGCTGCTATATAGTTTTAAAATCCAAGTTAAAGTTAGTAGGTTGATGATGCATGCTTGGAAACATGGATGGATGCATAGTCAAGCCATCTACGTACGACATGAAGAAGTTGTGTTGGTAACGAGATCAAAAGCTCGATAGCTCAAGTTTAATTCAAAGTATCGTTCACGTGTTCAAGTCAAATCTTAACTATAGTCACGTGAATATACTCATACAGACCAACACAACGTCGCTGTACACGACCAGCTGAAACATTGACCATACGATTGAGTTGTTGCTGACTACTCGAGTGGTTGGTCTTGCATGGCGTGGATCTATGAAAGTGGCGTACATAAAGCATGATTATGCTTTTCCACTGTAAATCCATGTCAGATCTCCACCAGATCCGCATATTTAAACTTGCTTCTTTGCCCCCATTTCCATTATATACTCGACTTTTGAAATCTCATTCGACTACTAAAATGCCTCCAACCAAGCCAAACACCAAGATCAATAACAAGCCTGTTTCCGTTCTGTTCGTCTGTCTTGGTATGTCATATACACGCTACTTTACTAGTCAATGTATTGCCTGCTAACCTCTATCTCTGGCTTAAATAGGAAACATTTGCCGTAGCCCAATGGGTAAAGCCGTTGACATTCATACCATAAGCATCCTTGTTTTCTAACAACCTTTTGTTTGCAATCTATAGCCGAGGCAACTTTTAAACATATTGTTGCAGAGCGAAAGCTGGATGCACATTTTTCATGCATTGATTCTGCTGGTACAGGACCATACCATATTGGCGAACTTCCAGATAGGAGATCCACTGACACATGCCATAAAAATGGAGTAACTGTCAATCACAAAGGACGTCAACTCACTCTGGCTGATTTTGAAAAGTTTGACTGGATTCTGTGTATGGATGATGCCAACGTGTCCAACGTAAAGTCCATGATGCCTAGTGGCTGCAAGACTCAGGTGCAGCTGCTTGGGTTTTTTGATCCTCACAAGACCCTGAGTAATGATGGCCATATCATTATAGATCCATATTATGGTGAAATGGATGGATTCCAGCTAAACTTTGAACAATGTCGTCGTGCTACAAACGGGTTTTTGAAACATTTGGGCATGGAGACTGCTGCTCATTGACACTCTTGTCAAGAGCCCTGGCTTTTATGATTTGGCTTGTTTTAAACTATCCACCGCATACTTTGAAAGCAGTCAAGCATGTGCAACCCAAGGATGTTGATGAATTGGGAAATGCTATAATAAAAGCTATTGTTTTGGTATACTTTCTCAGCCAGAATATACATCTTCAATCTGGCACAACACAAGTTTAATAATATGATTACTTTATAGATCCACCATTACTATGTCCTTCCGTATTGTCGTGGTTGGGATTCGTATCTGCATTAGATCGTCCAATACCACCTCCACGCACCAGAGATCCAGACCGTGATGATAGTCCAGGAACAGTGATGTCGCTTGGAATACGAATAGTCCTTACAGTTCTAGCAATCGCTCTTCGTTTGACATGTCTCGATCCTGAGTATGAAAAGCCATGCGATGTCACACTTAGCCCACTCATGGATCGAGTTTCAAGCCCATCTTGCTGTGGCAAAGCGGCAAATGAATTGCAAGGGGACACTCCGTTTTGTCCTCGATGTGGTATTGTATTTGTGGCACCATTAAAGGATGTTGATGTGGCTGCTCGATATGTATAATGCTCTAGATCATGTGTGTATGGGGATATCGTGTGGTTGGAATTCATCAGATTGGCCAAATGTGCTGCAACTTCGTTGTCAGAAGGTTGGAGTACTACATGATGTGGTGTTTCTGAATGAGATGGATGCACTTCATGTTCACATAAACTTTGAGCACTACCACCTGCATCTTGATCAAAATCGCTATTCTGACGATTACGATGATGCTGTCCATGTCCAAACTCGCTTCGATCTGGAGAAGCATACTTGCCCTGTCGAGATGATAGAGGCATTGACGCTATTGATGTAACAGAATTTTCTCGTGACCGATATCGAGTCTGACTGCCACCTGTGTTGGGCATAAAATCCTTCGAGTTTCTCAAACGCTGACCATTCTGATTATAAGTGCGTTGGCTGAGGTTTCCTTGAAGTGGTTGAACAGATTCATCACCACGTTGAGGCGAAACCATGGGTGTTTCATGACGATTCTTGCTATTTTGTCGATGACGCGACGTGTCATGATGTCCATGCCGATTAGAGTGAGGCAATCGTTGTTGTGGAGGTGCAAGAAATTGTCGATCTGGCTCTTGTATAGGACGATGCCATACTGTCCCGTGTTGCACCTGGCCTTTTCGGTACATATGAGTTCCTTCAGCAAAAACAGCAGGAGACGATTGCACAGAAAGAGCATCGTCAGTGTTGGACAATGAGTGATCAATTATTACAGAACTTTCATGGTTGCGGCGTGATTGAGTCTTAAATACTGATACAGATGGAATTCTCGATCCATCGTGTAGCTTTGAAGATGTACCTTGCTGACTCTGTTCATTTTGTCGAGATTCTTCTGCATTTGACATTTGATCTGTTGCTTGTTTAGGAAAAATCGGATGAGCTGTAAAGCGAAGACCTGGAGTAGTCGAGGAGGGAGGTGAAAATAACGATCCTCCGTATATAGCCATACGATGATACTCGCTAGAAAGACCAACGTTTGTAATAGATCCAGCAGCTAAATGGGGTGGGTAGTGAAACTGAACATTAGATGCTAGGTTTGGAGTAACGCGGCCATCAATACTAGAACTGATTGTAAATCCAGACATGGCAGCTGATACAGATGATTGGCTTTGAGAGGTTGGTATATCGACTAAAAGACTGCTACGCTTGGGGGATTGTACCTTTGCATTTCTAGTGGGTAAAGTTGCTATTCCACCTTCAGATTTCTGTTGTGCTTCTTGCAAAAATACGTGCGTAAGCCCGAGCTCGGCAGCTTCAGGAATGCCAGTTTGTGACAGGCTTCTGTACAACACATACCCTTCATTTTCAGATTCTTGGTCCAAAGTATATCCATCTTTTTCCACAGACTCATTTCCGCTCCATTTTTGCTGGGAAGTATAAGGCCCATTCCTACGAAATGACGAGTCGTGTTGCTGTCTGATGTCTGCATAGTTTTTGTTTAAATGTGTACGATCCTGTGCATATCTATCCATGCTTTCAAGCTCATAAGCAGAAGGATCATAGTACATGGGCGGATTGCCTGCAACCCCATTCACTTTAGATTGATACTCCTGTCTGTCATCGTACCCCTGCTCACTGGCCCGACTACTCCTGGAACCGTATGATCTAGACAGTTTAGCCTCTGCTTTAGCTTTTGCAGTATCCGCCGCCTGTTGATTCAAAACTACGAGCGATAAATTATGCACCATCTGTGGCAAATCATTCTGAAATAGATTCCTTAATTGAGCTTCGATCTGCGTCTGCAAAAACTTTCTAATATTTGGGATGTTATCGAATGTCGAATTTACATCAACGCGCTCGAGTGGATCGTTCTTGAAGACAAGCGTAATACCTCGCTCCTTATCAACCACAAGAACAATAATGCCTCGAAGTTTTACATTGCTAATACGGATCTCCATTGGGACAACAAAGGGCTGTTGCGCTGCTAGCATAGTATTTCTGGCATTCAACGTGCGCTGTCGCAATGGAGTTGTCAATGGGTTTGCCTAGATGGAATAGATTGTATTTACACAAACTGGTCAGGATGATCAATCATGTTTTAAACTGGATTAGCACGGCAAGTCCAATACAAAGTATCTTTACTGCACTTTTGTCTTGATGAGAATGAATGCATCACCACTATATCCAAGCTTGAATATTCCTTTGAATCGATCTTCAGCCAATTCTCCTATTTCAAGGATTTCCAGATCGGGAGGCTATCGTCGAGTAGCAGGCCAATAGTATACCATTTGCAGTATATTTGAACCATTCGATTGGACAGTCAACATCAAGAACAATTCATGTGAGTAAGGAGCTGGTTTCAATTGGGCTTATAGTATTATGATGCACCATAGTAGCCATGGTAAAAATCCACTGCAAGAAATTCCCTGTTGATAACATATAGCCAGCATGCAGGTCGCTTATACCTTTGTTCCCATATCTAGTTCCTTTACTTCAATGCGACCAACAATATTATCAGGCATGCCACCATTGTTGAGAGCAACAGTCAGTTGACTCTTGGCCTGGTCCAGAAACTCATCAGAGAACTCTGGCCAGTTGATTTTGAATGACATTCTCTAGCAAAATGTGACAACTTGTTGGGAAAACTGCTGAACCCAAAGAGTTGATTAAACCTTTGGCTAATCCACAATCAACACTCCAACAACTGGTTCTTGGAAAAATCTAAACACATTATATTGTCATCCCAGATTCCTATTTATAAACACATTCCATGTACAAGTGCGGATCCGATCCATCAGCTAATTATATTGAATTGGTACACTGTCACTCGGCCATAAAAGTCTGTGCTGTTCATAAACACTACTTTGATCTTTTTATATCCATGCGTTGGCTGGGCAATCGGAAACTCTTGCAGCGTGTTGATGTCCTCTGGATAAAACTTCATGATCCGATGCCATTCTGTTGATGTTGCATCTGCAGGTGTCAAAGGTTGGCCCAGTAGCTCACACTCTTTGCCTGCAAATCCTCCTTGGAACATAAGTCTGATGCTTGTAGGCTGGATAGGCTCTTGATCACTTGTTGAATCTACTTGGATCCACTGTGGACTTCCCTATTCCAACACAACCCAATAAGCAATCCACCTTTTAAAATGATTGGCTAAATGCATGGCAATGATACTTTACTTGGTCAGAATTCCAACATGTTTCCAAATTGTTATCAACAAGATGTTTTTTGCCATAGTTTGTTGCATCTCGATTAAGAACAGAGCTCACTCTTGATAACAATCCAATCATACTGTAATCGTTAATAAACATATATAAAGCTCAATCGTGACGGTGGAAATGTGAATCAGCCAACTCACCGTAATTGGCTTGCTGTAATCTGAAATTGCATTTTGAATTCAAAGTAAAGTCGTAAACATCAAACTTGCAAATTTTAAACCATAATCTAAACTTGTTATTTAAATTGTCTAGGAGGACTGGGCCATCCCACTTCCCGCATATACACTCTTAGATAAAATCGATGATGCTGCGATGAAATATGCCTGTGCATTCGTATACACATATCATATCCAATACGTATCTTGAGTCGTCTTAGCATCATCAGGTGCTGAGTAAAAAGTGGCATTAATTGAAACTCCATGTACATATTTATAAACTGCTCATGAACGCTGGCATCAAGAGGATCAGGAATCAAATCGCGCCTTGCAAGTAGTGCTCGAAAAATATCAAATGCAAGCAAATACCCATCCGATTTGACAGGAAACATCATACAGAGTCTACACAGAGTCCAGTAAATGGGTGATTGAGGTGCGTCTGAAAATGACTCGAGATCGTACCATATTCGGGTTATAAATTCCTGTGAGGGATAGTGCGGAACAATGTCAAGAGCTGCTGATAAAATAGACAGTGTAAGTTGATTGCTTGGAATACTAGAGTAAAAGCCAAATATGTGTTTAGCAGTATCTATGGCTGATTGATTTTTCTGAAGAAATGTCAATCTGTTGTGTTTGTTTAAAATGGGATGATCGGGTTGCTTGGATTTAAGAAGCGACTGAAATATACTCAAGTAGCACTGTTCGGTTGGAGTCAGCCCTTCAGATTGCATCGCCAACAAGGCTGCCATGGAGTACTCTGGTTTCTGCAAGTGATGAAACAGCTCAATCAAAGCCTCGAACATATCTGCAGTATTAATGTTTTTATATCCCGAGACTTGAGTAAAGTCTTTTGCATCGCAAAGTGCATCCACCAGCATCTGCACTTGACTCGTTGCGCCAATAGATACCAATGCCTGTGCAAGAATTCTAAAAAACTGAGCCCGCGATGATAATGCATAGGATTCTACTTGCATTTTTTCATCCAATGCACCAGTCAATCTAGCATGGTCAATATGATCAAAAAGTAAACACCATCCATTACTCTGCTGGATAATTGTTTCAACGTGACTCAGTGATTCAGACTTGATGTAAGCCCAAATAACCAGTCTCCATTCAGACTCGGTTGGAACAATATTACACTGACCCATATCCTGCATCAACGCATTGATATGATCCATACATGCTCCCGGTGTTTGTTTTGTGTGTGCTGCATAGCGAAGCAACATTGTGAATAGTTTTCTTGGAACACATTGCAATGCATTGAAATCGAGCGTTAGTGATTTGTACAAAATCCATGGATCTTGAGCCATACTAGATTGCAGCTCACTTGTAGAATCAGACGTGTTTGTTGAATGATAATCAGGAGATAAGACATGGTTGGTTGTAGATTGTGATTCCAATGGTGTGAACAATGAGAACTCGCCATGAGTCCTCTCATGCAAAACATCAAAATCAGGGATATGCTCTGATGGTGAGTTTATATGGGCTTCGAGCAGATTCAAAAGTAGCTTGAACTGCTCGCTGATATCTATTTTAGACCAATCAGTCAATTGCGAGTTTTTTAGCGAAACGTCGGGTGTGGTATGTAGAGTACTTGGCGATCCATGAGTTTCCCATGCAGTTTTAAGATCATATTGATCATCCGGTTGTTGATTCTGAGATAATGGAAGGTCAGAGATCCAAGTATTAAATGAATCTTGATTGACAAGTACATTGCCATCATTTTGATCATTTGGGTTGGGTAAATAAAGCAGTGGTTCAACCTGAGCAGATACATCTGTACTGGAAGCTGAAGAAGCCTTGGATTTATCAACTCCTTTGGAGTATGCAATTATTCTTACTGGAGGTCGTTTACTGGACCGGAAAGAATGCGATGACGACAGAACTCGTTGTCGAGGTCGGCCATATCCAATCGGATGTTTTTTGAGCAGCTGCGTCGAAAGCCAGCGACAAGGTGGATGCAAATAAACACAATCAAGTCCTTGAAGTGTGAACAGAAAAATACTATTTGCCTTTGGATTTATCGATAAAGGCAGTAGTTTTCTGACAAACTGGATGTTTATATGTCGACCAACGAGCCTACAGTTCATTTTGCATTCAAAATTTTGGTAACGCCATGTAAAGAAATTTCCCAATTCAACAGTTTATAAAACTGAGGTTTGTTCTGGCTGGAAAGATACTTTACTCTGAATCATTGATATTATACAAAAAGTAGTTTTGATTACTGGGTAATTCCAAGCACCGAGTCGAGAACTTCTACCAAACAAGCAATATCTGAAGCAACGAGATTTCAACTGCAAGATAAATACAAGTGTTCCATTCTAAGTGAATACGGCTGTAGATGGACAATGAGTGATTTATTTTTATAACCATTATGACTGATGAGTTTTTTGAATTGCAAGTTTATCTTGTAAACTTCGCGTTCCAGCACTGGATCTCATTAGTATTGTGGTTACTCTATGGACAGATACCGAGAAGTAGAAAAGGTGAGTAGTATCAGTACCGTATATCCGGACAATGATATCATCAACAAAAGGGTTAGGGTTAAACTCACTCAGTTTTAGATTGGAGAAGGTGCTCATGGAGTAGTACTCAAGGCAACATATATTGAAACAGGAGAGGTGGTAGCACTCAAAAAGGTCCCTTTGCGCAAGTTGGAGCATGGTATACCCAACAGTATCTTGAGAGAAATCAAAGCGCTTCAAGAAATAGACCATCAAAATGTGAGTTTATATTCTGCAACATGTACATTGGAGTTGTTGAAATCTACTAGCAACAGACATCATATAGTGTGCTGACATTGATATTCAAGGTAGTTAAGCTGCGCGAGGTGTTTCCATCAGGCACAGGAGTTGTTCTTGTATTCGAATACATGCTCAGTGACCTAGCAGAGGTATTGCGTAATGCCAGTAAACCACTCACAGAAGCTCAAATTAAAGCATATATGCTCATGCTCTTGAAGGGAGTGGCATATTGTCACAAAAACTCCATTATGCACAGAGATCTCAAGCCAGCAAATCTGCTTATTTCATCCACTGGAATCTTAAAACTGGCCGATTTTGGCTTGGCTAGAGTTTATTCGTCTGATGTTTCTGGACGACCTTATAGCCATCAAGTCGCTACTAGGTACATATTTGATGTTGTAAATGTGCAGAGCATTGAATATTTCTGATAAACTTTCACCAGATGGTATCGTGCTCCAGAGCTCCTGTATGGTGCACGAGTTTATGACACTGGCGTGGATCTATGGGCTGTTGGATGCATTTTTGGTGAACTGTTGAACCATTCACCACTTTTTCCTGGACAGAATGACATTGATCAGCTATACTGTGTCATTGGTATCCTTGGAACCCCAACAAAAGAAATCTGGCCTGTAAGTACAATTTGAATGTTTCCTTGTTAAGATTGTCAGTTTAATTGAGTCTCACTTGTTGATTGTCAGATACTGTCAGATGCTGACAGATAGTACAACTTGTTTTTTGAAACCAACAGGAGCTCGAGACGTTGCCTGATTATGGAAAGATCCAGTTTCCCTCTTTGCCATTGGTTGTTTTAGAAAAAGTATGTCCTGATGCATCTGCAGAGGCAATCCGTTTACTGAAAAAGTTTCTTGTGTACGCCAGTGTTTTGCGTATCTCGGCTCAAAAGGTAAACTTTAATTATCTGGTCAAAATACTGGTTTCATTTTTGACAACTCATCTAATTATATGGATAATCGGGACAACCCTTTAACAAAATAAACCAATAGGCATTGCTGGATCCATACTTTTTTAATAAACCGCTGCCAGCACATCACCTTGAACTACCGATTCCCAAAAAACACACTCGTGAGCAGTTTGATGTTGACAAGCCGCTAGATTTAAGTCTTTTTCTGCCGCAATATCGTCAAATCCAAGTATAGCTCAAATTGAAATCCGTATAAATAAAGTGATTCATCTCGATTAAACCTACACGATGCACATCTATACTATGATAACTTGATAGATGCGCGTGCTGGTGACCCATATACCACTCTTGCCCTATCAGCAAAAGCCGTAACCATTGATTTGCTTACTTCGTCAAGAAATAGCTTGGATGCTTGGGCATAGATGGCATTCCTAAACTCGAATGCGACATAAAAATCAACAATACACGATCGCTCGTCTGATGATAATGAGGATTTGGATGCATGTGGATGTAATTGAGAAATGGGTATAAACTTCCACTCGTTGATGAGAGTTTTGAACATGGCCGAATCCGACGCAACTGCACGAACAGATGTGGGTGAAGTCACAGTGACGGTTGATATGTAGGACTCACTGAAAGCTTGGAACCCCACCTGAAGTTCAGCAGTGAGTGTGTGAGTTGCAGATACGGACGGAGATCGATAAAGAGTGCGAGATGCAGTGCACCATGGCACATATTCATTATAGTGATCAATGTCAGACACCAAGGCGTGCATCTGATGTTGAGAGTATCCAATGATACGTTGTTCTCGGTATTCTTGCAGTCGAGGTTGTTGAATTTGATTCAGTAACCCAGTCAGAAAGTGACGATTGCGTGCATATGAATAGGATGGGTGAATACAGGCAGTCAGACTCTGTGAGAATGGACGCAGAACTCTTTTCGATCCATATTTATGGATCATCTCAACGTCGATTCAAGTTTTGAATTCAGATTTCAACTCGACCCAAAAATAAGAAAAAAAATCTCGAAATATTTTTTTGGTCTGATAATATCCCAATTACTACATATTTTATTAAAAGGTAACATTACTATAGCATGGCAAGAGACAAGAAAAATGCCAAAGGTCGTTTGGACAAGTATTATCACATGGCCAAGGAGCAAGGCTTTCGTGCTCGTTCCGCATTCAAGCTAATCCAGCTCAACAAAAAATACTCGTTTTTGGAAAAGGCCAAAGTGGTGGTGGATTTGTGCGCTGCGCCTGGTGGTTGGTAAGTCTTGTTTAATTCTTTTTCAATTGAATGGGTTGTGCTAATGCAGGATTGATCTGTCTACTAGGCTGCAAGTAGCTCAAAAATACATGCCTAAACCTAGTTTGATTATTGGTATGTCGAGCATTGTTTTTGCGAGTGTTGGCATTCTTTGTAATGTGTACTCTATTCATCAACCAAGATTAATTTTGAATTCACTGTTTTTAATATTGATGTTCAATGGTCGGCATGGATACGTTCAAATTTGTCATCTTGCTGGGCTAAATAGGTTTGGATTTGGCGCCTATTAAACCCATTTCGGGAGTTATTACTCACGTCGAAGACATTACCACTTCAAAATGTCGACAAACAATCAGAAGCGAACTCAAGGACTGGAAAGTCGATGTGTTTCTTCATGATGGTGCACCAAACGTTGGTATCTCCTGGCTTCAAGACGCATTTGGTCAATCTGAACTTACTCTCAGTGCTTTAAAGCTTGCAACTGAATTCCTTATGCCAAATGGTACATTTGTCACCAAAGTGTTTCGATCCAAAGACTATAACAAGCTTCTTTGGGTTTTTCAACAACTCTTTCGTAAAGTTGAAGCAACCAAACCCGCTTCGTCACGTAATGTTTCTGCAGAAATTTTTGTAGTATGCAGAGAATACCTTTCACCCAAAAAAATCGATCCACGACTGCTTGATCCCAAATGGGTTTTCAAAGAGTTGGATGAAACCAAGAATGTCGATGAGGATGATGAGAAAAAAATCAAGGAGCGACAGGGAGCTGTTTTCAACACTTTGTTCAACCCAGAAAAACGTCGTCGATTCCGTGATGGTTACGATGATGAAGACTACACACTACATACATCTAATTCAGTCTCGTCCTTTATCCACAGTCTCGATTTTCTATCGATTATGGCTCGATCGCACGAATTGACATTTGATTCAAAAGATGAGGTGTCCAAATCCATTTTTGATTCAGCCCTGACAACAGATGGAATCAAGGAATATTTAAAGGATTTGAAAGTATTGGGAAAAAAAGAGTTCAAGTATTTGATAAAATGGCGTGAATCCATTCGTACGGTGCTGGGATTAGAAACACGGGCTTCTATTCGTGCCAAAAAACTTGAAGATGCTAAAGAAAAGGCCGAGGCAGATGCTGCTGCTCAGAAAATCGACGATGAAAATATCAAAGAAGTGGTATGTTGTGAATGGATCAATCCTACTGTATCATTTGTATACTTGGCTTACCCATTTAACACTATTGCTGTGCATTCTATGTGTAGTTGCTGAAAGAAAATGAGGCTCAGAGAGCTAAAAATCGTAGACTTAAAAAGAAGCAGCGTGAACGTAAAGCCAAACTTTTGTTAAAGTTGCAGCTTGGAATGAGTACTCCCAGCGATATTGGTCTTGAAGCCGACAGTGGACTTTCCACTCGTCCAGAAATGGATATTGACGAAGATACGACTTCTACATCCAAGAAATCTGCTAATAGTTCGCCAGACTCTGCATCTGATTTTACGGATGATAGCCAAGGTGAACAAGATTCAGATATTGGATCGGCTTTGGACTCGGACGATGAACGAAGCCGCAAAGTATCTCGTTTAGAAGCTCAAATGGACGCCTTGTATGAGGAATACAAGGCCAAAGCCATCGAGCGCAATCCTACTGCCAAAGTCAAAAAGTTGCGCGAAAGCACCAAGACCGAGTTTGAAGAGTGGTATGGTGTTGAATACGAAAAAAAGCTGGAGAGCAGTAGTGTTGCAGGTGTTACCCAAGAGTCGGATTCAGAGTTTTCATCTTTAGATAGCGATGACAGCGATATGGATCAAGAGGCGGATGAACAGCCAGCTACATCTGAAAAATCTTCTTTGCGTAAGCGCCATAGTTCTACTAGAAATGGAGACTTTGAAAACGATGAGTTTAACAGCGAGAGTGAGGAGGACTCGTCTGTGCCCATGTCCAAGCGTGCTCGAGTCTTTTTTGACAATCCTATTTTCGACATGGTCAATGACAAGAACGACAAGCCCAAAAACGCCAATGCGGGCAAGAAAGCAAAAAGCATGTTTAAAGACGAGATGGTGCTCTCTACCGACGAGGAAGACAATGAAAACGGGGAGTCGATTCAGCAAAAAAAGGCCAACAAAAAGAAGAAGAAACAAACCAAGGATGAGATGCTCAATGCTTTCAACGAAAATGAGTCTCACCAAGAGACTAACAAGGACGATTTTGCAGTTGTTCCTGTTGACAAAGATCAGGATCAAGAAGATGTGGATGACAATTTTATTCTTGATACAGCACAAAAGTATTCTCTTGCGCAGCGTATGCTGACTAAATCTGGCAAGCGCGATTTAATTGATAATGCCTATAACCGATACTCTTTCACTGATGATCCTGGACTTCCACTGTGGTTTACTGAAGAAGAGCAGCATCACAACAAGCCCACAATGCCAGTGACAAAAGAGGCTGTGGATATTATCAAGCAGCGTATGCGTGCATTGGATGCACGACCAATCCGTAAGGTTGCCGAGGCGAAATTCCGTAAACAGATGCGTACTCAACGCCGAATTGAAAAGATGTCCAAAAAAGCCGAGGGTTTGAACAATGATGAAGAGATGCCCGAGAAAAGCAAACTTGAGGCTATTTCCAAAATGATGAGCAAGGCCAAGAATACCAAGGAGCATACCAAACCCAAACTGGTTGTTGCCAAAGGTGTGCATCGTGGTGCACAGGGCAGACCCAAGGGCGTTAAAGGAAGATACAAGGTAAAATTGGAATTTGCGATGATTTGATGTGGGGGTTCAATGACTTTTTACTGACTATTTAAACTTTGACATAGATGGTAGATGGACGCATGAAGAAGGAGTTGAATGCCATGAAGCGACAAAAATCAAAAGGAAAAGGACGCAAAAAGTAAAATTACAACTGTATTCACGTAAAATGAAACACTTGTATTTATCTCGACTTTGTTTTGGTCCGGAATGAACAATGGTTGAATATTCGTTGTGCTTTCTTGATAGAAATTGATCTTGGTTGACACAGCAACATTGTATGGTATTTACAATCAAACTCATATCTGTATCTTGAAACCTCGAATATGTTTGTACTCGAGTTCAAGAAAACAATGATTGCAATAGTTTCATCATCAATTACCAGAAAAGATATGAGTAAACTAAAGGATCCGTGACACAGGTTATCCAGTCAATGTGGTAGAAATCATCATTTTGAGATTGGCAGTTTATTATGCACTTTGGCATTCTAGTGTTCATTTACGTGAATAAGACTGTAAATCTGTCGTGATTGACAGTTGTTTAAATGCCAATTGAGAAATACACACAACTGAATACATTAATGAGGATATATATTGAGATTCGTGTTAATTATCGATTGGAATATTCTGAACAGTTAATACGATCATCATAGTGTTGATCGTATTAGATTATTGTTGAATGGACATCAATTGAACAGTAACTGAACAGCAACCCTGACTTTTCCTATTTACCAACATTCATGTTCCAACTCAAGTCTACAGTCTTGTGTCTTGACTCATCAGATAAAACAGTTACTGGCATAGGTATTGGTTGCTGGCGCATTACTACTACCAAGAAACCTATATGTAATGCTGGCGAACTTGATAGGTGTGTCCAATATCTTGCAACTATTACATGAGTTTGTTATAACCTAATCTACCGATTGCACATGTAGTATCGCCAAGCGAGTCACTATTCCACTCCCAGAAATGCTATTTGGCAACAATAGTTTAAAGCTTGAGCATTCGTCTGGTATTGTTTTTGAATTCAATGCCGTCGATGCATTGGAGTTGGTTGATGCATCTCCCGAAGCTGCTGACAAGATCAAAGTCGCTTGCTCAGAGCAGTGGACAAAGACCAGGTAAACCCATTCACTTTGATACTTGTCTACTCCATTATGACACTGATTAGATTACCCATTAGCTCAAAAGAGCATGAAAAGATTCATCATGTCATCAAACCTTACGATTGGACCTACACTACGAATCACAAGGGAAAATTGTATCAAACAGAATCTGCTGCAAATCATTACACATCTGGTGATCCAGTGCAGTTCCAACCGTCTGAAGTGGGGATCAATATAAAGAAACTGATGGAACCAGAGCCTATTGGGTTTCATAACGAATTGATCTTGTTTGAGGATGAGCTAGCTGATAATGGCATCGCAATCCTGAATGTCCGCGTGGTGAGTTGTATCGCATCTTGACTGGCTGCAGTTTCTATCCAAGTCATCACGGTGCTGATCTGTTGTTTTGTACTGACGATCAAACTTTTACAGAGAGTCATGCCTACTTGCTTCTTTGTTCTTCAACGCTTTTTTATGAGAGTGGATGGTGTTCTTTTTCGTATCCATGACACAAGGGTATATCATGAGTTTGCCAGTGATGCACTCATTCGTGAATACACAACTTGGGAAGCTTCTTATGATGTTGTTAAACAGGTAAATAGGCTTACACGCCAACTGAAATTCCATCCATGAGCATATCACTCACCAACTACATCGTGTAATGATCATTTTAGTATTTACAGGTTCCCAAAGATCCAATTAAATCGCCTGTGCAGGATTTATCTCAAATGACAGATATGAATTGGGTTGCATCTATTATAGAAAAGGTTACCAAGCCCACTTCTTTTGTGCGAGAAAGTGTTAAACTTGCCAAAACTCCCGATTTACAGCCTGTATTCACGTAAATGAACACTAGAATGCCAAAGTGCATAATAAACTGCCAATCTCAAAATAGTGATTTCTACCACATTGACTGGATAACCTGTGTCACGGATCCTTTAGTTTACTCATCTCTTTCTGGTAATTGATGATGAAGCTATTGCAATCATTGTTTTCTTGAAACCTTGAATACAAACATATTCGATGTTTCAAGATACAGATATGAGTTTGATTGTAAATACCATACAATGTTGCTGTGTCAACCAAGATCAATTTCTATCAAGAAAACACAACGAATATTCAACCATTGTTCATTCCGGACCAAAACAAAGTCGAGATAAATACAAGTGTTTCATTTTACGTGAATACAGTTGTAATTTTATTCAACCTAGTACAACTCAGTCAGTCCAAATCCAAATCCAGATCCACATACATCAACACTACTGTTCAAGTTTAAATAAATCAAACTTTTGTTATGAATACATACCGAGATAAAGTGCTAGCTGAAACCAATCGTTTTAATGGTATGTTCAAATGTTGAGTTGCTGAGATCTACTCCATGTATACATGCGTCGGTTAGTGGTACGAATGCCATCAAATTGATCATGTCATTATGGTATTTACTGTTGGTGTTTTTCTGTGGGTTAATGCATGTTCATTCGCACTCTAGGTAGCTCAAATTGAAGCTGAGTTGATTCGGTAATAAATTCGGGGACTTGTTCCTTTTCAGCAACTTGGCATGGGATATACAGGGGGATAGTCCGATTTTTAAGGTAAGGTCTAGCAGCAGCCGAATTTGGATTTAATGGTTTGCCACTTAGCGAATAGCCAGCACCAGATTCATATACCTTGACAAATTGAAAACACGACGATATTTAAAACAAGTCGAGATTCTTCATTATAAATACATGAGCGATATCCTGTTTACATTTGACAAACAGTTACCTTTTTAGGAAGTGGGATATTGTCACGAAAGAGTTTAATAAAATGTTTTTGTGCGTGGCTTCGAACTGCACTGGCATCTCTTGTTGCAATATGTCGTGCCAGCTTGATGGGTTTCCAAGTTCATGTTAGTTTAGCAGCTGTATATTGAATATCATGAATGCCAAGCATATTTACAAACCCACTTGATTCCAGTCACGACCATAAATCTCCAACCCTGTCTTGAGACGATCAACCTCTTCTGTAGTAAATTTCCCAGCTCTGGTGCCTTTAGTCACTACCTTGCATTTTTTTGCTGACGAGATGGGTTTTTGATTCAATGGTATATCGACTGTCTTGTGTGGTAAAGCAATCGATCCATTATTATGTATAGATGCAATATGCTCATTTTTTAAACCTGAATGAATCAAATGACGATTTCTTTTAAATCCTTCAGCAGCTGCTGTGCAATCCTCTACACATAGTGTCAGTACTTTAGTAGAAAACTACAATTTATTTTTGTAGTCCAATCCAATCAGACAAGTTCAAGCATTTACCTTTGTGGGTTTCATGTACGGAATGTGATGAATTCATCGACTCGGGATTCACTCCACCGCTTTCGTAGAGTGCGGCTGCATACACCAAACTTGAAATCCCAGAATGATTGTAAACCAGTTTGGTATTTATGTTTTGTGTTTCTTTTGATTTGGATGGTACAGATTCCCAATTTTGATGAATGCCATCTGCTGTGGATCTATGTGTAGAAGAAGCATGCGTGATAGGTGCAAGATCCGCTAGCATGCGGAGTGCTGAAGGGTATTCCAATAAACTTTCATACATTTGGGAATACTGAAAAGTGTTTTTAGTGCAAGGGGCCATACACGATGGAGTGGATTGTAGTGTTGTGTGAATCGTAGCTGATGTCTGAAGTCGGGTCAGTGCAGTCGAGGTGGATATTTGCAAGTTCATAGTATTAGGGTTGACTAGATTTGAAATTTGATATGATTCACATTGAAAAGAAGCTGGTATCTTGTGTTTCATATCTATTTAGTGGATGAAGCAGATTTGGTGAATTAGATTTGGCTGTAATCAAAAACCAAACAATATCGTATTGCCATGGTGTCAAGTTATTCCAACCCCACCAGATCAATCAATAACCATTTTTTGATGTTTGGCTATTACAAATACCAATACATCATCCTTGACATCCTTGTAACATGCACTTGCATCATGATTTGACATACCATACGTTTTACTTGGATTCTCACCATAGTCAAACCGCGTTTTTGACAGCTTGTTAGTTTGATTGATCCGAGATGCCATTTCCGTGTGAATATTGAATCTCGAGTGGTATTGACTTTATCACTAGAAATTTGAAGCAATCAAAATGATTACAATGCTATTTTTAAAATTGACAGTGATTTGCCTGATGCAGATAGTCTATAGACGATTCAATTCATTTATAATATTAGTGATGCTTCAAACGACTGGCTTTACAAGGCATATTTTCCATGTTCAACTATGACTCAATCTTGAATGGGTTGAAAATGGGATTTCAGTATGAACAAATGTGCTCAAACCATTTAGATCAATGGTCTTGATAACTGCCATCTTACCAAAACTCTGCACCAATGAGTAGGATTGAAAGACAAATAAACGACTAGTAATGAACCAAAGTAAAGGTTGAAATAGAACTCAAAGTTTGATGCGATTCGATAAGATCAAAATACGAGATATCAATCTGTTTTTGACAGTTTTTAAAAACTGATTGATTCGACACTTGAACGCTCAATAGAGTTAAAAATAGTTTTATTCGTACGTTTAAAACTGCCACCAACTTTTTTTTGCTTGTTGTTCATTATATTCTTTTATCCTGCTCACAAACTGTTTAGATGCGTCCGCCAATTCACTTGTTTTTGTTTCCATTTGTGCTAATCGTTCGCCACGTTCATCCAGTTTCTATATGTAAAATAATCAGATGGTTTAGTATTGAAAAGTAGTGTCAAGTCTATTTAAGCAAAAGTGTCATGTCTAGACTTGTTGAATGGCAAGTTAAAAGCACTTGCATTGGTCATTGCTGACATGGCATCGTTGCCACGAGGTTTATTGGTTTTATCCAATCCCAGCTCATCGCGTTGGGAATATGTAGATCCAACTAATTGAGTGTATTTATAATTGTTAATAAAATTGCATGTCGACCCATTGTAGCAAGTAGCGTGTCAATACATACATAGCAAATCATGCTGTGCATTGCGATGGGTAGAAGATTGCTGGATTCCTTTTGCATTGTACCATTGACTTTGTCGATACAAATCATACAGTCTAATGTCAATCTGAGGATATCTATTGTTGATACATTTTAAAACACACTTTAGCAAACACGCTTGTTTTGGTGAGAGGATAACTCAAACTAGAATTAAAGTGTCTTACTGTGTCGGATTGGAAATAATGCCAAACATTTCCCAATGCCCATCAGCCATCCAACAGCCCAAACGTCCGTCTAAAGTAATCGTTGTTTTTGCAAGGTTTCTAATTCAACCAGTATTGAATTTTGAATCAGTTTAAATATTGTGCAGAAATAGTCGAGGTGATTTACCTTGAATCAATACCGCTAGGAAGCGGTACTTGTGCAATCATTTCAAGCGATGGGAGTACAAATACAATCAGTCTACCCAGATTCGTAACAGCTACCACATGTGGTGCATCTACAAGATGGATCGAGTAGCAGTTAGTTTTTGGTGCTTTTTATACTTTTAACTCGCCTTGTTCAAAAAACAGATGCAAAATAAGCTTACCGTTTAGAATATAGACTACACGGCCACACACAATGTGCTGAGTTTCAGAAAAAGATTGTTGTGCTTCAACAAATGGATTTCGGTCAGTTTTTAAAACCAGGATTTTAACAGAACGTCTAGATACAACGACAATATGCTGCTCAATATCATTTGAAGGTCTATATCGGTAATCCGATCGTAAAACTCTTCCTTGATCGTCTAGAACAGTTAGATGAATAGGGCTAGCGTCCTCGGAAAGGTGAAAGCTGGACTCGGTAGTTGAATTTACAGCGCGATGCATGCTTGTTGAGTCGGGAATGTATAAATTATGTCGTTGAGGATTAACTTTGTGAGAAACAAAATCAAATACAATCGTATATGCCAGGATTGTCCCATTTGAAGTAGCTACGACAAGTGAAAGCTGCGGTGTTGGATCATCGCCAGTTAAAAGTGGAGCAAAACACATGAATGTGGCAAAACAGTATTGCTGAGATGATGAAAAGCGCTCATTTGGATGTAATGGATATACTGTTACAAGCGACAATATAAACAGTATATGTTAGATACTGCAATAATCAAATGGCAACACATATATCAAGCAAAAACGCCATTGGGTTTTATAGGTATTCGATTTTGAGAATAATAACCTGTGTCAGATAGTTTATCGGTAAAAATTTCACGGCCGCTGATGGTATCGGTAAAATGAACAAACTCGGATGTAGCTGTTGCAAGACTAGAGAATACAATTAAAAGACAGTCTGTTAAACTACAAGATACATATAATTAAACAGACATAATAATACATACATATTCATCCAATCGGCATATTCGCTCAGCAATACTTCTGATGTGTGGATGACTTGAAACAGAGGTTTCCAGCACTGAGCACTTTGAAAGTGCTTTTCTTCCAAAGATGTGACCCAAACATTTTTATTACCCTCTTGTGAATCTACATCAGCATGGGATACCAAATGATCATTCTTTTTGGTTGATTCGAGTTGGTCAGTAGTACTTGGATGAGTTTGAGATTCATCGTAAAACTCGTTCTCATGTTCGGGTTTAGTTTGATCTATATTATGCAAAGCCAACGAGGTAATTGCAGCAGAGTCCTCGAGTACCTGCCCAATTGTTTCGTCTAATTTAGCCATCATTGCATCAATGTCCTCAATGTCATGATCTGGACCATCATCGCTCTGATTTTCTACTTCTTTGGCAGGCATCGTAAATATATGATACACGACACAAGGTCCCATTTGAATACACAGCAACTTTCGATCCAAACAATGCCAAATGTGATCAATATCTGAATTGGGTAGCCATTCGCCAAAAGGAGTCGTGAAGAGCCACATAGGAGATCCACCCGATGCCATTCCACTCCAAAATTCAATCTGTTTATCAGGTCGAACAATTGAAATGATGTCATTAATGCGAACAATGTTGAGCTTTCGTGCTTGTCCACCTGCTAGTTCGAGTGCTGGTGGAAGAAAGCTGTGACTGTATGATTCTATGTCGCGGTAAAGTTTTAATGAACATTCCATGTGAGTGAGGGTGTGTACGTTTGCACTCGATACCAAAGTTGTGTTGGTTTGTAGATTGTTGTCTTGTAAAGATGTTTGACACTGTAGACGTCCTGGGAGCGATAAAGGAGTGATGTTTTTATCTTGAAGATTGAATGCAACACATAGTCCACCCTCAGTCACAGCAACCACCTCCACATTTGGTCTAGAATCTGATGAATCTGATGAATTATTTTGTTGCCGAGATTTTGTTTGTGGAATCACAACAAACGTGGCTACAGTGCCTACAATTGGAACCACAGTTTCTACAATATGATTGGAGCGCATGTCGTATTTTGCAGTAAAAAACAAACATGCAATTCCATTTGAAGCGTTTTTAAACATTCCACCACTAACAAACAGTATAGATCCATGATCCGGTCCTAGCAATATCCAGTGTAGCTGCTTAATTGGCCAAACCTCTGGTTGATTTAATTTTTCTTTTGGAGTCATCGATGCACTAGCCAAAACATGTCTTACAAGCGCAGGTTTTTTGGAAATACGCTTATGGATATCACCACTCGTAATCAAAGAAACCCAGTCCTCCTTCATATTCCAAAACACAAGCTGGTTATCAGTGTATGTAGCGACGATCTGTTCACCATCTGGTCTCCAGCATGCAGAAAGACAAGGTAAAGGATCAGTAGATTTTGAATCTGCGTTGGTTGTGTATACGAACCACTTTAGACACTGTTTTTGCGACACGTTCCATAAGAAAATTGGACCAGTTTCGCACACTACCAACAAATGGTTGGGATTTGTTGGTGAAAACAAGAGTTGCCGAACAGACGTGTTTTGGAGTGAGATTGAGGATGCTGTAGCAGTGACTGAAGAGATCGCGGCCGTGGCATCATTGTAGTCTTCCTTGGATGAAAAAGTAGGCTGATGGAAAGAGTAGGGAGATATCTGTCCAGAAACCATATCTACCATACTAACAAGACCAGAGGATAGCCCAACAGCGACCCATGATGAATCTGGACATATCTGAAATGCAGTGACAGGATCCGACAGTTGAATTTGAAGATGTAGGGTTTTAAGCTGAATGTTCCATACAACGATCTGTGTAGGGGCGAGTGGAGTGGTTGCGACGAGATAACAGTCGCCCAGTTTGAATGCGAGTCCTGGTATTTTACGACTGGTTTGAACTACAGATGAATTTAAACTGTGGAATTGGGTTGATGACTGACTGGCTCTATGAAACGGAACAGAAGGTTTCTGATAAGTAGAATCAGCATGAAGCGAGTGAGTGCTTCTATTGGTAGGTTGGTGCTGCAGAGAATGCAGTTTCCTGGCCGAGTCTCGTCCAAAGTTGTCCATTGCGAGTCTGAACTCCAAATGGTTTCCCAGCACCAGCCATGAGCCATTGCTCAAACCCACAGCCAGCAGTGACTGAGATTCATCATGAGCAATGGCTCCAGATAAACTTGAGTCTAATCCGAAACGAGTTAGAATGGATGGAACAATGACTGGATTGACAAGGATCTTGTCAGGAACTGTCAAGCCAGAGCCTACAGCTGCCAGCACTGCATGTCTTAGAAAGTCCATATTCAGCCAAGAGTGAGTTGGTCAAGTAGTGGTTGGTGTGTATGACAGTAGTAATAGCAGTGATCAATGCAAGACAATCGTTGTTCAATGCATGGCAAACTCCAGCCATTGCAAGCTTAACTAATTGCTATCGAGACTCGATTGCTGAAATCTGCCATTCAATAATTTATAATATTTCTTACAAGATTGATGGTTTCATGCAGTCGTTTTTATATCATTTTAATTCCTTTGGTTAAACTGTTCCAAGTGTGCAGTCAAACGCTGTAAAACTTCTTCTGGCAATCCATTCAAATCTAATTGATTCGCTTCATCCTCGTCCTCGTTGTCGCTCGACTCATCCAAGTCTGGTTGCTCGGCTTCATTTTCATTTTCATTGTCGCTCGACTCTTCTCTTTTCTCAAAGTCGGGTGTGAATTCTAGTAAATATCATTTCATTAGCCGTGCAAACAGACTAAAAACATGTCCAGATCCTTTAAAGCAATGTTTCCCACCTTGTAGATAATCAACCACATCAGTCCAGCATTCTGTGAATGCAGTCTCTATTGGCTATACTCGTAATGTATTTCATTTAAAATACAAATGGTTGGTTAGTACAAGTCAATCAATCTGATACCATGCAGTTTTATGGCGTTGTTCATCAATAGTTTGCAGTAGTATTCACGTAGAATGAAACACCAAGAGTACCAATCTCATGATGATTATCACCACATTTACTGGACAAGATTGTTGATTGGTCTTTCTCGTGGTGATTGGCATGTAGAATTGAACTAGAACGCGAACGTATCCGAGATAGAATACAAAGTAGAGTTTATGGCATCAGAATAGCTGAACCCAATATCTGGTTTCAAATTTGGTGATCGTAAAATGTACAATTATGAGGAGAAAGAACAGGTTCAAAATTATAGTTTGTATTATATGATGGATGTTTAGACTTGATGCGATTCAAGTCAATTTCTATCAAGAATGCACATCAGATATTTAAACATTGTCTAGTCCAAAACAGAGACTGCAGAATAAATACAATTTATATTTTACGTGAATACGGCTGCAAGACATTCCAACTTTAGTTACTTACCAACTGCCCAGAATGGTTTCGTTTAGTCGGATCAGCGCCTAACTCAATCAGCACTCTTCCTGCATCAGCAGTTTCAATGACATGCAGTGGAGTGTACCCATCATGGTCTACAACATTTGGATCGGCTCCGTACTCTTTAACTAGCATGCGCATGAGGTCTAAATGGTTGTAAGATGCTGCTGCATGAAGACTGGTGTATCCAGACGAGTCTTTGGCATTGGCATCCATAGGTGCACCGCCAAAACCACCTGATTTAAGAAAATACTCGACATCTTCAACTCGTCCGTCTCCTGATGCTATCCAAATATTGTCTGCTGCTGGTGAACCTGATCCATACTCGATTCCTGGCATCGTTTGTATATAATCCCGACTATTCAACACTCGAGTTCAAATGTGCGAGTTTGTTTTTTATAAATTTGAAATAAACCATCACGTGACTTTAAATGAATTTGCTTGAGCATCAGAAATCATGTTCTAATATTGAGAAATATATTGTGGCTCAAACAAAACTCGGACAATATTCTAAATCAAAACCACTCGACAGGTTTGTAATGTTACGGACAATCCAAGTGTAGAGTCAAGGTTAGAATGCAGCCAATTGTATTTTTAATGTATACGCCAACAGACTCATGACATCAATGTTCTCCATCACTCTAAAAACAAACTCTAAAACTAATAGTGCTAGTGGAAAAACGAGATCGGATACATTTTTTTTGAAAAAGTTTAAACTTTGCGAGATCGGAGCTTACGGAGATAGAACTCAAGTTCACGACCTTCAAGAATGTAACCATCAGCACGTCCAGATTGACCAGGACGGGAAGACAAACGTGCAAGGACACGACCAGCAGCAAATTGGTCATTGAGAGCCGAGTCAACGGAGCAATCCTTCTGGCGAGCTTCAACCTTGCGTTGAACATGGTTAGAGCCAGTCTTCTCGACAGTTTCATCAGCACCATGCTATTTAGAACAAATGATCAAAGTTAGATCGAGTTTATTTGGTCGTAAAGCTACAGATCTCTGTAGAATTCAAACACTTACCTTCTTGCGGCCTAGAGGAACACCATAGTGGGACTCGTACCACTGACGAAGGGGAACAGCGTCAATTTCAACAATGCATCCTTTAACAAGTGTGTTGGTACGAACAAGCTCGTTGTTGGAAGCATTATAGATGACACGAATAACACGGGACTTGCGAGTGATCGACTGGGTTCCCCAAGAGAAGTTTCCAGAGTCCAGACGAAGAGCACGGAACTTGGTGTTTCCTCCACGAACACGGATGACGTGAATACGCTTGGTACCAATCTTGGTGTTGGCAGCCTGGCGACCGAGTTCGAACTTCCTCTTCTTGCGGATCTGAGCACGCTTGGCACCAGTGTGCGACCGCTTATGACGACTGTCTCTCGAGATACCTATATTTTAAAATAATAAATTGATTTGGAGGCCAAGAGAATCGTTAGCAAACCAGAAAAAAATCAAATAAACACTGGCAGTCTTTGAATTGTTTTACAATCTACATTCAATGCACCCATTTCTACAGACTCGGCATACAAAAGTAGCCAACATAGAACCAGGTCTCTGCAAAGATTCATCTACAATCCATATCCAAGTCCAGACTTGCAGTTCAGATGTAAATTTAGACATCAGTATAGTTCAATCCAGTATGTGAGGACCCTGTGTAGACAAATCAGAGGCTCAATGTATATCCAAACAATTAGAGCAGGAAAGCTCAGGCCATTGTCATGCCAACACAAACAAATTGGCAAGCCATCCGACTCGCAGTTCACACGCTGATCATTGTTGCTGTGCTTGCTACCAGTATGCATGCATGGATTGAATGAATGTGTAGATGAATAGATGCATGAGATGGATGCGTGGAATGCATCAAGATCCACCATGGATGAACAGCACTCTCAAGCATACACAGCAAAATACTTGCCCATGATTGTAGTGTCGAGAACAACCCAAACTTTGTCCAAACTTGACTCTTGACGAGCAAGCCGTTTAGTCACGTGAAATAGCATGGCATCACGTGAACTGGTTTTGAAATATGGCTCAGCTATTTCAAGCTTATAAATCTTCAGATTTGTGCTCGTCTAAACTATCCAAAATTTCTAATCTGCATATACTGTTCTCAACCCCCTATTATCACATTAAAACAAATAGTAAAATACACGATTGCATTAAACGTATTATAGAACCGAATAACAGGCAATATCTTTATCCAAAATGGAATCCATGCGCACTACTACTCTGTCCACCATATGAACTATATGAATGCTGATGTCCTCTGCCACCACTAAATCCACCACTGCTAGTAGCAAACCGAGCAAGCAAGTCATCCATGCTGGCTGAATGTCCAAATCCACCACCATGACCATCCGAAGCACTAGATCCGTCCACATCCATCCCTGCATCAAACCGTCGTTTCTTTTGATGATCAGACAATACTGCATACGCCTCTCCAATCTCTTTAAACTTGTTTTCGGCTTGTGTGCGCTCTTCGTCTAAAAGCCCTACCTGCTTGTCCGGATGGTATTGAAGTGCAAGTTTACGATATACTTTTTTGATTTCGCTGTCTGTTGCGTCGCGACTACATCCAAGAATCTTATAATAGTCCTTTCGTTTTGAGAGTGCAAGAAGGTGCTTTGCATTTCGAATAGCCTGGTTTACACCTATCCACCAAAACAAAAGTCAATCTATGCAGCGAGTACAAAAATCAGCAGAATTACAAACAATCGGCAACATACTTTGATCCTTGGGCTTGATTCCAATTGCACACTCATAGTCACGCACGGCCTCTTCATACTGTTCCAACTTCATATATGCATCAGCACGACGGAGATACAGCTTATAGAAAAGTGCACTCTGCATAGATGACGCATGGTCTTCATTGGAAATACCCGACCGACTAGCAGTGAAATTGACTTTGGGAAAGCAAATGGATTCAAGGAGTTTAATGGCGTCTGATGCATCTTCTATTGCATCTTTATGTTTACCAAGCTACGTAATTAAAGTGATATATTAGTGATCAGGATTAAAACTCAATCATATTAGTGTAGTATAAACCCCAGTTCGTACCTTGCTAAGCACATTTGCCCTGTTGCTCAAAACCTTGGCACGAACAACACCTCCATTTGCATCAGCAGAAAGATACTTTTCATAGCTTTCAAGCGCCTCGGTCCAGTTACTTTTAGAAAAAGCATCATTTCCTTCCTGCTTCAAAGCCTCAATTGACTTGATGTGCTTGTGTAGTGCACGAGCATCCTTGTTATCGGGATCAAATGTAAGAGCCTGTGTGAGGTATTGAATGATGGTGGAAACAGGATGAGAGTCGAGCAAATGCATCGTACGTGCACGTATCACCAGTGCTTCAGAGTTACGAGAGTCTTTAAACAAAATGGAGCTAATTATTCCAATACATATTTAAAATTGAATCGCAAAAATGAGAAATGAACCAAAGCAAGTTTCACACATTTCTTTAAATCAGTAAATAACTTACTGCGCTACAGTTACAGCTTCGTCAAGATCCCAGCACCCAATTAATGCCTGTGCACGATACATTTGCCATTTGATGCAAATCTTGGCAAGCTTACTGCTGTCTACGTTGGAAACAGATGTCGTTGCGCCAGTGGATCGCAGTGTAGGATCAACAAGTGTCATGGCAGTTTCAACAGAAACAAGGGCTTTTTTATAATCGTTTTGAAGCAAAGCATCAGTACAGCTCTTGATATAGCTTTCCAATCCACGAATCTCCTTCATCTACAATTTGCGCCAAAAAAACAAAAGACGGAATGATAATGGTCAATATTACATGCATTCTAAAACGACATCATTTCTTATTCTACTATATAAAGCCCGGCTTCAAGATAAATTCAGAGTCAAGCTTTGTATCATACCTCCTTGTTGATCATTTCTGCACGGTCAGCTACCTTGCGCTTGACAAAAGAGTTTCCAAGCTTTTCAGCATTTCGAACGTGCTCCATAGCCTCTGATAATCTGCCAAGATGCACCTGGCACTTTGCAGCACGAAAATGTGCCTTTATAAAGTCGGGCTCAATTTCAATAGCTTTGATGCAGTCAGCAAGGGATTCTGAAAACAAATTGACCATGAGATATGCAGCAGCACGATTTGAATAGTAAGTTGCATTGGTTGGCGCGAGTTCTAAACATTAAAAATGCATTCAACTGGTGATTAGATGATTCAAATTCAAATTAATTCAGACTGAAATCAGTCATAATAGTATACAAAGAAAAAAGACTGTTCAAACATTGATTATCCACCAGCCAATTTGATTAAATCAATGCAAATAAATCGCAGCAAAATCCACAAATGACAATAGTATGACAATAGATCGATGCACTTTCCTATTGCCTGAGAATAAAGTAAAATAGATTCCGAGTATTTACAGGCCTTGAACAACTCATTGGCTGCGCTCTTGATGTTTTCAGCAGAAACAGCACTATATGGAATATCAGCAGATGAGAACCAATCGATGCCATGGTTACGAAAAGATGAATTTATTCCAGTAATAAATGAATTATATCAGCCAATTAGTAATTAATGATAATGCGTCGATCCCAATGTAGTACAAGACATGACAGAATGTGATGGAAGGAGTTGGTAAAAATAAGTTCAAGGTTGAGCAATAATCCGAATATCCAAACTCGTTACAGTAATGACAAGACAAAAAAGATGAAAACTTACGGCTTTACCGAATCACAGTCAGTCATGACTACATCATCATCAGCAACATCTGATTGATGGGCAGTACTGATGCCATTGACCAACATAGATTTCTTACGATTTGAATGGTCGGAATTTGACATTCAAACCAAATGAAAACATACAGACCCTATTATTACAGTCTAGACCCCATATCAATTACAGTCTAGACCCTACCATGGTATCAGCGTATAGCCTCATCTGCAATAAATCAGAACAATTCAAGTCCGCTGTGTTCCTTCTCGTCACAACTAATCATTCGCCAACATGGAAACAATCTTGCACTGGATTCAGATATGGCTAAGACTATTGCTATTTCTGAATGTCAACGATTATTTCTTTTCTATTGTCAGAGTGAATGCATTTGGAACTCACTGTCCTCTACTCCAGCAGCCATCTACTCTAACTTTGGCCAATAATCAGTACGACCTTAGACACCCCAGGTTCGATTTTTCTAATCTAGTTCAGAATCCTACACCTATGAAATCAAGCAAAAAGGATGAAGCTTGGGAAGTAAAGCTGGCTATCATGGGTGATCAAGGTCTAGGCGCTCATCCTAAAAAGGTCCTCAAGTTAGTTCGCGATTGGGGTGCTCATGCTCTTATTCAATTGGGCGATTTCGACTATGAAGGTAAGTGGTGTATTGGATAGTAAAGATTTGATCCACCTTTTTGCCAACCAGTGTTTTTATACTACTGTGAATCATGTAGATGATCCATCTGGGTTCATGGAGCAGTTTACAGATCAACTTGGTAAAAGGTTCCCCATGTTTGCAGTGATAGGAAACCATGACGTGGATAAGTGGTTTAGCCCAAAAGGGTACAAAGCCCTGTTAACTAAACAGGCCGAAAAGTCTGGAATCATGAGATACTGCACTGGAGAATACGGTGTCAACATGGTGTGCCAATTTAATGGCATTGTAAGTGCTCAAGACTGTTGTTTTGAATGGCGTTTTGATGAGTGCTAATATGATTGGCATTCAAAGGTGATTGTGTTGTCAGGAGTTGGAACCCTTGGCAAGGATCATGCCGAGTTTATTGACCAGGCGCTTACTGAATTCAAAGACTCGAAATGGAAGCTGTGTGTCTGGCACAAGAACCAAAACAAATACCAAACTGGAGATAAAAAAGACGAGACTGGTTATCTTGTCTATGGCAAGTGGATCGATACTATTGTCTGGATTGTACTTTGTATCAGACTCTTATGCGTCTGTTTAATTATTTTTAGATACATGCAGAAAGCATGGTGCAATCGTGCTGACAAGCCACGAGCATTCATACGCGCGAAGCCATCTCATGTCCAACTTTGAGACTACCTCGATTTTATCCACATCGAATACTCTTCACATCAGACCAGGCTTTAGTTTTGTTGCACTTTCCGGTTTAGGTGGCGATTCAATTCGATTTTGGAAAGATCAGCTTCAAAACAATCCCTGGTGGGCTGCTACAGCTGCTATGGATGTAGGTGTTACTTGCCTGATTATCTCAATCAAGATTGGTTTAGCAAGCTTACTCAAGTCTTTGTTTTGGCACCTTAATCTGCATATATTATTTGGTGAATAGAATGGTGCAAACTACGGTGCACTGTTGTGTAAATTTCATCACAATGGAGAAAAAGACAAGGCCAAATGCCATTTTGAAGATATTGATGGAAAAGTATGGGACATGTTTCACATTGAATCTAGTGCAGATGAATATGTAAACACGCTTGAAACGGTTTCTCAGAGTACATCATTCGTCGACACTGCTATTCAAGATGGATCTGATTTTACATCGACGAATATGAGTACTGGTGTGACAGTATGTGGTAACGAGCGACTTGAGATGGATTCGCTCATGCAAACAGATCAACATGTCATACCCAATCGTGTTCATACTCTCACCTTTCACATTCCCTTGGTTCCCTCTGATCAGAAAATCACTCACGCTCACTTGCAGATGAAAGCAGCTCATCCTACTGAACCATTTCAACAGCAGTTCACATCGCGCAGTGAGTTTCAAAAAACCTATGTAGATGTAACGGATATAAAAATGAGCATTTGGCGAATCCAAAACAAGCCTGTGTGCAACACCAATGTGGGAAACCCATTAGAGAACTCCATGATGGCTTTAAAACAGTTTTTACTGGATGATGACAATCTAATGACTTTCAAGACCGTTCAGATAATTGGGCCTGAACAACTCGATCACAAGCTACAAAAACTGCAGCGACCTGATTACAAATCGTATATCAAATGGGAACGTGGCCCAAAGGACGAAAACTGGGAAATTGGCGAAGTGTTTGTATCGCCTAACCTTGCCCACCTAATCACAGACGCAATGAGTGAATATCACCAGTATATAAAGGAAGGATTTAATGGACCCCCGACTGTGCCAGTAACACTAGCTATTCAGGGTGAGTGGTGGTTTATTAATGGTCAAGTTGTCATGGATCAAAATCAGGCACGATCGTTCTATGGTGTGCATCCAGAGCTCGGTACATGCATATCTCCAAGCCTAGTAGTTCAGACCATCAAGCTATGAATGAATTATTTTAAAATAGTAAATTATTAGCCATGTGTAAAAAAGGTAATTCAAAGTATGAGCCATTCAGATTATTGCTAGCGACAATGGGATAAGAATGGAGAAATGAAATATATTTTTGGTTGTATAAAACACTGCACGATTGGTTTGCATTCATGTGCAGACTCTGTGAAACACCAAGGATTTTGTCAGAACAAGACCAAGTGAGTGATGTTTTGTATTCAATCGAGAAGAACAGCAAGTCGCTCAACAAGTCAGATTGTCATTGCAATATAAGAAACACGATCGATAAATGCTCACAACATTCAAATCAACAATTACTGATAATTGCTGACCATTTCTCATCCTTTTGTCATCAACTGCGAGATTAGCCATTTGTGCATTAGGTGGATTCCAGTATTGAATTGAGTTGCACATCAAACTGAAAGCATCAAGTAGTGGTAGTGAAACCTGCAGCGAGTCACATTCTCTAACATGTAGTTATTCTTCATCAGATACTTGCAGTACGGAAAGCCTTGCAGATTCACCACCATCCTTTCAATGCATCTTTTTATACACTCCAATCCATTTATTGTCCGAATCAAATCGAATCACTTTTGTTCATCATCTTCATCAAGCAAATCTACAGGAATCATTGCTGCATTCCATCGATGCAGTGATGGTCGCTGCTGGATGGATATCCTCTTACCCTTTGCAAACCATCACTCGCACTTGCATTGTATGCATTACTACAGAGATGGTAGATACTGTTTTGGAGTATTTTTTTCAAGCTACTCGAAAATGGCTGCACAATGACTGCGACAATGTGAATCAAAACAGCAAGAACCGACACCAGATTTGGATATATTCCATCAAGGTCATCGAGTGTTTACAAATACCTTTTATGTATCTGGACAAAGACGATCACTTTGAACACTTTATTGCCGTCTTTTAACTCGATACAGCTATCCAAAAGGTTTAATAGTATAGAGAACACCAAATGGCATAATAAACCACGAGTCCTATGAAATGAGTGACCATGTATTGAACAGTATTGTGTTTTTAAACGTTTTAGTTGACTGGGTTTTAGGATACAGCAAATGTGCTTGATTAAAAATAATCGGATCCAATGTTTGGATCCCAATCAATGAATCTGATGAGCGTACAATATAGGGTTATCAGAAGAGAATAACTCGAGTTTAAACCAATGGTTTGATTGTATGTGCACCATATGATGAACATTGCGTTTATTGAAAAGTTGTGAATATCTATCAAGAAGTCAGCACACATTAATCATTGTCATCTCAAAGCAAAATAGAGGCAGTCGCTGCAAAATAAGTATAACAATTCCACTTTACATGAATGCGACTGTAATAAATTATTATTAAACTTGCATAGATATTTCTTAATCTATAGCTAGGATTCGATAACTTGTGATATGGTGTATAAGTGGTTCATACGCACAGCTTTCCCAAAAATAAATTGGAATATATTTAAACAATAGTCTAGAACAAAGCTTGGCCACGCATTCTATAAAATCCCATTGGCATAGTACTATTCAAGAATGAAATAAACGCTTAGGCTTGGTAGATCATCTCTTATTAGCTATTGAAAGCAAGTTGAATACATACCTGAAATGAATCATACAACTTTGTAAACATATTGTTGCAGCTGCTGTCAATCAAGCGATCGACAAATTCGCCAACCTGAGCTTCAGTCATGACGAGTTGGAAACGATCTCGTAATGCTTCGGAAACTGGATACTTTGTGTTGGGTAAATGTGCTCCATCGTTCAACGTACGCGCTGGTGGTACGCCAGCAGGACTGGCAGATGGAGAGTGTGAGAGAATAGATGTAGGTATTCCACTGACACCAGGTGTTGAAGACATGCTGATTCCATTGGACATTGAGACAGAAGATAAAGCAGATGTTGCAGGCATCGATGAAGGTTTTGGCGTGACACCAGTAAAGCACGGCAACAATGAATCTAACAATCCACAATAGTCGCAGATACAAGTGAATACACGTACAAAAGCCCATCGTCAATAACCAGAAATCTCCATCACAGTTACTTGGCATGCTGTCAATATTAAAAACCAACTCTCACCTTTTTCCATAATCTCAACCAGGCACAGGATTGAATCGGCAGATTTCCGCAAGGCCAAGAAAGCTTCCTTGACTAATGCTCGAAACTCGCCAAATTTACGTGATCGAATCCCACCAAGAATGTCCAAATATTCTTGCGGAAGCTTAAATGGTGCCAACTCAAATCCAACCGACCCGGGACTGTTTGTCAACATAAACCCAAAATCAATATGTGTACAATGCCCTTCTAAATCAAGTAGTATATTGCCATTATGTCTACATTTTAAACGCATTTGGTTTTTGTATACATTGGGTAGTATCATTGTCTTGCTTGTTAGTTGTTGAGCATAAAACATGGCAGCAATACATCCAAGTTATATTTTTGTACAAAATCAATTTACCTATCCTTGATTTGCAAGAGATAGCAGATGATGGAGTAGCCTGCCAAACTACGCATAAAGTTGTCTTGGGCTCGTTGGAAATTATCACATCCAGGATGTCCAAACTCCTAAATATAAAAATCAGCAACCAACCATACAGCACAGTCTATAAAGTGTTTAGTACACTCACCTTGATGAAATAGTCATATAGAGTAAAGGCAATTCCCTGTTGGTTTAGATTGCGTGCATAGCCCTCCTTTTTGATTGAATGGATCGAAATGGCATCACGGATAGTCTCCACTAGCCCACTCTGTTCAGAGGTGATTAGCATTCTAAAGCTATACACCCAGACGGAAACATGATTTTCGCTCCAAATATGCTGCATTTCGGAAATCAGTTGCAAGGCAAGTTTCTCCTGTCGAAGATCTGCTCCAGACTTGACAATCACCGAAATAAGATCCCAATTAGGGTGACGACCAAATGGAGATGCCAGTCGAATACGCTCTTTTTTGATACGCCACGGCTCACGAAAGACTGATGCGCTTGGATCATCCAAGTCTTTTTTTAATGAATCAGTGCGAAGTCGTTGTTCTTGCTTGGCCGGTAAAATCTCCTCCACTCCACTCACAACTGAATATCTTTTTCCGAGACTACTGGTTGATGCAGCAGCAGACACAATAGCACTAGGCGATGCAGCCTCGTTGTGTTTAGTATCGCCGTTGTTAAAGTCGTGGGAAGATTGTACATCGCTGGTAGGATATTCTTGCTCAAACTGCAGAGCAAGAGCTTCCATACGCTGCTGTTCCAAAGCCATCATTTCTTTAATCACACGACCACGGATTGCTTCAAAATCGTTACGCATGGTGTTATGGGTGCGTCGGTCGGTGGACTGTGGAACACCACCACTACTAATTGACCGAAATAGTTGGCCACCTCTATTTGGAGATTGTCCCCGTACGTGACCATGAGTGGTAGTAACATTTGCTAGCGTTCCTTGCTCAGATATATGCCTTTGACGTGGTGAATACACATCCCCTGTTCCAGAAACTGTACTATACGAGCCATTACTCACTGTATTAGACCTAGACGGTGGATGCACAGTAGAGTCCTTTTGTTGTTGTTGATATAATTGAGCCAACATGACTGCAGCCGTTCGCATCCGTTCAGAAAACTCATCTCCGCCTATAGCTGACATGCTCATCTGTCTTCCAGTGCCTCTTGCGCTTTGGACAGGTGGATTATATGACAGATGGGTCATTCTACTTGTTCCGCTTTGACTGCCTGGAGAATTAAATAAAGAGTTTGCACTCATTGTAGACGCAGAATTGATATAGTGTGAAGATTGAGCTGTTATATCTGCAGAGCGACTGTTTGCACTCGTTAATGGTTTTAAAACAGTAGGCTGTTTAATGGCTTTAGAAAAGGATTGACGTCGGTCAAGCACTTCACGATAGTATTCCGCTGAACTGGCATTCGATAAAGACAATTGATCTGTATTGTCGACTAAAATCACAATCGTTTTAAAAATCAGTAATCCATTTTAAAAGACCAATTCATCAGTATGAGCAAGAGTTTGGGATATTTACTTTGATCTCCATGAAGATCGCTTAGAGATGACACTCTTCTTGAACTGTGACCTCCATTTTCATCAGCCAACTGCCTGACAGCTTTACGAGTCATGATGCGATGATTGGTTGACACAACTTCAATCATCATTAAATATGGAACGCGATCGGCTGAATTCAATACCACAGCATCTGCAGGACTGACTCGCACAACACGATGATGCATCGGATGCTGCGAGTCAGACGGACACCAAAATGGAATGCACACATCTGCAGGAAGATTATGGTTGAGAAGTGTGAGTTCTGCAACAAGCATGCTCTGTCGTGCTGATTTTGGAACTGCTCGAAGTCTGTCGGAAATATCTACAAGAGTCATAATGAACTGAATTTCAGAATGAAAGTAATGTGACGATATCAAATGTGATTGATCGCGAAGAGCTAATGCTGTTGTGTTGCTGTCTGTAGACATGGTAGAAACTCGCCGATTGGCAAAGGTATTAGTTGGCGCTGATGATGCATAAATTGGTGATGTGGTAGATCCTTGGATATTGCGTATTTGATCGTTCAAGTTTGCAGTTTCGGCAAACTCTGGTGGGCAATGAATAGAGCTGCCACTGATTGATGCAGCAACCAACCCTGTAGTTTTGCGTACAAAGTTTGTAAACGAAAATGCAGATCCTTTGGAAAGTTCATCTAATGAGGGTGAACTGGTGGGTATCCGTGTAAGTAGCTTGAGATTTAAAAACGCAGGTAAAATATTATAATGCTGTGGACTTTTGTGACCCAATGAAGCCTTTGTGGAATCTTCGTCTTCAAATGATACTGTTGATGAGTTGTCATTTTCAAGAATATCTGCATCGGGGTCTTCAATCACATCAATGGTACGAGGATATCGTGCCTGAGTGAGAATCATTCTAGATGATGCTTTGAAAACGGTTGGGTTACCAAACCCAGCAAGAATAACTCCCATGCCAACAATGGATGGGGGAATATGAGAATAAATGCGTCCAAATGAAGGCCATGCTGGAATCAGTCGAGTTGAAGGTGCTGTGGTAGTAGCAGCAAATTTATCCTCGGTGTCTTGATTGGTAGAAATAGTTGGAAATTCCATCTGAGTTGGGCTGTCATCTGCCTGACAAATATCATTGGACGCTTGTGCAGTTATTTCATTGGATGAATCTAAAGATAATTCTACAGTTTTGGAAAAAACGGCACTGTCCAATCCTGCATTCGACTCTGTACTAGTAGTGGCAACTGGAGAAACAGGTGTATCATCAAAAATAATAGTTTGACAGGTATGGTACATTCGCTGGCAGTGTCGAAAAGAAGCATTCTGTACATTATGTAATTGCATATCTTTTAAATAAGCATCCAAAATCCACAATGTCTAGGATTTATCAAGCGTGCAGATTCGAGTTGTATAAAATGTGAGTAAAATCAAGAATAGTATGCCAATTATGCTGTTTCAATGATCCAGTATCAACTCCAAAATAAGAAATATTTGAAATACATACAATTACAGCCATATGTTGAGAGGATCGACATAAATCTGCCAGAAATGCCTCGAGTGCTACAGATTGACTTGGTCTGGTAATGGCCATATGACTGATAAGATCAATCGAAATTCAAAGTATTCCAAAGTAGCATTCAAGTTCATATATATAGTGGCCAAGGTTAGTCTACAGTATAATATCGAGTTAAATCGCATAAATGGATGGAATTAAGCTGAACTGAAGCCATAACATGGCGGTTGAGCAAATGTCAATACATAGAATTCCCAATCTCAGGGTTTAAATAATCCAGAATAAATTCAAAATTAAAGCCATTCAATATGAACATGTATAGCTAGATATTCAAGCTCCTCCATTACTAGACCCTCACCAGAGTTGTGGCAACAGAAACTCGATATCATTTTCAGGAAACTTGCGAAGCGCATCACAAATATAATGATGGATACCAACAGATTCAGAATGTCGATGCAGATATGACAAGGCTAAACGGGCATCAAAAAAGTCGCTTTCAAACAGACGTAAAAGCCAGCTACTTGGTTGAGTAGAAGCCTGAGTAGGAGCACGTTTCTTTTTTGTTGTACGGTCAAATTCAAGTGCTAAAAACGAAGTGGAAATATCTTCACTGGCACTATCAACTGTCGCATCGGTCGCTCCCTCCATTCACTGTCGCCTGCAGTTGTTTGCTGCTGCTGGTTGAACTCGCTTAAATCCACTCCACACGATCTGTCCAAGAGTCACGTGTATTCACTCACTTTTATGTATTTTCAACACTCGACTCTAGATGATCGATTTTATTGTATTACAGCACTCCCCAAAACTCCTCCAGTGCGCATGTCTGCATGCGTTCAACATATTCAGAATCACAATGAAATCGTCAGTTTTTATCGACCGTGTTCACATGGATTCAGCATTACCAACTACGCTATAAACTTACCAATTTAGAGCATGTGGCTGCAGCAGATAAAGGATAATCTGAAATTGAAATCTTGTCATCCGCAATGTCATCCACCCAATTGTCTTCACCATGAGCCATTGCTCCAATGAAAAATACAAGATTCTGATCTTGTGGAACGCTTGGTAGATAAGAAGAAAGTCGCACGGCAGGAACGTCTGTCGACATGGCTAAACAGTTTAATCATTGAAATAAAGTCAGTGCGCAATCAGGTAACATTGAGTTGAGTTGGCAGGTTATCAGCAGAGTAGTCGGGATAAACGTTTGATACAAGCCAAAGATGACCACATTTCAATCAGCATCAACATACTGATTTTACGGCAGTTTGGCGGTAAATGATCGGTAATTGGGTTTTTGATCACTTTCAAAAGCCTATCTGAGCCATCCATAGAACGAATACTAAGTTTATGAAGAAGTTGAACTGGATGCAATACAATCAATTAGCATACTCGACATCTCAATTTCTTGTCAAGCCATCTACATACCCATCAGACCACAGAATCGCTTAAAAGTTCTAGGAATACGAACATGAGGACTGATCTCAATCAAGGTATTCTTGGCAGTATGAATATAGACTTGCAACATTCCAGCTTTGTTTAATGGCGAATCCAGCAAAGCCAGCAAACACTGATGCGTGATATCTGGTCGTGACTCTGAAAGGTCTCTGCCATGCTTCTTGAGCAAATGGTGGTGATCATCAACATTCAATAAAGCATAATGTGATTCCTTGTCTTTTCCGAGCTTGACGGTCTCTAGCTGCGCCTGCTCAAGAACAACAATCAGTCGTTTGGCTGCATTTTTTTCTGCAACGGATTTGGGAACTTTAGGTGCTTTGGGTGGTTGTAATAAATCCATTGGTTTTAAATATTCAAATTAAAATTGCTGATGCTTAATGGCTGATTCCAGTGAATGCAAACAACTGGTTCTTTGTTATACTTATTATCTTGAATGAAATTGGCACTAATGTTTTTTTTCAAAAATGCTGGCAAGTATAATCAATCATCACGTGATATTGTATGTGGTTTTGAGAAACACAAACAGCTGGAAAAGTGGAACTTGATCATCCATATTTTACAGGCAATTCACGTAAAATAGAACACCAAGAATCAAGCGGACGCTCACATCTCTATTCCAATACACCCCACATCCTTGACACCTGTTCAACCCTCAACTTCTATCAAGAATACACTAATCAATATAAAAACAAATCTATACTTTAATCCAATAAGTATTTATTCGAGATTCAACATTTTTAAAAACATTTCCACATTTTGCTGTCCAGTCTCGTTCACCATAGAACGAAACACGCTTTGTTCATTGGCCATCAATGCTTTGGGTGTATCCAACTCGGCAATCTCGCCTGCATTCATCACCAATACACGATCATAGTCCATAATAGTGTTCTAAAATACAAACATGAATTAGCAAAACAATCTATCCATCGTTACAATTCAAAAACACAGGTTTACTCACAAGTCGATGTGCAATGGTCAGTACAGTCGAATCAACAAAATCCTCTCTCAAGCATTTTTGAATCACAACATCAGTTTCGTAATCCACATTTGCAGTGGCTTCATCCATGATCAGAATACGAGGTCGTTTGAGCATCGCACGAGCAAGACATATAAGCTGGCGTTGTCCGACTGATAGATTATCTCCATTTTCTTGAACATGGCCATCCAAATTACCCTCTGTTTCAGACACTTTATATTTTATGTTGGCTCGCTCAAGAGCATCCCACAAGTTAGAGTCTGTGAATTGGCCAAAGGGATCCAGATTGCGGCGGAATGTGCCGGAAAAAAGAACTGGATCTTGTGGAATAATTCCAATATTGGATCGGAGGTCTTTCAATCCAATCTCTTGAATACTTATACCGTCAACAACGATAGATCCACTGGTAGCTTCAACCATACGGAAAAGTGCTTGAACAAGCGATGATTTGCCCGATCCAGTTCGACCCACAACACCAATTTTTTCCTTGTCGCCAATACAGAATGACACATTTTTAAGAACAAGTGGGAGATCGGGTGCATACTTCATCGATAGATTTCGAAATTCAACTGTTCCCACTGCCGGCCACGTTGGTGGAGGTCGCACATCCGTAATTTCTGCAGCCTCAACTTCTACTTCGTTGGCATAGTGATTAACACGCTCAACAGCATTCATGTTGATTTCCGTATCAGTAAACTGTCTAATACAACGATTAAGAGTATTGGTTACTTGTAGAGAGTAAGACAAGGACAGACCCAACAGAGCTGGGGTGAAAGATGGGTTGGCGCGAGAAATCAATCCAAAAGAAGCTGCCGAAAAAACCAACAGTGCACCAAAAAACTCAAATCTAACCGACATCCATCGACCTGCCGACATCATAAGATAATACGGAGCAGTGTTTTGGTCAAAAAGAAAATAGTTGCGCTTGATAAATCTATCCTGCTCGCGGTATGCACGGATCGTAGCAATTCCATTCAGCGTTTCGCCAATTTGAGCATACATGGGTGATCGTGCCAATGCATCCAAGCGTTTCAATTCACGCGAAGATGACCGATACACCAATTGGATAAGATAGTACATGCATATCACAGGAACAAACACAATGGCAAACATGGGTGTTGCATACATGATCATTGCAAACACAGATAGAATGGCCAGAAAAGTTTGCAAAAAAACACGAAATGACTCGATCAAAGTATTGTCGATTCCATCTTGATCTTTGGAAAACCGATTGATGATTCGGCCTAATGGTGTGGTATCAAAAAAGAGTGTTGGCGCACGAACAATGCGCCGAGTAGCAGCTTCATGCAATCGTTGTGCTGCACGAGTTCCAAAATATGTCAAGTAAGCACTGTACACAAATCCAAGTAAAGCTGCCAGGATGGCCAGAATGCCATAAATAGTCACATACTGCTGCTGTGTGTATGCATGTATAGACTGATTGGTCCAGAAAACAAGCCATACGTCACTTCCTGTTATAGCTCCTTGAGCTAATACAACTGTGCATACTAGCCCTATGATAAATGGGATTCCACCAGCAGAACGAAAATAGGTCATCCATACTTTGCCATCAACTGTACCCGTGGCTCGATCTTCTGATTGCATCAACTGTCTCGCATCTTTGTCGTCAGTGTCATTGATGTTTGATTCACAGTCCGAATCAATAGCTGGTTTTTCAGACTCACTAATACTTTGAACACCATCAGTCGCGTCATTGGGAATGCTATGGTCCTCAACATCGTCCACACCGCCATAATTCTTCATCAACAACGAAAACTCGCCATCATTTTCCATCAATTTGGAATATGTGCCCTGCTCCTTAATCTCACCGTTGCTCATAACAATGATATAATCTACTTTGGGCAGAAAATGGAGCTGATGGGTAACCAAAATACGAGTTTTTTCGCTCAAAGCCCCTTGAATGCAATTCTCAAACAGATCACGTCCAACATGCGCATCTACAGCTGATAAAGGATCATCCAACAGCACAATATCAGAATTAAAGTATACCATGCGAGCCAAATTGACACGCTGTTTTTGTCCGCCAGACAGATTGATGCCACGTTCACCAATTTGAGTACGGTCGCCATCTGGAAGGATTTTGAGATCTCGTTCAAGAGAGCATGCACGAACTGTATCAATGTATCGTTTCTCATCGTATGGTTGTCCAAACAGAATATTGTCCTTGATATTGGCATTTTGTATCCATGCTTGTTGTGAAGCGTAGCCCAGACGTGCAGAAAATTGTATGGTTCCAGAAAGTTGTTTCATTTCACCTACAAATGCATTGAGAAGACTCGACTTTCCAGAACCAACTGGACCAACCACTGCCACGAGTTTTCCACGTGGTATTTGTATGTTGATATTTCGAAGTGTGGAACAAGGTATACTTTTGTTGAGTAAAGCGTCAGTTTGTTTGTTTGAAGAATCTAGATTTGCTACTCATGTTTTCAAGACATGCAAATTGTAAGCGTACATTTTGAAAATAAAACCTCGAGCCAACAATAATACTACATTTAATAGTATAGCAAGCAAATGATTAGACTGAAATACTTACTAGTGTCCACTTGAGTAGCCTCATTCTGATTGGTTTTGCTTTTATTTCTGATTTCAAATATCTTTGGACTTGTTTGATCTTCAACAGGCACGACAGCTTGTGGAAGAGAATCCCACAAGAACTCGCCATCTTTTATCTCAATGGCGAATTCTGCATTAGGATCAATGTCTGGCTGGGCTTCCAGCTCAGGAGCAAGAAGTAGCGCTTGCATGCGCTTAAGTGCTATAGATACCTCGGCATATCCAACAACAACCTGTGGTAAAAACCATAGTGGCATCGGAAGTTGATTAAACCATGCTAGAGATGAAAAGATTGGACCAGGTTCTAAAATATTGTTCAGACTGTAAATAATGAACGCGATGGAAGCTGCCATTCCCGGCACGGCAATGGAGAATGTCATGATGAATGCAGTGGCAACACTAAATACAAAAGGAGATTCAAATAGAATGAGCAAACAGATCAAAGGTTTAAATGGCAACAGATACTTTTACATACAAACTCGACAATCAACGCACCATTTCTTGAACACCAACACAATTTCCTTTTTACGGATGGATTCGATCTGCTCAATAAAGGGGATTTCCCAAGTAAAAAACTTGAGAACGCGGATGCCCTGAAATATCTCTTGAGTAAGCTTGACGCGGGAATCAGTCAACAGGACCGATTTAGATCGAATCTTGGTAAGCATACGCATAATAACCAGCTGTAGAGGTATAAAGAGTGCAATGATTCCAACACCGGCAAAAGCGGCTGGACCAATCTGCCATACCAAAAGAATAGCAATCACGACAACCTGGATGGCAGCAGTCCACAATGTAGAAAGCAGGGCAAAAAAAATCTCAAAACGAGACATATCCGTCGAGATCAAGTTTGTGACTTTTCCGGCATTAAAGTCTTGCCTAGAAGCAGCAGAAAGACGCAGAGATTTACGGTAGATCATGGTAGATAGAGCAACACGCACCTTGATGCCCATTTGGATACCACCATAGAGAAACTGATTTTGCAACAGTGTAGATGTGAATTGGAGGACGAAAAGAGCAATTGCATAACCAAACCTATTCATAATTTAAACCAGAGTGAGTAACCCAAGCACGATATGACGACTGCAGCATTTAACAATATTGGAAAGATCAACACACCCATGACTCAATGGGGGCATTTCGGTATTTTTTGCAATGGCGATTTTAGAGTCGGTAACAAACCCGATAATCAACTTGAGCATAAACGGAGAGGTCATGGCGCATACATCGCCAGCTATGCGAAGCAAGGTAAGCGGAAGCAAATCCCAAACAACAACTCGTGTGATTGCTCGACGTAATGAGGGTTGCATTTTTTTAGGAGTGTCGGCCACTGCACGGCCGACCGCTCCATCAACTAAAATTGGCGTAGCATGATCAGTATGCAAACAGCCATTCAACTCTTCTTTCCATGCCTGCTCAAAGGTATCTGAAAGATTAGCTGCCTGTACATGACTTGGAAGTTTATAGATATCAGCGGGTACTAAAGGTCGCTTCCACCCCAGCATCAGAATACCATTGAGCCAGCTGAATGTCATTTTAGAAAAAAAGGACGCAGTGGTCTCTGGACAGTCTATATCTGAGGAAGGAGCAGCTTTAACTTTAGTCGATTCTAACATCGTCTTCATGCGTTTTGCAATAGTTGGGTCTGGCATTGTATCGTATAATAAGCTAACGTGGCTTTAAAACGGAATAGATTAGCTGATAGTATCAGCAACCAACCCAAACTACAGTATATATTTGAGTGCTAATTGATGCGGGGTTGAAGCTGGCCATTTATAGCCCTTGGCTCACCAATTACCATCGGCATAGACTCCCGCTTACCCTTTTCTTTTAAAGCAGTTTGCTTTGATACGGTACTATCGGCTATTATGAATTACAACTTGAGATTTATATACCGAGTAGCTTTATTCGAGTTGCCAAACTATTTCACATCTACTATAACTGATGCTGCGTTGGTTGACTGATATAAATATAAAACATGGAGCGTGATGCTTAATCTGTGCTTACAATTCCATTGGAATCGAGTTTTCTAGCTCATTCTGCGGATCGTCATTGTCCATATCGGAAGAGTTTGCAACATGCGCATCTGTATGATGTTTTGTGCACTGGCTAGATTGAGCAAGAATCTGGCCAGGAGAAAGAGGCTCCTGCCATCGAACTAACTGGCCTCCACCAACAGCGAATTCATAGGACGATAGACAACTCGTGGGCTTGGATGTCGGTTGGAATTGTGCTCGACAAAATGCATCCACATCAATGTTGCATTCAAAGGAAGCGTCTGCCAACGACCAAGGTGGATTGCATGCTGGAATAGCCAAACTTTTATCCACCCATTGAGATGAGAGCGCATTGATGTTCTTTTGATTATCAATGCATCTGGTATCTGCTTTGGATTGAATCGAATATGGAGAATTAGATTCAACCAGGTCATCAAGTGTAGAATCTGGCTCTGAACGACAACAAATACGCTTGTGCATTGGCAACTCAGTCGTGTAACGATCCAAGTCTACGCTCGTATCCATGGGAAATTCGTCTGGACATGGTCGTTTGCTTTTATTAGAGACATCGACCTGACAAAATGGCTCAGTTGTAGCTAGCTTAATGCGTTTAGACTGGATTGTATCATTTTTCAAAATAGCAGTCGTGGCATGAGTAGCCCAAGATCGTTTTCTAATGCTGGTATCCATTGAATGTGGTAATGAAGATGACTGAACCAAGGGAGTGAATGAATTATCAGCCGAGTATGTTTGTAGAGAGCCGGATGGAACCCAAGTAGAGCGTTGGTGATATTGGATCGACATGAGCAGTTTGGGAAACTGTTGGCATGACGACTGCTTCGGTCATTTAATCAAACCCAGCTTACACGTGACCTGTTCAGCGTCTGGAACATTCTACTCAAAGTCAAGATTTAAGCCTCGCATTGCAATGACAGTCGTATTCATGTAAAACACCAATAAACATGTCAAAGTACATGATAAACACTCGTAAAACAACGAGTGTCAGTTTACTGAACAGTATTATTTTCCAGTCATTAGCTGGCTAGTCTTTTTTTCAGTCTTGTATACAAGATTAAAAAAGAAAATCCCACAATTGTTCAATGTCCAATTCTTACAAAACACAGAATGATTGACATGCAAGTTGCATTCTCAAGACTGTTGTTTTCTTGAATTAGAACGCGAATCTTGGAATGAGTTTGACATTCCACTCAATATCTGGATTACAGTGTATGATTACCAAGAGTAAAGACAAGTTTAAACCACAATGTGTACTTAGATGAACATTTGAAAGAATCGAGTGCAGTCAATACAGCGAGTATTCAAGCAGCTTTTTCAAAGCAGAGAAAAACTGTATTTTACGTGAATAATAACTGCAAATACGATTACCATCAAAATACTAATCTCATGAATAAAAACTTGGACCGAAGTCGTTTACGGCCTAGACGCACCAACAACAGCATGTCAGCTCAGATACTTCCAATGTACGACACTGACTCTATCGCTGCTGATTCTTTTGCTGAAATCATATCTGCAACAACCCTCAGTACCGATCCTTGCAATGCGTCGGATTCTGCAACTGCTGATAATCCTCAACATAGTAGTCATACCACCACCGACTCCGTCATAGACGATATCACTCTAGAAACTAAAGGATTTGAACTGGTTTCAGATGCACAGACAGAACCTTTAAATCCTCCTGTTACTAAACTCGATCATAAGCGGAAAGCAAGCTGCTCTGCAACCACCACTCGGAAACGGACTGCATCAACTACCGCTAAAAAAAGGTCAAAAAGCCTTGCAAAGGCCTCTTTAGCAGCAATCAGTTCATTTGATTTAAAGGATGACTCCAAGACACTTAAAAAACAATCTTTGATCAACGATATAGACCAAACAGCTGGGTCAACCGTGCAGGTAAAGCTTACTAACGATATAGACAGGTCGTTGAATTCATCCAAACTATCGCTTGATACCAATTCAGCATCTTTTGGACATGATGATGTCCAACACAATCTGGATAATGAATCAAGCAATGTCATGTTAACGGAATATCCACAGAAAGAGTTTTTGAATTCCACCAATGTCGATGCTGAACTTTCGACAGCAACTGTCAAGGTGGAAGCACACGACACAACTATTACTCAAGCCAAACATACTGATACTGCTACTGATCCTGATCCTGATCCACCAGTTGAGCATGTCATTGAGTCAACAGCAACACATCCAGTGGATACAAAGCACGCTATTGAAACAATTGTGCATCAAACAATCACTAATTCAACTCATATTCATGACTCTCTTGAAAAGCCTATAGCTAAAGATAAATGTATTGAAACCCTGCTTTCCACTGACACTGTATCTAAAAAACACACTTCATCCAGCATGGTTACCGAGTCACCATTAACAGTAGAAAGCACGGATTCCGTATCTAAAGAGTCCGTCATAACAGATCTTCACCATAACAACTCGGCAATAGCAACAACCACAATCGACTCCATAGCAGACACTACGGTTTGCAAAGATTCAATGGCTACTTCATCTGAAAAAACACTTGTCAACAAAGTCATGACTGAAGCCCAATCAATTACTGCTGTTCACGCTATTCCTCAAAACTATATACCCAATCTTGAACCCATTGTTTCCCATACATCTCCAGGAAAAGTCACTACAAATCATAATACTTTAGCCGAGCTCAACCAGCCTACATCAGATACAATCCCAGTTGAAAATACAATAACCCTTGAACCAAAATCAACTACTAATTGCAATATGGATACCGAAGAAGTTATTGAAGAAGTTATTGCCGAAGCCACATTAAAAGTTGCTCCTCTTCAGGATTTCGAAAATACTGATACCCATGTGTGTGTAGATGAATCTATTGGCATTGTCAGCGTGGCTGCTGATACAGAACAAATCACAGTGGCTTATACGGAAGATCATTCGCATACACATGATGATGAGCACAGTCCTATGGATTTGGACACGCATTCGGAGAATGCTGAATCACCCATTACTTGTGACATGTCCACATCTTCGTTTTCCAATCATCAGGTCGGGGAAACGATTCGGACGTTGACAGATTCGATTGGTAAACACACTGAAATGGTCGAGTCATCAACTACCCCTACGTCCCCTATCAAAGATAATATCTCGGCTGTATCCAAGCCTGCTCAAAACATGGCCATCGCGTCTTCTCAGCGCTCAACTGATAATACTCAAAAGTATCTAGTTGCAGAGCCTTCATTTAAATCCAAAGAATCTAGATCAACCCAAAACTCTTATGTAAAAGAGAGTAATTCACACAAACTCGCAGAAACACAAATGGTCTATACTTTTCATGAAGTTGCTGGTAAAGTTTCAAAATCCAGCACAAGTTCACCAAAGCGTAAGATACCAGTTGCGGCATCGCGATCAATGCATAGTGCAATCACTGCTTGGCTTGGAAGCGACAAAAAGGCTGTAGATGGTGAGTTGATTAAATCACTCAACATAATCTTGATCGTTTTATACATATACATGTTTTAATTTTCTATTTGGCATTTTGTGTGCTTATTTTTGATACTGTTATTACAGAAAGACACCATATTACTACTGAAACTCAACAAACATCCGTAGCCCCACAAAAACCTGCAGTCAATACATCCCTATCAAAATCACCTCCAGAATCAACAACACCGACTTATTCACCACCTCCACTATCTAGATCTCGACCAACTGTTTCAAAATCTAACCAAAAATCAAACCAACCTGTTCAAACCAAATCCGAAGTTGTGAATAGGAAATCTCTTTCCAACACCAATACATACAATCATTCGTTTTCTGCCTTGAATCCATACTCGCTCGAACTTGCAGAAATGCCACTAAAACGATATTCTTCTCGTGATTCTTGTTCGGCAAAAGAGTCTTCAAGCATAAACGCATCCACTTGTTTACCAACTAAAGAGCTTAGTACAGATCTTTACACTACTACTCTGTCTACTCAACCAGTATCATCACTTTCATCTGTACCTGTCTTGGGACAAAATCTACAATCTTTGGAACCATCGTACTCATCCTATAATCGTACCACTCAATACACCACAAAAAAAGACGTGCGTGGTCAATCTGGTCGGTTTCAACGTCCACCATCCATTCCTACCTCGGAACCCTATACAGCCATGACTAAAGCGTCTTTGCAGACACCCGCCAATTCCAATATACACCCATCCATACAACACACTTCTGAAAAATATGCAAATAATTACTCCAATTATGAGCAAGCGCATACTGCCATGGCTTCTAGTGGTTCTTTATTTGGAGGATATTCTACATCAGCACATACATCACGATCGGCGCGTTTTCCAGTTTACGGAAAACAGCACGACTACAATATTGCACATCAGGTTGGAGAGGGTACATATGGGTAAGCAATGCATACAATCTACTTGATATCGTTTGAATTTGTAGAATTTGGATCTGATTGGGTTTCTGTATTGCTACTAAATTATCTTAATAGAAAGGTGTTCAAGGCAGTCTGCCGTCAAACTGGAGATGTTGTGGCTCTCAAAAAGATCTATCTTCGGGAGGATGACAAGGGAAAAGACAAAAACAGAAGTGGTGTAAGTCCAACATGATGCCAAGCCTCTATAGACGTTTATTGTACAAGATGCTGGTTTGTATTTTTGTCCATTCTAACCTGATGTTTGCTGTGTCTGCAATTTTACAATCAAGTTTCCAATCACAACGATTAGAGAAATTGAAATTTTGAGATCTTTGCGACATAGAAACATAGTTGAATTAAAGGCAATGATTTCGTTTGCTGAAGGTAAATTGTATCAACTGTATAAACGAGTAAAGTCGTATCCTTTAAATGACTGCTATCTGAATTGTATTAATCCTGAATGTTGAACTCTGTAAAGGTCCAGAAGACATCCACATGTATATGGTTTTTGAATACATGGATCATGATATTACAGGAATATTGCAGCACGGATCAGTACAGTATGATTTGTCACATATCAAGTGCCTTACAAAACAACTATTTGAAGGGCTCGGGTATTTACATGCCAACAATATTGTTCATCGTGATATCAAAGGTATGTGTTGGCTGGAATTCGTTTTATACCATGTGGCGTATGATACAAGTAGCAGTTTATACCAACTTTTTTATCCGCAATACAGGTGCAAATCTGCTATTGAATAGTGTTGGCGAACTTAAATTGGCAGATTTTGGCTTGGCACGTCGCATTCATGTTGATAAAGATTCTGGTGAAGCAGTTCCTGGATTTGATTACACCAATAGAGTCGTAACACTATGGTATCGATCTCCAGAACTTCTTCTTGGATCGACATCATATGGGTTTGAAGTGGATATATGGAGTGCAGGGTAGGTCACATTCAAGTGCATTGATGCGCTTATGTCGGTTGCTTTATTAGACATGTGTATTTTCCGTTTTGCCATGCATTGACACAACTCTCTACAGTTGCATTTTTGTTGAATTTTTCTCTAAAACAGCAATATTTCAAGGACGAACCGAGATTGAGCAAATGGACGCCATTGTTCGTATCTGTGGTTCTCCAACAGTAGAAGTTTGGCCAGGTGTTAAAGATTTAAGTTGGCACGGTTTACTTCAATTTGCGAAAACCAGTCGAAATGTCGAACACTATATGCGTAAATTGAATATGTCACCCATGGCGATAGATATGATTGATCGGGTGTTGGCACTCGATCCAGCTAAAAGATTGACTGTGAAATCAGTTTTAGAACATCCGTTTTTTACTGTTGAATCACCTATTTCCTGTGATCCTTGGCAGTAAGTTGTAGTTGGTTGTGTATTGTGGTGGAATGAGTGGTGTGTTCATTTTTTATTTGATACGTGGTAAATAGACTTCCGATTATTGACGGTGACTGGCACGAATTTGAAGGCAAGCAGAGACGGAAAACTCGGACAGCATATTCAAGTCATTCACAGCAAGGATCAGGTACTGCCGGCAGTCAACCGCACGAGACTTTGTAGCCATGTATGATGTTGGTCCTGTTGAATAAACGATTCAACTTTTGAATGAAAGGATCTCCATTAACATATGACCCGAATAAACAAAGATGATTTTAACATCTACTCTGCGTCTTGCAAGATAAAACGTGATTCAATATCTTTATTCGATAAAGTTTTGAAGGATTACAATGATTTAACCCAGCTATGGTTATGAAACTGCAATGATTTTGCCTACACATTTCATACGATTTGTGCCACAAAAAAAAACAGTTCGACCTGGCACAAGCCATTCCGGCTCGTGGAGAAACCGAAACCGAACACGACCACGATCACCCGTTACTAGCCTTGATGTGACAGTATTGGTGAGATTCACAATACTGTCTCGACGGGTTTTTGATGACCGTTTACCGCGTTGAAAAGGCATACCCGCTGTGCAAAATGTATTACAAGTATCCACGCCTGCATGATCAGTTTTCAAGTTGATCCCAAACAGTCTTGCATTAGCATGTTGTTTTTGTATCGAAGCGGGTGCAGTGATATCATTCAAGGTCAACGTACTGACGCAAAGTGGTGTGTGTCCATCCGAACCTCGTGATGAACAGGATGTATTGCGTCGGTTTTTCGGTTTACACAAGGGCAAGTTGGTTGGTTGTGCCCATGCGGCACTAACTTGACCACCCATCGCATCAGTCCATTCCGACCACGTAGGTGATGGAGAGCTAGTCATTGTTGCATTGTTGGTATTGTCAGATGTATTGTCTGAATTAAACGTTGGGACAATTGCAGATGCTTGATTAGTATCCCATGAAGCAGGATGTGAGCCATGGTGATTTGAATGAATGGACTCGTCATCTTGGCTTGCAGCTGAAAACTCGGAAGATGTTGGAGCGCGAGATGTAGGCGCGCTGGATAATATACCATTAGTACAGATTACCGGACTCGCGGGACAAATATCTACAACTTTGGCGCTTTGTCTCAAAACACCACAATACATTGTTCCCTGACTGCCATATGTCAGACACGTCGAATGGTAAAGTACATGCATATCCACTTCAAACTCCCAGTAGCTTTCTGGGAGAGTAGCAAAGCTTGCTGTAGTAACAAGAATTTGCCCACGACGAAGTTTAAATCCAGCAGGAGGAGTGTCAATCCATGAATTTGCTGATGGTTGTGTGATGGTGTTTTGATGTTTTATGCGAGACTGCGTTTCTGGTATTTCAAATGAGCACAAGTTGGGTTTATTCACATGTGTTTGTGCTGAAGATGCCGGCAATGAACTGGATTGAAATAACAAAGCGCATGTTGCTATCTGTCCGGCTTGAACATGTTTAACCGCACATTTTTGTCGATGTAAGGAGCAAACATACACGGGGATATATTTTCCTCGATCTGGACCCAAATAACAGGAAATAGGCTTGCTACCCGAAAGATGCATACGTCCTGACACCATAATTCCTGCAACAACACACCCAACCCCAGGAATAGAGTAAACTTTTTCAATCTGATACTCGGCCTCATTATTCAAATACTGCTCAAAACTACATGGCGGTCTGGGTAGAATATTTAAAAATTCTATCAAAAGATCGAGGTTATCTCCAGTGACACTAGAGGTGAGAAAAATAGGAACAGTGCGAGCAGATACAAAATTTGGAACGCAAGCTACAAGGTCGTTTTTGGTTTGCACAATCAGCGGCGTTTTACAAACACCTGGAGATTTCAGTAATGCCAAGAGTGACTGAATCGTGCATATGAGGTGATTTGGAGATGCAACATCAATTTTAGTCATGACGACAAAAACTGGTATGTTGAGCAATACAGAAATCCCAATATGTTCACGTGCTACATCTGGAAGTCCTGACGCATTGGAGTTGACGATAAGACACGAATAGTCAAAAGCAGTTCCAATCAAACCACTAATTGTAGTTTTTTGATATTTGGGATGGCCACACATGTCTAAAAATGCAACAATCTTTGTTGAGAGTTCGCATATCTGATTCCATGTGGAAATATTACTGGATGCATAATTAATGAGTTTTCCCTGTGCATCAAATCCAACGATTTGATGAGAGACGGACGAGGTGCGTCCACTCTCAATTTCATGAGGATGTCGAAGTAAATTCAAGCGAGATTTTCCACGGCCATTGTCATTTTCAGAATGCGTCAATACTCCCAGTAGAGAAGACTCTACCAAATTAAAATGGCATAAAGGATGCAGCATAAGTATTGAATGTAATTGAATAAAAATAGATAATCAAGCCTAGTGCACCTAAACTCACTTCCAGCGTCCAAACCACCTAGAATAGCAACCCGAATTTCAAGAAAGTGGTGATCGTCAAATAGCGCCTTTTTAAAAAGAACCTCGACCACACATCGATTTTTCCCAACATATTGCTTTCGAGCTATAGACATGTCTGCATTGAGAGTTGCCCCCATTTTTTTTAGAGTAGAGAGCGATGTATCCATTTCTTCTTGGCATAAACCGACAAGAGTTCCATCATCCGATACGCCTATTTCGTAAATGGCTTCGCCAGATCCCTCAGCCAGTCTGCAGTAATCATGTTTAATTTGTCGAGTTGAATTACATAAATGAGCAATTTTAGATTATAATTGCTAAATGAATCAGTAGTCTAAATGGTATCAAATCAAATAGCAAGGCTATGCATTGTGATGACATGGATGACGTGAACATAGCAATCCCACCTCCACTTCAACTGCGTAACCAAATGCTGTAATCGCTCGGGTGTGGGATCGATTAGTTTGAGCTATACGATATACATTGTAAAAGACAAACGATGGGTTGAAATAGATGCCAAAATATCAATTAGAATTAAACTCCAAGCTAATTGGTGATGCTGCCACTGCAGTCCATACACTGGAATCTATTCAATTGGAAACCGGATAATATTAGACTGAACCTTGTATTCAATACAGCCTTCCTCGACTTCCGGTGGAAGCATATCACCATACTCGAGGCTTTTTGAAAGAAATGAGGTTTGCTTTCCAGCATGACAGGTTAATGTGCTGCTTGATGAAGTGATATCACCAATGACTTCCGACTTTTTAAACATGACTAATACAGATGTTCAAGCATATCAAACAGGATTAGATGGTTTTTAAAATAAACCTGTTCATTGGCAGCATTGATGAACCTGCAATGAACAAATGGATTACATTTTACTTTTATCTAATGAAGTCTAGTTTTGATCAACCGCTTGTATATAATGAGGATTTTCAAAGGCTAACAGGATGGGATTATCGCAGCTGAAGACAAAAAGAATGAAAAGGCAGAAATGTTTATATTTCAAGTCAATTTCATGCTTCATGACATTCTGATGGCACCAAGCAAACTGTTACTGCTGCATCTTGACATGAATTCTTTATAAAACTGCACGATTGGTTCAGGCTATCGTACAGACTCTAAGTGGAATGCTGAATATTGTGTTAGAACAAGACCAAAGAGGAACGTCTTGTTCAATCAAGAGGATCAGGTCATTTAAATCAGCACTCCTTTTCTACACATCAAACATTACAAGTAAACATTGTGTGATTGGCATGAAAACAAGTTACATTACCGAGCCATGCAATCTTTATTTTCTTGGATTAGAACGCGAATATATCTGATATTAGCATACAACAAAGTATAGTTTGATTAACAACATCAAAACAGTCGAGTCCAATATTCAGTAATTCTGCAATGCATGGTTATATCAAAAATGGACAATCTCAGTCAAAACTATAGTTTGTATCATATGGCTTTGTTGTGTTTATTGAATTGAGAATATCGGTCAATCTGTAGCATAAAAGCATAATGAATATTCAACTATTGCCTATTCTAAACCAAGAGACAGTCACTGCACGATCAATGCAAGTGTTTTATTTTACGTGAATACGGCAGTTTCAATTATACTCTTGACTGTACTAGAATAGTTCACTTTGACACATTTAGCAGATTTGCTAGTCATATTTAGTATGGCTGGTGCTCATCAATAGATGCACGAATAAAAGATGATTTGCTTGGACAAAACATGGTTAGATAAGATCCATGGCAGACTCCAAAAATAATGATTGCAAGCAAGTATTGACACCAACACTAGAACTTGGAGTGAATAGACACCAATGACAACCTCAAATGTATAGTATTGAAAAATACTAAGCGTATTACAAACCAAATAGCTGTTTGGATATTAGTAACTACTTGACTGTTGTATGTTATTTAAAATCACGAATGATGACTTGTATGCTGTGTTTCTTGTACAGACATGCATCAGTAACTGCTACACTGTTTTTTCTAATATTAATTTATTGGCATTATTAGCTAGCTTAGCATATTATTTGTATTGGCAATCAATGTTGTGTACAAGTTTATCGAGTACAAAAATTTGTGCAATCTCACAAACCCCAATCACTCGTCACATCAAGGCTTAAAATTGACGCCCGTCACAAGACTAACAGCTTACAACAAACATTATTATTCTTAACAGTCTGTGCAAATTAGAACCGCTCAGAGCTAGAAAATTTTACTACTCCATCTTGTGCTGCTCGCCCAACAATCTAATGAACGAAATATCACAAGTATGCTTTTGTTTTAAGCCTTCGATTGTAACCCACGCCACCAGCTACTACACAAAATCAATCATAGAACCATTCAGATAAAAAGAGATCGACAATTCCCCATCTTATCAGTAATTATTATAACTAAATAGAACAGTATGCTTTATTCAACAGCTGTTATTACTGGATTACTTGTTGTAAGTTTTTGTGCTTTGTAATAACTGCAGCTTTCTGTTATGATCAAAATCTAACCATTTACAATCAACTGATTTAAACTATTAGATTTCTGCTACTGCATCGCCTCAATTTCCACCTGGTATGATGAAATAATTATATTATCTTGTAGCTTAATCCATACTCCCAATGAATTGGAACTGTATTATCTGACATTCTGAATCTCAAATGTAACACTTGTAGGACAAATGGGAGGTGGTGGACATGGCGGTATGGGTGCTCCTGGTGGTATGGGAGGTGCTCCTGGAGGTATGGGAGGCGGACCCCCTGGCGGTATGGGAGGTGCTCCTGGAGGTATGGGAGGAGGACCTCCTGGCGGTATGGGAGGTGCTCCTGGTGGTATGGGAGGTGCTCCTGGCGGTATGGGAGGCGGACCTCCTGGCGGCATGGGAGGTGCTCCTGGAGGTATGGGAGGTGCTCCTGGCGGTATGGGAGGTGCTCCTGGCGGTATGGGAGGTGCTCCTCCTGGCGGTATGGGAGGTGCTGGCCAACCAATGAACATGGGCGGTGGTGCTGGACCTATGGGTAACACTGGCGCTCCTCCTGGCGGTATGGGAGGACCTCCTGGAGGTATGGGAGGTGCTCCTGGAGGTATGGGAGGACCTCCTGGAGGTATGGGAGGTGCTCCTGGAGGTATGGGAGGTGCTCCTGGCGGTATGGGTGCTCCTCCTGGTGGTGCTCCTCCTGGTGGTGTTGGTGCTCCTGGAGCAGGACCTGCACGTTCCACATTTTCCAACCATGCAGAAAATCTCGCTTACACTAATGCTCTGCTCACTGGAGTTCTTAGCCTTACTGTGGTCGCCATCACTCTAATCTAAACCCAAGTCCCGCTCATTTAATATAACGTCTCTTAAACACCTGGGTTTTCAGGAATCATCCGGTCTTGGTTCATTTAAATCAACACTGGCATTCCTACTACCGACTAAGCTTCTCAGTCACCTTAAATCTACTCTTATTAATATTAGGTTCTACTCTGCATCTTTATCTGACGTATTTATCTACAAAAACATTAATAAAATAATCGCTCATGCAAACTAAAATATAGATTTACCATTATTTAGTAATGAATTCACAGCTGTTAATAATGGGAATAAAAACAACTGGAAAAGTAATAAATTGGCAAAGGACTTGCATAGAATTCATTCAGCCATGCTTGTGTATGATGAATCGGATTCTTGTTTTGCAAACATTGGTAGATTATTGATTTGAATGGCAGAATCATCCATCAATTGTGTACGACAATCTGACTTGTTGGCACGATCAGTTTTCTGACCATTGCATTACCATCTGCAGCAACAACAGTTTGTTTGATGCCATCAGAGTGTCTATTAAACATGTTCAGATTGACTTGAAATATAAACATTTCTGCCTTTTCATTCACATTAACAATAATCGTAAAATCATTATAATCACGTTTTGCTTGTAAAGCCAAAACTCACTTGTCAGACTTTCCATCAGTCATCATGAGCAGAAATGGAAAAGGAAGAAGCATGCGTATGTCGTTGGCTCAGCAAGATCGTTACAAACAGGAACAAATCAATCAGTTGGACACCAATGACAGGCCAGTTTCTTCCAACGACAGGTATATTATGGTGCATAGTTTTGTCTTGCCTTGTCAGTCAAGGCATCATTCATAAAACCACTAGTTCCAACTGTTAACCACTATGATATTTGAATTCTAGTCATGAGCATACCGATCAGCATTATAAAATACCTTTTCCTGTTGCCATGTGGGTATGTGCATTGGACCAGAATTTCTTTTTTGAATGACCCCAAACACTTCATGTCTGCTTCAACCCTTCAGTATTATGTGGATTAACCTGGAATGCATGCATATTTTATCAAACCCAGGACTTTGATCACTGCGATCCTAAGCGCTGTTCTGGAAAAAAACTAGCAAGAGTTGGAGTCATGACCAATTTGCGAGTTGGTCAACGGTTTAGTGGTATTGTCATGAGGTAATGAGCCATTTGCTTAAACTCAAAGTTATGGTTCATCAATTTGTATTTTTATTAAATCAACCAACATTTAAAACCCGATTGCTGACTTTTGGAAAAGCCCAAGAGGTGTATGCGCTGTTTCGCCATCCGATCGTGATATTATTATTCGATCTGGCATTGCAGTTGTAGATTGTTCATGGGCACGTATCGAAGAAGTCCCATTTAAAAAGATTGCATCCCGACATGAACGACTATGCAAGTATATAATAGATTTGAATTACAACCACTATTATGATGGAAACTAAAAACCACTGTGGTTAAGCTTGGGCTACCCGAGATTAGCAGCTAATTCTAAACTCATGTTGTCAATTCACAGTGCCATATCTTGTTGCTGCGAATCCCGTAAACTATGGAAAGCCCTCTAAACTCAATTGTGTAGAGGCTCTTGCTGCCTGCTGCTTCATTACTGGTTTGGATGATGCTGGACATGCATTGTTGGAAAATTTCGGATGGGGTCATGCATTCTACGACATTAACAAGTGAGTCTTGAATTCTAGCACAACTACTTTTGATTCAAACATTCCAGTCGTCGCTCACATGCTATCCATGTATATAGAGAGTTGTTTGATATCTATTCCAAATGCACTGATGCAGCAGATATTGTTCAAAAGCAAACAAAGTACATTGAGGACATGGAGCAATCGTATATTTCACGCAGAACTCGAGACGAGAGTCTCTTGATGCCAAATCCCAATCGCGACAACCAGGATTGCAGCGCGATGCTTTCTAGATCTTTAGATAGCAGTGATTCTACAAGTGAAAGTAAATTAGGCAATTCATCCCATGGAGACAGGACAGTGCAGGAGCGTAGATACGATATGCCTTTGAGCGAGTCTGAAGAATCAAGCTATTATGACAGCGAAGATGAAAAGGCTACAGTTGAACTTCGAGATAAACTTGGAAATATAATCATTGTATAAAACAATCAGAAATCTACTTGTTGAACAAGAGTTTATACAATTACATAAACAGCTGCTTAGGTTGACCAAAGCTGTTGATTTTTATTGCGTAGTCATGGAATCATGTGTTGTTGGAGTTGGTGAGAAATTCAATGCATCTTGCAGCAGTGACTCTGCTAGAGCATCAAGTGTATTCTGAGATGAAGTATTCAACACAGCTGCTGGTTCTTGCACGATCTCTTGATCCTGTAAAGATGGAGCGGAAATGACATCTGCTGTACTGTGCAATGGCAGTGTTGCAAGATCCAAAGCAGGCCGAGTGTTGAGCATGATGGTATCGGCTACAGGACTGACTAATGGTCCAGTATCAGCAGATGTGTTCAAAGATCGATCATGGTTTGCACTAATACAAGTCATGCATGTATTTAGGATGGATTGAACATGGCGAGTCTATTCCATGCATGATAAAAATACAACTTACACTTTCATCGTTTGAACAGCTGTATAGTTGTCCAGTATTCGTTGCAGCTCTGTTACTGTCAGATGAATACTAGGCAGGCTCTGTATCGTGATGTGAGCTTGCTGGATTCGCTCCAACAAAGCCGTCATCTAATATTTCTAACGAGCATTTATTCAATGCACTATTCATAATCATGTTTGAAACAACTGTGCATATTATACTTTATCAAAAGCAACTGATGTCGATTAAATACCTTGGCTGCAATAGCTAAACCTTGAGTGTCTGGAGAAACATTCGTATCTGGCTTGGACACTTGCACTAATATATTAGTAAGCTCTGTGAAAAACTCAAAGTTGTCTGTAGAAACGACACATTCTGTTGCATGGTGTGGACTAACGGACAGGCCAGCCAAATCGGTCATTGTACTAGATATAGTCGAGATTGAAGTCAAGTTCAAATTTCTTGTTCATTTACAGAATCTCGATTGACCATTTCAGTCGAGATCCACCAACCTGCGCTACATGCTCGAGTTTTCAGGATTGAACATTGAGGATATTATCCAGTAAACTCGTAGTGTGACTTGATGGAATGTGCTTGAGATTCAGATATAATGCATAAATCTAGACAAACCATTATCAATCTTTTTTCGACACATGCCAATAAAAACTATCCTTTACAGGCTGGACATACATTACAGCAGTATTCACGTAAAATGAAACGCTTGCATTTATCTTGCAATGACTGTCTTGGAATAAACAATGGTTGGTTGCTATTGAAAGTTGATTACTTTTTCTATTAAAACTCTGTCGTATTTCAATATCAGATACGTTCACGCTCTAGTTCAAGAGAACATTTCAGGAGTACAACTGTTGTTTCCATGCCAGTCACCCAATATTCACTTTACATGTTTGGTTTGGAAAAAAGAGTTGCAAGAATGTCAAAGTTGTGGAGTTTATTGAAACAGATGCAAATATTCGCTCTGTATTTTGTACAAGGATGAGCACAAAGACTAGTGAATTAAAGTTTATAAAACAATGCTGTCCAGTAAGATTGGCACCCATCAAACATGACTGTTTATCATGTATCTTGGCTCTATTAGTGTTCCATGTATGTGAATACGACTGTAATATGAAATGGATCTTGATGGATAATCGTATCTTGCTCATCCGGAATAAACAGCCAGTAGATGCCAACACTACCAGATAATAATCAGATTGGAACACTAAAAACGGACGCAGTGCCCAGATGCGGATTGAAAACTAGCATCATTTTAATGTCGGAGTCCAAGCTTTGTAGACCATGTTGGATAGTCTTGCAGTATGCAGCCAGTCAGGGTCTAAATCAAGCCAGCATCGACTCCCAATCTCATCAGTTCCATACATGGAACATGATGGAGTCATAAGCAAAATGATCAACAGAGAGCTAGAGCATGTATATGGATCAGATTTAATTATGTGAGATACAGATAAATACTGTTATATCAGAGTTGCAATAACAAATTACCAGTATAAACAGGGTTTATGTTCCACTAGCATCATCAGCAAATACATGAGCAGCAGCAAAGTGGATATTTGTCATGTGGGTCCAGTTTTTCACATGGATATCAATCTAATTTGATATACACCAATCAATTATCATGCACAATATCCATGTTAAACGCATTATCCCAAACGGATTTGTGATAGGAG